TATATACACGAAGGAGTATACAGGAAAATATAAAAAAAAGGACAATGGCACAATTGTATCTCTCTGCCTCATCTCTGGGCCACTTTCTTACCTAACTGAAATCGCAATTGGCTTAAACTAAGGGCCAAAAAAACACAAGACAAGAACAAAAAATAAACTTTTGAGCGAAATATGTGGGTCAAGCGAGCACTGAGCTGGATTTTTGTGCCAGTGAGATTTATCGATGCCCTATTTTTTTTTTTTTTTTTGATATACAAAAGTACGTGGGGGTATCTTGCATCTCTTATATGTTTTTTGTCCATCATTAATATTTCCCAGTCTCGACTCTTTTTGTTTTTTCTTTTTGTATTTGGAAAATCCCTGTCACTTAAATGGAGATAGAAATATATTCGCACAGCTGTGGGTAAAATTTTAGCATTTAAGAAAGTCTAAACAAATACAAATCTGAGGAAAATTCGTGTAAAACCAAGAAAACTCTTTTACAATTAAGTAAATTTATTCATGAATTTAAGTCGGGTGCATTGGCTATAAAAATACCATAAATATAATATTTTAATATTAATTTTTATATATTTCTTTAATGATTAATTCACTTTTTAATACAAGGACAAATTTCACTTGTTTTGCTGGTTAATTTTTCATCAAAGACCGCGGGGAATTTGCCCTAAAAATATCATGGAAAGAAATTCCACATGTGTGCACATATAATTCCCAACTGGTTTTAGCATTCCTAGAATGAAGTGACTGTTGTTGCTAGCATATGGTGAACTCTTGTGGTGTTGTGTGTTTGTGTTATTACATACATATGTATGTGCTATTAGATGTGCTATTTCATAGTTAACCTAAAAGTAACGCAATTGTTCTTAAATCAATGATCTCCTGTTTTAAATACAAATTTAGGACTTCTTTTTATATAATTTCCTATTAAAATCCTTAGAAACTAGGAACACATTCCCAGATCTCAAAACTAAACTCTTGAGCCCTACTTTATGCCTGTCTTTTTATCACAACAACCATCGCTCATATTTTAAAATCCCTCTACCCCCTGGTAGAAAAAATACACATAGAAATAGAAAATGTCATGCATTTTAATGTAAATTTCTTGCCGCGTTGCGGATTGGAACGGGACACGTGTCCCTTTAATTAACCAGCAGAGGCCGGGAGCCAGGAGCTGGAGGAGAGAGACCAGAAACCAATCAAAATGCTGTCTCTATGCCAGTTTTTTTTTTTTGCGATTTTCGGCTGGCTTTAAAATATGAATTTTACATAACGCATACGCCGCGTGACCCCGCCGATAAGTTTTTGATAAATATTCGCCCGCTTCTTCGTTCTCTCCGCCTGACAAGTGGCCACCATTTTTTAATGTCACTTTTTTGTGATGGTGCTGCTGCTATGGTTGGTGGTGGTGCTGGAGGAGCTCGGCTGGTTCCTGTAAGGGGGTTTTCACTGCCCAATGGAGCGTACATTTTGAAATTGAAATCGGCAGGGGAAGGCGGCAACAACGACGGCCAAGGAGCAACATCAGCATCGCCATCAGGAGCAGCATCAGCAGCAGCCGTTGCCAGAGCTCTCTCTCTCTCTCCTTCCTTCCTTATCTGTCCCGACTGTCAGTGGATGCTTCATTGAGTTTTATGTAGAAAAATGCGCAGATACGTCCGCAAATACTGTACATACACATCAATAAGTGTTTTGTGTTGGGGATGTACTTTATATATATAATATATCGAGCGGAAATCGGGGAAGATCAGTATCGATATATATCGACAAATACTAAGATGATATTTATACAAAACAAAATATATATATAAAAGTTTTACAAATTTGTATAGTTTAATTATAGTTTTCACAAGGCAATAATTATCAACTATTAAAATATATATAAATGCCATATCGATAAATAATCGATCAAATATATTAAAAAAACATATCGAAAGAATTAAACAGCGGTCTTTTAATTATGATTCCTATAACAGAATTAATTTGCTTAATTATTATAAATATAATATAATTAACGGCTAATTTATGAATAAATGAAAAATTTCTTATCGATATTTACCGATATATACCGATTTTGAAGACTTTGATAATATATCGAAAATCTGAAATTAATTAAAATGAAATAAATAATTGTATTCTCACAAAAAACATATTTAACATATTTTTTTTCTAGATTTTATTCATCAAATAAAATATTTTATTTAATTATTTGTGACTTTACCGGGGAAATTTGAATATAAATACAAACTTATAACTACTTAAGACAAGTACCCATTGTCATCGCTAATCTCTGCACCATAACCCATCGACTAAATACTCCCTGTGGCCTGTAGCCAGTGTCCTGTATCCTGTATCCTGCACATTCAGGGCATCCGATGAGTGCCTCAGCTGCCTCTCTCTGACCAGGCAAAAACTCATAAAACTTGCTGCGGCCTGCTGCCTTTGCTCCTTTGGCTCCTCCTGGGTCTCTAAGCTGGTTAAGCGTTCGCACAAAGTGTTAAGTCTCTTACTTTGTTGGCACCCTCTGCCCTGCCCCCTGACCTCTGGCCTCCAGCAACGCCGCAGCAACGGTAGCCAACCATTTTTTTTATATACTTCTTTTTTGTATCTCCTTTGCGGATGTTTGAATGCTTTATAATTACATTTTATGTGCCATCGTTGTGTGTATATTGAAGATGCCAACAGGTGCAATCCATCGACTTGCCAAGATGAAGTAGAGGCACTAAGAGAAATTGGTGATATTTAATTGCTGGTTTATAATTTTATAAAAATAATTTTTCAAAAATTTGTGGAATACATTCACTTGAATGAAGAGAATTTATATTTTTAATTGGAAAATTATTCCATAATAATATTATAAATTATTTTTTAGCAGTGTAAGAGCTCACGTCAAATCCAGTTTCCGGGGCCTCCGTCTGAATCTCCGTCCCCCCGCCTTCGTTTATTTAGTTTACAGTCTTTATTGAATGTTTGCCTTTGGCTCAATGGTTTCTGCGTTGTAATTGCTTGGAGTTTTATGGCCAATCGCCGTGTCCTGTCAGTAAAACCAGTTTCTGGTTTTAACTTAAAAGCTTCTGGCCGTGTCCTATGCCAAGTACAAGTCCGCAAGGATACCCAACCGAGCAATATCTTATTTGCCGAGCAATGTCATACTTTTGATTTACATTTGCGACATGTTTACAGCCTTTTCGGAGACATGAAATTTGCTGTAATTTTTCCAGAGCTTCCGCCAGTCCTTGGCTTAATAAAAAAATAAAAACGAATTGGGGGAAAAAAGAAAACTCTCTCTCTCCGCTTCCGAGGGGCATAAAGTGAGTGTCGGTTATTGTCTATTGTAATGAATGCCGCCGCTGTGAATGCCAAGTGAACGCTAAATGAATGCTTAATGAATGACAAGTGAATGTTTGAGTGTTCGAAATGAATGAATTTGAGGCCCAGATTGGGTGAAAATGCTCGATTGATTGCCTAATGATTGTCCCTCGCTCGATTGGAGTTTGGTGTTAACTGGGTATACGAGATGGAGGAGTTTCGGGGTCGATTCGGTTCACCAGCTGACTGAATGAATGCTGATTGGCCTTGCGCTTGATTGAGTCCAAGGTTGAGATTGTATTTCTTGGGGAAAATCACTACTAAATATCAATTGCTATAAATATATTCAAAGGTTTGGCAGCCCGATTGGAGCTGGTTAATTGATTGATGAGCCATGCTTAATTGTTGTGTCGAGAGTAATGAGTGGTTTACAATTATAATTGATTGGCAATAATAATAAAGATTTAGAATCAAAGTTTATTCAGTTAATAGTGAACTGAGAAGGATAAAGATGTATATATCTCAAAGTAATATCGCAAGCTGATAATTGATAATGGACTGTAGATAATCAGGCTGATTGATTGGGGCTCAACTGGCTATCACTAATTAGATAATTCACCCAGAAGCCGGCCACCCATGACCCCTATCAATCATTGGCCATCAATCACGGCGGTCGGATAGTTGGTCAACTTTATTCGCTATCCGCTTCACACTTTCCGCTGCTCCCTGACAAGGCTTCAATTACGCACAAATCAAACTTTGCCGCAAAGTTAATGAACTTTGCACCTGCATGGCGCACCGCCGCCGCTACACCTGCCTTGTTGACTATTTATTGCGGATGACTTTCGGGGCGCAAAGTTTCGTATTTAACTGCAAATGGGGCAGGGTGCCAGAGTGTGTGTGTGTGTGTGTATGTTTGCCAAGCTTCAACAATATTAATTTGAATTGCAAGCCAAACAAGGCGACGTTGGGGAAATGCGGAAAATGCGGCAAATACCGTAGAGAAAGCAGCTGCGGTTGCCCTTTAAACGACTTTTGGTTCTTGGAAATTCGGTGAAAACTAAATCGTTTTGGTGCGAAGACCCATATTTAATGAGGTGCCTGTGCTCAGGCACTGAGAGAAAAAGTTTGAGGCAATAAAAAATTAATTCCCGACTTTATTTAGGACATTTTTGGTATTCAAGAGGTTTAATATAATTTATGAAGGCCACCTAAAAGTAAGCAATGAGTTTATTTCGGCAAACTTTATGAGTAATTGCTCTATGTATATTTTGCAGCATACTTTTTAGCGCCTTAATTGGTGGTTTTCATTAACTGAATGCCTTGGCAAGAAAACGATTCAGCTCGAGCTTTTTGGTAACACCTTTGAAGCTGTCTGAAAGTATGCAATTATTTTATGTGAGGCAAAAATGTTGAGTAAGAGTTTTTTTGAGGAATTTGGGTGTTCAGTAATTTTATATATTTTTTGAGCAATTTCAAATGTCTAAAAATAAATTAAACAAAGCCTTCTTTTGTTATTTTTTTACCTAATTAATTAATAAATATTGTTCTTAATTTTAAAAAGTAATTTAATCGCACAAGTTTCTCTCGCTCTGTGCGTGTTTTTGAGTTTATGTTTCGTAACTAAATTGTTGGACATTTTAATTAATTTCCATTTTAATGTTTGCTTAACTAAATGTTTTCTTCGCCTGCAGGCAACGGCAACAACAACAACAGCAACAGCAACAGCAGCTTCAAATACGCAGCCAAAGAGCCACAGATACAGATACAAAGATACAGCCACAGATAGAGATAGAGATACAGTTAGCGCTACAGATAGAGATAGAGATGCAGATACGACAGCACCAGCTACAGATACTTGTAACTAAAGTGACATGAGGCCTTAACAACAATAAAAACAACAACAACAACACCATAAGCAACTACCAAAGGAACTTCGTAAAGAGTGGGGGCAAAAAACAGCGACCGACGGCACTAAAAACCAAATTACAAACAATTAAAAGCGAGAGCACAAGGAGTGGGATCCTCCCCCAACACAGACACACACACGCACAGCAGGAGCAGCAGGAATAGAAGCAGCAGCAGCAGCAGCCGGAACAGGACACTCACAGCTGAGGAGGAGCAAAAAGGACAAAAGCCAGGCAGCAGCAGCAGCATCAGCAGCTCTACATGCTTCAACGTTTATGGCCAACTAAAACTGAGCAGTGGTCCCAGACACGGATCCACGAATTTACCCCTGGACAACAACAACAACAACAACTGAAACAGCAGCCGCAGTCCATCATCATCGCCAGGACCTTTGTCTCCACCTCACCCCATCTGCAACTGACTGCCACCGAAGGCGGCAATAAAAAGTTTGCCTTTGTGTCGTGTCGTGTCGTCTCGGTGTCGACATTGCCAGCTTGCTTTCGCTTTCGCTTTTGCTTTTGAGCCAGCAAAACTGCTGCCGGCACGCCCTCCGTTTTGGCGAAAACGGTGTCGTCCTCTGTCGTCCTCAGTCGTCGTCGTCGTCCTCATCCTCATCGTCGTCAGACGTCGCCGCCTCTGGGCACTCAATTAAGCCCAATTCAACGCAACTTGAAAGCGACGCGCGGCAAACAATAGCAGCTAAAAAACAACACAAAAACAAGGGGAGCAGTGAGAGAAATAACAACAACGGGGGGAAAAAGAGGAGGAGCATCACCAGGAGATACAAAACGCCGACCAGAAATAATAACAATTGCTAAAGCGACAACAACAAAAAACAACACCTACGCAGGCAGCCATAATTGCAAAAAACAGAAATAACACATTAAAAGCAAAAGCAGTACGATTAACAATAATAGTAACAGCAACAAAAAGTGCAACATAAGCAACATTAATAGTAAGAGCAACAGTCATAGCTATTGACATAGGGAATAGTAACTGCAACCGATTGAATAACATCAGTAAGTGCAATAAAAGCAACAAGAAAAGCAACTACTACAGTACTACAGCATCAGTCTCAACAGCATAATTCTTAACAGAAGATACAACGACAGAGCTAGCAACAGCAATTTCCACAGCAGCACCAACACCAGCATCAACAACATAATAAGTCAACAACAGACAGATATAAGCTAAAAGCAACGTAGGAAGCAACACAAACAACAGGACCAGGCAATACCTACAGCACCAACTGAATCAATAACTAAGGCAACATAAGCAGCAGCACCTACAACATCTCCAGCAAAAAAAACACCAATAGTAACCCCAGCAACAAAACTCCAACAAAAAACCCCAACAGTAATGCCAGCCACAAACCTCCAACAGCAATTGAGTCTACAATTGCAGCAAGCATAAGCAGCAACATTAGTTGATGCAGTTGGCATAAAAGCAGCAACAACTAAGCTGAATAACAACACAACAACAGCAACATAGGGAATCCGAATCCTAGGCAACATTAGCGTAATCAGTGCAACAGTGAAGCCACAGGCCCAGCCACGCCCACGACAACGACTCGAACACGGACACGTAGGCGGCACTTGGTAACAGAAGCAGCAACAGCAACAGCAAAAGCAACAACAGCAGCAGCAAGGACGATAGCAAGGATAGACAAGAAAATAAGATAGAACGGGGAACAGGAGATAGGTACAAGGATAAACAAGAAGGGAGGCTAGTCGCCCACACGCAACGCATCGAAGGCGTAGTCGTGAGCTGCTGCTGCTGCTGGCGGGGGCGGCGGCTGGCGAGTGGATGTCAGGATGAAACTGAGCGTGAGCGCGTATCGGGCGCATGCATCCGCACACAAGAAGATCCTCTCCAGCGGCTATCACTCGCAGCTCAACTACGGCAGCACTGGAGCGGCAGCGGCATCCTCCTCGTCGTCGGGGGCCACTGCAACGGGCCTATATACGGTGAGTGTAGTATATCATCCATTCCCCTATTCCCTACACACCACCATGTCCATGTCCATGTCCGTTTGCATTTCCATTACCAGGAAAGCAAGACTTCAGTCCTAATTCCCAGAAGGATAATCCCATGACAGTGTCAGTGAGTCCGTCCTGCTTGAGTGTGTCTCGGTGTGTGTGTATTGCACAAGAGTCTTGATCCGGGGCCAGAACTAAGGATGCATAGAGGATAATAGTTGAAAAGTCCGACATCAAAATATCAGTTGATATATCGAACAGAATATCGATTTATGGCAAGCGTAAGATATCGAGATATTGAAATTTAATAATATATATAGAAAAATATTCCATTTAAACATTAAGTTTAAAAATTATTATTATTTGCCAAAAAATTGATTTGATATATTAAACAGAATTTTGATATATGGACAACATTAAAATTTCGATTTTTTATCGATTACAAAATATTATCGTCAAATATCGTAGAACTTTTTGATATTTTAATATTTTCAGTTATTTCTAGACTTTTCTCTCTGTGCCTTTAGCTCTCCTTTTGCTTTTGTTTTCGATTTGCCTTCTCACATATCCTTTTCAGCAAAGCCTTCCTTTCCTGCTTTCCTGCCACTACTTATGCTCCTTTTTATCCCTCACATTAATGGTGTGTGACAAGCAAACGCATAAAATTTAAAGATTTTTGATTATGAGCTTTACTGCAGCCACTGGCTACACTTTAATGGCCTTGTTTGTGAAGGTTTACAAAAATAAATTCCCTAAAATTGTAGGGTTTCAAAAACAGCTTGCCAATAATTATGTGCAAGTCCATAAAATGCAGACTTCCCATACTATATCTATATATTTTATCAAAAAATATTTCCTAAAACTACTTGTGCTAAATGCAGTGGCTAATGAAGGCTTCATTAAAGTAATTACCACCTAAAAATGGAGATAATTACCGAAACTACTTGCGCTCGTTACCTAAACTCCATGCCCAGTTTGAGACTTTTAAAACATTTAAGTACTTGAGAGCTTAGCAGGGCATGAATATTTATGCTTAAAAGTTATTAAATTATTGCCAAAAGGCTTTCGCTGTACGATTTGTCATTTCGACTAATTAAAATTGAGAGCACTTATCATCGCTGTGCTTTTTTAGGGGATTCCCCCATGGCCACAATATATTGCAATCAAGTTTTGTGGCGCACTTAATTGCCATTGCTGCTGGTTTCTATATACCATACATATATCCATAGGGATCAGGGATATATATATATATATGTAGGCAACTCACAAGTGAAGCTTAATATGGCACTGAACCGATTTGTCAACTAATTGGTGGAAACGGGCATACAAATCCCGCCAGATATGTTGTGTGGTTTCCCCTATTTGGGACCAGGGGCCAAATTGAAATCCTCAGACGGATTTTGCCAGTTGTGTCACGAATATGTATAAGTACACTTAAAAAAATATATATTTTTATATATATATTTTATAAAAATATTTTTCTATATTTTTTAAATAAGAAAAATGAAGAAAATTCTTCTACAATTAAGAAAAAAGTTTCCTGAACTTTAGGCAAGACCCCTAAATCAAGACAAGACACCATAAATAAAATTTGGTTGGGTTCTATTTTTCTTAAATTTAGAGCGCATTTTTTTTTATTATTCTTTTCTTAAAATAAGGCTTAATTGCACTTGTTTTGCTGGTAAATTTTTCATCAAAAGCCTTGGCGAATTTTCCCTAAAAATATCAAGGCAAAAAATTTCTTACATGTGCGCTTATAATTCCCAACTGGTTTTAGCATCTCTGGAATGAAGTGACGGATGCTGGCAGTGGTGAACTCATGTGGTGTTGTGTGTTTATGTTAGTACATATATATGTGCTATTACATAGTTACTTTTCAAAAAGTGGCTATTTTAGGGCGATTTTAGGTAAACAATTTTATAAGTGTAAGAATTTAAATTGGAAATAATTACGAAAAATTAAGATTCACAATTGATAGACACATTTTTAAGGGTTACCTTTAAAGAAACACAAATTTATTTTTTTTTTTAAAGAAATTTATTAAATTTCCAGCTTAAACTGGGTATGTAGTACCCATTTTTTAGCAGTGCTTTAAGGACATGGACAGCGACCACCGCCAGCTGTCCCAATGGCCAAATCGATGCTACCGAGTTTGCGGCACTCTCGAGTACTTACGAAGTGCGAGTACTTTTGGGCCCCCAAACGGAGCTGGCTTAAAGTTGGTATTCGGCCACTGGCGTTAAATTAATAATGCCACTGCCACTGCCACCCGACCCCCTATGTTCCCATGGCTAACAAGTGGCTCGACACTGATCCAATCAAAGTGTGAATGGGAGAGCGGGGAATCTGGGATTTCGGGTTGGCGATATGGGATTGGGTTCGATTTCCACGATTAGTGCCAGTTAATGCCAATCGATTTTTGTAGCAAGTTATGCAATTGTGCTGACAAAAGCAAGTCTCTGGGCATTTGTTTTAATTGGATTTTAGCTACATTTCATGTAAAAAAATAAGAGTGACTTGAAGCTTAAATGATTTTATTTGAAAATTAATTTCATATATACTCTCTGAATGGCTTTTCCGTTTCAGTTTCAGTTTTTCTTTTCGATGGCAATCAATAATGTAATATTTAAAGCTGGGCAAAAGTTTTTCCCAACTCTCTCCTCCCCTGCTTTTCCCCATTTCCCGAGCTCTGTTTCCGCCTTCATTCACCTGAAGGCTCTCCGACTTGTTGGCCAAGTTTTCGTGTCGGGCGCAATCAAATCAAAGTTTAATTATTATCGTCAACATCATCCGATTTAAAATGCACCGTGGGGCAAACGTGGTAACGGCCTTGCTGCAGTTGCAGTTGCAGATGCGAAAGTCATTGGAGATGCAAAAACATTTAACGAAATTCAACAAAATAATAATAAAGGAAAATACCCTTAAAAGTTCTTAATTATTTCCAATTTAAAATTTCATTTATTTTAAATTAACATTTTATATAAAATATATTTTGTATGTCTTTATCTTATTTAAATAATTCAAATTTTAATTTCATAAGTTTCTTCAGCTTCTTGATATTATTTTTAACCCACATAGAACACCTTGGAGTGCCAGTATTTTGTACACAACTGTACCTGTAGCATTGACACCATTGACATTTTGCCCTGCACCAAAGAGGAATTTGCATAATTAGCAATTAAGATGCGCTCAATTGCGATTGATGGGGCCCCAGGGACGGTTGTTCCTGGCGATAAGCCAAATTAATATGGAATTGGTATCAGCAACAGTATTGAGACAACTTCAAAGCGTGAATAGTATATCGATGTCTTAACGATATAATTTCTATCAAAACACTTTGATATTTATTTTAATAAATAAAAACTATTTTTAAGACCCTGTTTTTGATTTCGATTTTTTATCGATTTTTCTTCCGATATTTATCAATTTGAAAATCACTATCTTTGCAGATGGAAACGCACGACCACGAGCACGGAGCGGGCAAATTCGTCAAGGATGTGGCCCGCCAGGTGCACGACTGCAACAGCGACACCGATGTCATCAGTCCCACGGGCACTAGTAGCTCCGGCGGCGGCGGTGGAGGTGCCAGCGGTGGAGCCAGCGGCGGCGGGCCTGGGACAAGCGATGGCGGCCACCACAAGCGGCATCATAAGAGCAGTGCGTCGGCAATGGCCCGGGACGACGACAACAACAGTGCGGCCCACTCCTCGGACAGCAAAAGTCCCAGTCAGCGGTGAGTTTGATTTTTTTAGTTTTCGCCCATTTTCCCCTATTGCCAAAAACCGAATAAACACCCACACATGCACTGAGCGAAAAAGGGGAAGAGTTAAGAAATTGAAAATATATATTAGGGGACTTTAAAAAATTGTTTAAAATTTTTAAATTAAAGTTTAAAAATCGTAAAATTATTAACTTAAAATTTAAAAATCGTAAAATTACTAAATTAAAATTTAAAAGTCCTAAAATTATTAAATTAAAATTAAAAAATCGTAAAATTAGTAAATTAGTAAATTTTAACCAAATATTAACTCGAACGGGTTTCCAGTAAATTAATTAAATTTTAGTTAAATAATGTAAAACATAAAAAATAATATTAATTTTCAACTAAAATTTCTTAAGGCAAAGGTAAACCTAAAAGGATCTCCGTTTTGTTTGTACATTTTTTAATATTTGTAAAATTATTATTATAAACCAGTTCGCTCAGTGCACACACACCGACACGTGCATAGCTGTAAAATAAAAGTTGAAAGCGGACTAACAACAAATAAGAGAAAAAGCTAAGAAAGCTAAAGAAAAGAGCGAAACGAAAAAAAGGAGCATAACAAAGATGATTTATTCAAATCGTGCCAAGTTGTTACCAAACACATAAACATAATCCGGCTCTGCTTGCAGTCCACACACACACCACACTCACACCCTCAAACCCACACACACTCACAAACACACATAGACACGTGCCGTAAGCGTAATTGATAAATGTGTAGCATACTTTGTTGGGCTTCGTTCGCCTTGGCAGCTTTGTTGTACGCCGTATTTGATCAAACGTAAGCGACATTCACATCCGTACTCTCGCATCCGTATCCGCAAGACAGCTGAAGAAACCCTGAAAAAAACCAATAAAAATGAAGCAAAAAATAGAGCAAAAAAAAATAAAACAAATGAAACAAGGCCCCCGGAACGATTCAATTCAGTTCAACTCAACTCAATTCAATTAAATTAAATTAGCAATTAGCAAGTCCCCCCCAAACATGTAGTATATATAACCGTGTGTGTGTGTGTGTGTATATGATGATGTCCCCAGCATATCCTGTATATCCTTTGCGGTCGGCCGGGAAAGGGGAATTGAAATCTGAATGGGAATGTGTGAATGTAAATGTAAATGTTAATGGGAGACGTGGGGGGAAGCAACATCAAAAGTTTTCAGTTCGGCTTCTGGTTAATCTAATCAGCAGCCTTAGATCTGGCCAGGGGCAGCTTCATACAGCAGACAGTGCGTTACGGGGCTGTAAATTGGTTTAAATCCAGAAAGAATGTAAAAAGCTAAAACCTTGAAGGCCTTGTATACCTTGTTATTAAATTTTAAATGTTTTTTAAAATATAAATATCAAGGAAAAAGGTTAATTAAATACTTAACTACTTAATTATTTACTTTAATTTATTTTTTAAATATTTAAACCCAAATTAAAACCCATTCTAAAGGTCTTACAGCCGCTGAACGCACTGTTTCCTTTGCCCAGTAAATGTTGAGGTTTTCCCGAAGCTTCAACTTTTTTTGCCTTTGCAGTTGAATGGAGCTGTCGCAAGGACACTCACACACACACACAACATGACACACAGTGACAACTTTTGTTTGTTCTTGTGTTTATTGTGCCATTGTGGTGGTGGCAAAAAGGAAATTAGCAATGACAATTAGCCGGGATTGTCCATGTCCGTCTTGGTGTGTGTTCCCCCTCTTTCTCCCTCTCTCTCTGTATGTGTGTGTACATGATTTCATTAATTAACTTGGCCCACAAAACAAAAGGGAAAAGCGGAAGAGTTACACACCTCCCTTGGGGCCAAGAAGTTTCACCAGCTCCTTGGGCTAATGTGCACTCTCCTTGGGGTTAATCTTTGGGCACATGACTATACGCCACTCCAAACCAATCCCTTTGGCTCAGAATCCACTCCAGAATGACAACCACACACGCAATACACTCACATACACTCACACGGTTGTCCCCCCCACTTTACCCAAAAAAAGTGTTTATGTGGCCGGGCCAACAATTTAATCAAAAGAAAACATGGCTTCCATTTTAACTACTTACTTATTTAGTTGACAGAGTCCGCAAGGGAAAAGAGGCTATTTCTTTATTTTCCTAAGGCGATTTGAAGTCTCTTGAAAAGGCGGCCAAAAGTATGCAATTATTTTAGATGAGTAATTTTTTTTTTTCAGATGTTAAATCAATTTCCTTGGTATATTTTATTTCTAATAGATTTTCCCTTATTTAAAACATATTAGCCAATGTTATCGTTTGAAATCACTTGTTGTAGTGCCTTAAAGTATGCAATGATAAACTAAACTCAGCTCCCAAGTGATTTCAAGTCCTTAAGTACAAAGAAATGGAAGCCCTACCCCTTTTGAGACCTTAAAAACTATTACTAACCTTTAATGGCAACCGTGTCTGATCGTATATACCTTTTCGGATCGGATCGCATATATAATATATATATGTTATGTAGATCCGGCAGCTCGTCGCTGACCAGTGCACAGCACCATCCGTGTGGCTGCACCACCACCAATACTAGTTTAAGGTACACAGAGAGGGATAGACTTATACTGGCGCCGGCACATCATCCTCATCCATATCAGCGGCGCCAGGTGCGCCTCCATGTGAACAGTCCGTCCTCCGACCAGAGTGCGTACACCCCGGTGGGCAGTGGCAGTGGCCGGTCGCTGCCCGCCATGAAGACGCTCTCCTCGTTCATCAGCGAGCATCCCGAGGAGCTCTGTCCGGCGGATGGCCAGGGCCAAAAGCAGAATCAGTACGGGAATCCCAGTCACAACCACAACCAGAATGGCCAGCAGACAACGAAGTGGAAGAGCCTGCGTGCCGTGATGGCCTACTACTGCTCGCTGAGGCGCATCAAGAGGAAAGCGCCCTCCCCTTTTCCCCCATTCCCCCTTGTATAATCCATATGTACCAGTGTGTTCCATACTCTATAACCGTAATGCCTATATACGCGTTGTTCTAGCCATTAACTAACCAACAAGGCACAGAGAAAGAAAAGAGAATGCAGAGACATTGATTTGGCTTTGATTATTAACATTAATTTGGTGTTAGTTTTAAAGAATTAAAGGTTTTAAATTAGCTAATTTATGTTTAAAAGATTCTGAAAGTGCTGAAAATATTTTGAAAAAATTTTAGAGTTTTTTAAAGACGTAAATTCGAAACTCTTATGATTTTTTGCTACTAACAACTTTAATAATGCTATAAAAACTATTTAGAGGACTTTTTTAATAAAATTAATATTTAAAAATTAACAAATTAATGTTTAGAATGTTCTAAAAGTGCCGAACATATTTTTAAAAACTTCTAGAATTTCTTAAACACATAAATTCTATACTCTTTTATGACCTTGGCCTACAAGCAACTTTAATAACGTTCTCAAAACCTATTTATAGGTTTTAAAAACTTAAAAAAATAACCCAAAAATTTAATTAAAGTAAAAAAAAAACCAACTAAAAGTATTATTACACTCTGGCTCTCTTGTTTCTTTCTCTGTGCTTCCCTTAATATATATGTGTGTGTAAACCCTCCTGTGTGGGTGTGTGCGAGAGAGATCCTGGCCAAGTAATGTCCTGGCTCCCCGCCCGATAAACGTAAATCCATTGCGTAATCGATATGTACTAACCGCATCCGCCCAACTAACTCACATCTCTCGATCGAAAACCGATCTCTCGCCCGCTCACGCCCTCTCACTTTCACTCTCCCTCTGTCTCTGCCTCTGTCCCCCCTACTAACCCAATCGTAGTGTATGAGACCTATGTGTAACCCTAATATATAACCCCAATATCATTGATGTGTAAGCGAATGCCAGACCTCTCTTTGTCTCTCTCTCTCTCTGAACTGAACTAAAAACTGAAACTCAATATCGCCTGCTCGCTCTCGTTCGCTAGCTCTATCCCACTCTAACCACTAACCCTGTCTTTCTTTCTCTTTCTCTCTCATATATCCTTTTGCTGGGTTACAGTTAAGCCTCGTCAAGTGAACAACTTTCGTTCTAGTTTCGTGGCAAAGAGGATTTAGGCATTTAATAAGAGTGTGGGGAAAGTGTTATTAGCCATATGAATAAATTATACCATGAGGGGTAGAGGTAACACTGTACACCGAGTACAGTAGTTAACCCCGCGCAACAAAGTTTAGCTTGGGGTAAGAGGGGCCAAGAGGTGTCTTGGAAGGATATACATTTTACCACTTTCTGTTCTAGTTTCGGTTCATTTTTGGCAAAGGGCAACTTAAAAAGTTTGCTTCAGCTAAACAACTTGATGCTAACACACACACACACACACGCGAATACACTCAAGTTGCTAAGTACAGAGAGAAAAATATTTGATATAATAATTTATATTTATTATTTATTATAATTTATAAAAGAATTTAAATTTTTGAGAAACCAAGTAAAGAAACCCTAAATTTTAAAGTAATTTGCAGTCTTTTCTCCGTATTTATGTTTCAAGGATAACGAAAACCCTTAGGACCTTGACCTTGATGTCAAACTTTACAATACTTTCAATTTTATTTAAGACCAAGAAACTATTCCAATTTAAACTTAATTTCAATTCACACAGAAAAATTCGTAAAATTTCAATTAATTCGTACTTGTTGTCCCTGTTTTCTTTCAGTGTATAAGTAGGGCCAGTATATGAGAAACTTTTGCTGGCAAAAATCTCGGCAAACAGTCGAAAGTTTAAGTGGCTTTTGCCAGTGTGTGTTGTGTGTGTGCCTGAATCGATATGTTTAAGCTGCTGGCGCTGCAATGTAGGCGAACTTTTGACACAAATACACCAACACATACACCAACACCACTACATTAATACACCAACACACACACACACCAACATACATATGCGCCTATGCATATGCCAAGGAATTGCACCCCTTTTTCCCCGGCATTATGCTTGGGGAAATGGGAAATTGCCCTTGCCCTCTCTCTGTCTCTTTCTCTCTGACTGACAACTTACAAAGAATTTGAATTTAGAAAATTGCAAATTTATGTAGGGAGCCGCCAAGTGAACACAATGCCACGGAGAAGCCTGCCAGAATTTATGCACCACTTGCAGCAGCAGGATTCCTTCTCCTGTCCCTGTCCTACGATTTGCCATTTGATGTCGCCAAAGTTTTCCCTTTTCCCTTTCACTTGCATAGATAGTATATAGTGGTGCATGCAACCCCCAATTACCCCCTCTCTGCGGTTAGGTAATTCCCTTACAAGCGACTCTTGATTCCTCCTGATGCGCAATCAAATTCATTTGTTCGATCCGGCGATTGTGTTTTGATTTGCAAGCACTTGAAATGCCGCTCACATCCGGCAATGATATATATATATATATATATATATTGTTGGCTTTTATCGCATTGTCAGCAGGCTTTAACCTCTTTCCTCTCCCCTCTTGGGCTGCTCATTAACTAGGATGACCCAAAATAATTGGGGTATTACTCACGGGCAATAAGCCGCACACACACACACCCGACTTTCATCGGTGTCACAAAAACCTAATTCGGCTGGGAATTTACGATTTACGAGTGCACTTGCCAGGCAAATTGCTCTTTGGGTACTTTGTGTTTTTAATTTTTGGGTTTAAAATTTTTGAAATATATGCATATAAAAGGGCTCTCATTGGGGGGGGGTTAGGGGGAAGTGACAGGTTTTCCTTTGACTTTGGAAACAGCTAAAGAAGTGAGTTTGTTATGTAAAAATATTGCGCGGGTTTTTTTTATTCATTTTTTAATTAATTCTTAATTTCAAAATAAAATAAATTAAATTTGTTTTTGTCCAACGTATTTATTATTATTATTATTTTTTTTTTCATTTATAAAGGTTTTTTAAATAATTTTCGTGGGTCTTTTATTGAAATTTTTCTGCAAGTATTATTATTTATATTCTTTTTTGTAAATATATATTTTTTATTTTGTATTAAAAAATAATTTAAATTACTTTTTTTTTGTCTAGAGTATTTATTAATTTTTTTAATATTTATTCCCCAAATTAAGGCTGCTTTAACCTTTTAAAGTATTTTTTTCTGTGTGTCTTCCTTTAATTTTTCTACAAATAATATTATTTCTATTCTATTTTGTTATTAAATATATTATTTATTTTATATTTTCACTGTTTAAAATTTTATAAAAAAAAAATCATAGAATAGAGGAAAACTCTCAATTTTTTTTAGTGAAACTTAACTTCATTTTACTTTCTAAAATATTCATTAATAGAATATTTTCATATATAATATTTATATGGAAATATTCTCTCTCGAAAAAAAATTTAAAAACTGGCTGCTTGTCAAGTAGATTTCCCTGGAGAATTTCCCATGACACCCTGACACGATATAAAATCAAGCTGGAAGCTGCTACACTTTTGCCGGGTGTGAAGTGTCCCCAGACTGTTATAAATTTATCCCCATCAGCAGCAAGAGCAGCTGATGGGGGCAGCAGGACGTTGGCCAAATGACTTGGCGGAATTTTTCAATTGTTGTACCATCCGTATGTGCGTGTATGGGTGCTGTGCTCCATCTGGGCCATGATGTGCGGCCAGTCAGTCACGCGGCGTACCGAACGCGATTGTTTAGCATTCCGTCCGGTCATGGCCTGCGGCTGGAATGGCCGCAAAAACCCAAAAACGAAAATCGAAAACAGAAAACAGAAAAGTGAAAACAGAAGGCAGAAAAATCGAGAAATGAACGAGTAGTAAAATGGCTCGACGGGCAGAATACCCGGTCAAAGAGCTGGGATATATCATTGGGATGAGAGTTCCGCTAAAAAATAATTATTTTTAAACCTAAAATTTATAGAAATTTCTTAAATAATATTTCATAAAACCTTTTTTAAGGATATACAATAAAAAAAAGAACATTTTAAATAAATAAATACCCTTTAAACGTATAGAAAAAAATTATAGCATACTTTCCAGAGCTATTTAGCTTACGTGAAAATGTTCTTGATTTTTGATGATTTCCCATACATACACTGCGCGCTTAATGAGTGTGTAAAGGCACAGAAAACCCCAAAAAACGTGATGCCAAAAATCGAGACAGAGGCGTTAATTGAAATCCGGCTTAGGCTTAGGCAATCCCCGGTTAGCCCCAGGACATCATGCAGCCATTAAACAATAACAATTTCAGGCGACCGACCACACATGGCCACACACACACTCGGCACACTCGACACACTCGACACACACGCTGAACAAACAGTAGAGTCCTTTAACATTTCGCTGGATGATTTGTGGTGCAATAAAGAAGGCCATTTAATACCCGGGGCCCGGCTCTTTAACCTTTTGCTAACCCGAGAGCCTGAATCGAAATCGAAATCGAAGAAGCGAGAGAAATTGGGAAACGCCAAAAACTAACAAGCTCATTCTCAATTTATATTAAATCGAAAGTCCACAAATGGCTCAGCTGACCCCAAAACAACAATGGGGTCAGTCCCACACACACAATTACATAATATATATATATATATATATATGTGAGTGTGAGTGTGTGTGTGTGTGTGAGCGGGGTAATCTTATCGTGCAGCAAGCCTTTTTCCACTTGGCTGAAATGCGGGAAATGCGGCCAAAAAAAGCCCCTATATTTCTGTATCTGTCTCTGTCATCCCCCTACTGTCTCTCTAGCTATCTCTGTCTCTCTCTCTCTCTCTGTCTGTCTCTCTTTAAGCAAAAATATATATATCTATATATTTCTATGAAACAAACTCACACAACAAATATATGCTAAGCTTTGAAAAACAAATATCAACCAGGAAATAGCAAAATAGAAAATAGCCTAATAGAAAATAGAAAGAAAATATATATACATATATAAATAGAAAACAAAACAAAACAAAAAACAATAACAAAACAATGACAATGAAAATGAAAAACTTTCGAAACTCGTTTAGGAAATCGCGTATCGGAGATGGAGCTTCAGATCCAGATTCCGATTGGTAAGTTTTATACTCTTGCGTTTCTTATGATTTCTCGGTTTTGTCTCTGCACACACACACACAACAGAATACACACACACACACACACACACATGGAAACATAACGAGCTTTGTTCTGCTTTTGATTTGATTATGATTGCGATTATGATGATGATGATAATGATGATGATGATGATGGCAATGGCCGTTGATAAGGATGATCTCGGCATGTGCGCGCTTTGCATTTGAATAGGCCGCAAAAAGCAGCAACAGAAACATATATATACTTACTACAAAACATGTCACAAATACATATATATATATTATATATATAAAATAATAGCGAGTAGAGGGTTTTGAGCAGGTCCAAAACCGCAGTTAAACACCCAAAAAAACACCCAAAAGAAACAGTGTAAAAAGCCAACAAGGAGACACACCCTACACCCACACACCCCACTCACACACCCACAGTATACACCTATAGCTATCATTGTTTTCCTTTGGTTTTGTCTTTCGTTTAGCTAAAAAACTGCATTGCTACCAAATCGCTTTCGTTTTTCGTACCTCATCGTGTACCACACGACGTATGCGTAATATCTTAGCCACCGCTGTAAATATTATAGAAACAATGAAATCTAGCCACAAAAAAATATATAAAAAAATTTAAATAAAAAGCGACGAATTAAAAACATTAAAAAAATAAGCAAAACCTAAACATTTGAATGCAAACAATAACTGTGCATAAATCAAAACAAAAATCCAATTAATGCATCACCCAAAAAACCAAAAAATATATATATATATCTCAACTGTACATACAAGCCACTTACATATATATATATATATTATATGTATATATATATATTATAAACCGAATCAAATCGAATCAAACCTAGTACCCTAGATGCTATAGCAGAACAGACGATTGAATGGCGACCCTGAGCGCGGCTTGAGCAAAAGTTGAAAAGAAAAAGAAGTGGTAAACCCCTCAAAACCCCACCCCTCCCCTGTACCCTGACCCTGTGTCCTTTGTAGATCTAGTCCTAGATCGAGTTGGTATATATTCGTACTTGGTAGTGCTTAGCCATACTCTTGCCCCTGGAACTTCGTATGGTAATTGTCGTCCGCCTGTCCGTGTTTTGTTTTGTGTTTTGTGTTTTAAAAGTACATAAATTACAATCACTACTGATTGATGAAGGTTGAAATTTCTTTTATATATATATTATTTAGGTTGTTTTTTTTGTTTTTGAAACATTTTAAGCATTATAAATGATGGCAAGCAGGAAACAGAAACACTGAGAAAACCATAAATCAGGATGTTATACAAGATTGCCAACTTTTGGGAAATATTATTTACTTTATAAATGGGATAAATGGGATTTATTTTTATTATTTTATTGAGTGAATATAAAGTTGTTTATTTCTTTTATATTTATATATACATATATATTTTTTAATTAAAGTAAATATGAAGGAAAAATTGTTTAAAGGAAAACAATGGGGAAATTTTCAGCTTAAGGAAATATTTTTTAAATATTAGTTGTATATTAAATGTTTTATTGATTTATAAAATCTATATATTTTTATTATCCATATATTTTTAAATATTTATATATTTAAAAAAAGCTCAAAGGCAGACAAACAATTATTTTCTTTGAAATTAAAATTGTTTTTATTAAAATAATAAATATAAGAACAAAGAAATATTTATTTAAAATAATAAAGTTTATTTTAAAGAAATATTTTCTAGTTTTTATATTTATTTCATATTTAATTTAAAGAAATATTTCTTTGTTTTTATATTTCTTACTTTACTTTTTACTTATTACGTTTATTTTTTGTATTAAAAATTAATTTCCATTAAATGTTTTTATAGCTAGAAGTTATTGTTATTTTTAACTGGTAACTTTGCTTAATTTTTAATAATATAATTATATAATATTTAAATTCAAAGTTTTTTACTTGATGACAGAACTAAAGGTTTTTCCTTTTACATTTTCCCTTTATCTGACTTAGGCTTCCAAAAGTGATTAATGGAGTTCTAAAGACTCAAAACCAAGTATATACAAATCATACCCTCACCTTGGGGGCAAGAGTATCCCTAGCTTCGGTTTGCCGAACCATTTTTTTTATTTCTGGTTTTAGTATAATTTTAATTCCCTTGCTTTTAATTGTAAGCAACTTTTCAGTTTCAGTTTCCTCCAAGGGGTTTAAATTTCTTTACCTCGAGAAAAGCGAGTTTTAAATTTTTTTTTTTTTTTGTTTTTGCTCGCTTTTCCTTGGTTTTCCCCCCAAAAAGAAAACACCTGGCAGACAGTTTAACACTTTTCCAACCCCAAACCCAAGGCCGCCAAGAGCTATTTATAGCGATAGCGGAAAATTCTTGGCCACTTTTTACCCAGCTCTATCTCTCTCACTCTCTCTCTCTCACTGATTTTCTCCTTCGCTCTTGGTCTGTCTCTGTCTCGCTGCTGGTGCTGCTGCTGCTATTGCTGCTGCTCAAATTGTTTTCCAATTGCAATTTTCCTCATTTCCCGTCAATTGCATAACGCCTATGATTGTGATTTCGTTCGATTACATTTGATTCTATATTCGATTTGAGTTTGAGTTGATTTCGTTTGCGAATATCTCGAGCACATCTATCAGTATTGGATAAATATCATTTGTGTAGATTAATGGAAATATCGATTACTAAGTTATAACTATTTATATTGTATTTTCTGCATGCCTATCTATCTCTTTCTCTCTTAGCTGTCTGTTGCTGTTAAGACTTACTGTTACCGTTACTGTTACTGTTAGTGTTACTCCTACTGTTAGCGTTAACGTTAACGTTACCGTTACCATTGCCTGCCTTTGCGTTACGGTCTTTTGGGTTTCTACCCCGTCCTTGTCTTGCCTCTAAGTATGCGTAACATAGTTGTTATTGTGTAGCCCCGTAACCCATTACCTGTAATCCGTAAACCGTAAACCGTAACCCGTAGCCCGTAACCGTTCACCAACTAGCGTAAGTGTTTGATGTTTCGTGTTACGTAAGTGATTAAGCTCTCTCTTTCCCCCCATAAGGCACCAACCCGTAACGTGAGCGCACTGCTTTGTAGGAAAGATCTGTGTCTTCAGTTGCCAACCATTAAGCCTTAACCCCCCCGTTAAACCCCTTTTTGTCCTTTAGATAACTAATTTTAGTAGTTTGTTTTTGTGTGAGACAATCCCTTTTTCCTCTCTTCTAAAGCAACCCCCTGGCCTGTAAAGGACCTTATAATTTATATATATCTTCATTTTGTTTAAAAAAATACAACTAAAAACAGGACGCGATCGAACCAACGCTGGATGAAGCTGCGCACCACGGTGCAAATCTCATCGGCGATACAGAAGAAACCACCGCTCAAGCGCGAAGACTCCTTCCTGAAGCGTTTCTCGACTAGACAGATACCCGAAACACAGGTGAGAAATGTTTTTAGACTTGTAGAAATATTTTAAAATATTTTCTTTAATTTTATTTTAATTCTTTCTTTAATTTTTCGTTTAATTTTAAAGGAAACTGTTGAAGACACGGGTTCAGAAAGTGCCTCCGGTGACGTCGACAAGAGTGTTAAGCGACGGCGACGCTATCTGCAGAAACGACGATCCGTCGTTAATCCAGATGAGAATTTTTACTTCTATTGGTTAATGATGTTAACTGTATGTGTTCTATATAACCTATGGACCCTAATTGTGAGGCAGAGCTTTCCCGAGCTGCAGGTGAGTTACAGGGACAGCGGCGGCGGCGGCGGCGGCGGCTTATCTTGTTGCCACGCTTTTCCTTTACCTTTTCCTGTTGTTTTTTTTTTTTTTTTTTTTTTTGGGGAGTCCCCTTTCCTGTCCAGCCTTTTTCCTTTCATTGTGACTTCCATTTCCCTGGCAAGGACCTTTGTTCGTCCTTTGTGTAAGCCAACACCCTTTTGTCATTACGCCCCAGAAAGGGTTTTCGGTTGGTAACGACAGTTGGCCAACTGCTTACTGCCTGAACTGAAGGGGAGTCATCCGCGGCGAGGGCATCCCTGGGTCGTCACCTGCCGCCTGTGTGTGTGTGTGTGTCTCTGACAAAATTATCCGCTTTTTTATCTGTGTTTGCTCCTGGTCTTTGCCTTGTAATGACTCAATTATAAGACACGCAGCCGGGCGGCCAACACAAATGTTTGTTTATGGGCCCAGTTAGCTATGTTTTTTTGGTTAGAGCCCGGTGTTTGCCATCAGATTAGAGAGCGTCGTGTTGACTTTGACCTTTAGTCTCAGGCCGCAAAAGTAGTCCCGCATTTGCAATTGTCAACTGCATTCGCCGCTTAATTACCCTTGACCTGGCCATAAAAATAGACCCGAAAAAGAGCAAACTCACACACACACAGAGCACACTCTCCATTAAACTTAACATCCTTTCTCATTTTTAATGCTGACGCTATTCCCGGACAGCAAGCTGTGCCCACGTTCTGGCTCATCTGCGACTCGATGACAGATGTTGTATTTATCCTAGATATAATAGTTCAATTACGCACAGGCTATCTGGAGCAGGGCCTTATGGTGAGTATCGATTGAATATTAAATTGCATTTTGTATTTATAGGAATTTGTATTGTATTGATAAAGGGGTTAGAGTTCTCGATATAAATGAGTTGAAATCGATTTATTTAACTTAAATTTCAAATAAAATAAACGAAATAAACTTTAATTTCAAATAAAATAAACGAAATAAACTTGAATTTCAAATAAAATAAACGAAATAAACTGTTATTTTCGATATATTTAATTTATCTATGAATTATCGATGAAGAAATGATCGATTTATATACTTTAAAGTCGTTTAAGTATAATACTACCTCGCATATCTATGAATTATCTATGCAATATATAAGAAATAATAATATAAAAGATAATTATTATTTTAATTATATATTATTATATTATTATCGATAGGTTTTTGGAGTTACAAACATATATATCAATATTTTTTTGGCTTCCGCACAATATATATTTTATTTTATTTTAATAAATGTATTTTACATCATATTTTCATATAAAAATAATTAAAAATTAATAAAATTAAATAATACATTTAAATAATTAAATTAAATTAAAATAAATTAAATTAATATAACTAAAAATAAATAAATAAATTCTTTAGATATATATTTTATTTTTATATATTTTTTTACATTTTCATAAACTATTAAACCTTTTATTCCTTCAGGTATACGACGACAGGAAGCTGGCCTGCCACTATGTCCACTCGCGCGACTTCATCTTCGATATGATAGCGCTAATACCATTGGATCTGCTGCAGCTCAAGATGGGCACACATCCGCTCTTGCGTTTTACGCGCTTTTTTAAAGTGAGTTATCGGGGTTTAAACTTAATTTCCATATGCCATATATTTATTCCCCCTAATTCATCTTTTCAGGTTTATCGATCTGTGAGATTTTATTACATCGTAGAGAGTAGAACAGTTTGGCCAAATTTATGGCGCGTTGTTAACCTAATTCATATCCTGTTAATACTGGCACACTGGTTCGGTTGTTTCTATTTTTTACTCTCCGAGGCGGAGGGTTTTCAGGTAAGTTTAAGGCATAATTAATCTAAAATAAATGTTTTAAAATCTTTTCAATTTTTTTTTAAATATTTTATTTTTCAAGTAAATTAATTTATTTAATCTCTCTTAACTTACAGGGCGATTGGGTGTATCCATATCGACCCGGGGACTATGCGACCCTGACGCGCAAATATTTGGGCAGCCTGTACTGGTCGACATTGACCCTGACGACCATCGGGGATCTGCCCACGCCGGAGACGAATGCGGAGTGAGTATTGAATAAATTTGTAGAATATTTATAGTTGCAAAAATCATTAAAGGTTTTAATTCACTTGAAGTTTGACCTAAGAGTTTGCTCTATAAAGTGTGGCATACTTTTAGACATAATTTTAAATAGTTTCAAGTCTCCAGCGAGGAAGGGCTTTCTTTATTAATTAAAATTTTAAATATTAAAATTAAAAAATTTTAAATAAGTTAAAATATTAAATTAATAAAATTTTATTTACATTTTAATTAATACAAAAATTAAATTATTACAATTTTTAAAATTAATTAAATGTTAACTAATAAAATAATTAAATTTATTTAATTTTAATAAATAAAAAACTAAATTCATTAAATTTTAATTAATAAAAATCTTAATTAATTAATTATATTTATTAAATTTTAATTAATAAAAAAATCGGTAATTTAATGAAATTTTAAAAAATAAAAAAATTAAATTAACTAAATTTTAATAATTAAAAAAAAGCTCTTAATTAATAAAATTTAAAAGTAATTAAATCAAAATAAATTTTAATTAATATAGAAAGTCCTCCCCTTTCATTAATAAAAATTAAAAATAATTAAATTTTAATAAATAAAAAAATTAAATTCAATTTTAATTAATAGAAAAACCCTTTAAATTAATTAAATTTTAATTACCCACCCACAACAATCACCAATTAGACCGAACTTTTCGGTGGACGGCCCACGATCAATACCTAGGCGAGGCATCAAGTCGCGACTGCTTCAGTTTGGCTCTAGCTATGGGTACGAGATAAGCCAGTTAACCAACTAACTAAGTAACCCACTTACAAACCCACTAAGTGACCAAGTCACAGCCTTAAGCAAGGTCAATCAAATCGAGCGAATATCATGCAATTTGTTTGGGGGCTGTCCACCGATTCGGAGTCCTTGGTGTTCTAGTTTTCTAACTCCTCAAGTCAATCTCTGCCCCGCCGGCCCCCCTAAAAGCGTTTGGCATCAAAGTTTTCGAAAGCGTGTGCGACAGCCTTGAACAAAATTCCATTGATATTTGTGCCCTAAAAAAAAGGAAGAAATAATATTATAACAAACACAACATTTTGTTGACTTTCGAAAACTTTGATTGAGCTTGCAAAACGAACAGAGAGATAGAGAGAGCGAGTGGTGGTTTTGTTTATAAACAATTAAAGACAATTCAAAAAGTGAATCTACACCAAAAACCACTCTCTTTCTGCTTTAAAAAAACTAAATCGTGGTCGTGTGTGCCTCCCCGCTAATTGATGGCCACACCCGTGCGCCCTTCTTCTGACTCTCTCCATTTCCACAGATATATTTTTACGATCGTTAGCTATTTGATTGGTGTTTTTATCTTCGCGACCATCGTCGGCCAGGTGGGCAATGTGATAACTAACCGTAATGCGAATCGCCTGGAGTTTGAGCGCCTGCTGGACGGGGCCAAGACGTACATGCGCCATCACAAGGTAATATATATACTATATGCTATATAGAAACCAATTTGATATATCCCCTGCAGGTGCCCGGCGGCATGAAGCGTCGCGTGCTGCGTTGGTACGACTATAGTTGGTCCCGCGGCAGGATACAGGGCGGCGGTGACATCAACACGGCGCTGGGCCTGCTCCCTGATAAACTGAAAACCGAACTGGCCTTACATGTCAATCTCAGTGTGCTGAAGAAGGTGACCATATTCCAGGAGTGCCAACCAGAGTTCCTCCACGACCTGGTCCTCAAAATGAAGGCCTACATCTTTACGCCGGGCGATTCCATTTGTCGAAAGGGTGAGGTGGCCCGCGAGATGTTCATCATTGCGGATGGCATTTTGGAGGTGCTCAGTGAGACGGGCAAGGTTCTGACCACCATGAAGGCGGGTGATTTTTTTGGCGAGATCGGCATACTCAATCTGGATGGATTGAACAAGTGAGAGTTCTTCTATTATTTATATTTAATTTCCATAAATATATATATTCCTCCCCCTTGCAGACGCACGGCGGATGTTCGTTCCGTGGGCTACTCGGAGCTGTTTTCGCTCTCCCGCGAGGATGTCCTGGCTGCCATGAAGGACTATCCCGATGCCCAAGAGATCCTGCAAACGCTGGGCCGCAAGCGCCTGATGGAGGTTCGGTGTGTGAACAAAAAATATGCTAAGGCTCAGAGCGACAAGGAAGCGGCAGCCTTTGCAGCCGCCCATCCGCATCACCATCAGAGCCACCAGAGCCATCACCAGGGACAGGTGCATCAGAGCGATAGCAGCGAGAACAGTGCCTCCAAGAAGATCGTGGACAAGCTGAAGCACGATGTCAAGGGGTTCCGCAATGTGCTCAAGAAGTCCAGGTGGGAGTGAGTTGTCTGCTTATATCAGTGTTATGCTAAATATTTTATTCAATTAATTTATGCATGGTATTTAGGGTTTTTTTTTTTTGGCTTAAGGTAGTTTTTCAAATATTTTTTCTAATTTTTAAAATATTTTTTCTTCTTTTAAGTATACTTTTCGCTTTAGTTTTCGGTCTTATTAAATGTTTCCCAACGATTTTATTAATCTACAAATATTTTTTCTTTTTTTGATAATATTTTTTCATTTTTTTCATGTTTATTAATTTACAAATATTTTTTCTATATTTAATAATAATTTTTCTTCTAGTTTTCCCATAAGTTTTTGATCTTACCAGATGTTTCCCAACAATTTATTTAATTTACTAATATATTTTTATTTTTACTAATATTTTTTAAATTTTTCTACAATTTTTAGTTTTAATTTTTATTAATTTACAAATATTTTTTCTATATTTAATAATATTTTTTCTTCTATTAAATATAGTTTTCCCATAAGTTTTCAATCTTATTAGATGTTTCCCAACATGTTTATTAATCTACAAAAGATTTTTATATTTTTAATAATATTTATTAATTTAAAAAAAAAAAAATTTTATGTTTATTAACTTACAAATATTTTTTCTATATTTAATACTGTTTTTTCTTTTATTAAAAATAGTTATTCCATTAGTTTTTTACCTTACTAGATGTTTCCCAACAATTTATTTAATTTACAAATATTTTTTATATTTAATAACATTTATCCCCCCCTCTAGGACCTCTAGAAAGAGCGACGAATCCTTGGAAATGCAGCCACTGCATAATACATCGCCGCGCGGCAGCAAGATCATGCTGAAGCGCATGTCCCGCGTCCGATCCGACGAGAAGGATGCGGACAGTGCCGAGGCCAAGGACGAGCTGCACGACAAGACCCCCAGCCCGATTGGCGCCGGGCTGCCGCTGCTGCAGCGCCTGCGGCTGCTCAAGGAAAAGCAGGTAAGAGGCGAGGCACTGCCACGGGCACAGGCCACCAAGTCACCGGAAACCACAGCTCTCCTGGTTATACACCCACAACCACACACATACATATGCGCTCACCTTTGCTCGACTTTCGTTTTGACATCCAAAAACCAACACACACATTTTGCCACATTTTCGCATTTTCACATTTCCCCCCCAACTGGAAATGGCTTTAAATGGTTTTTCTCCCACAAGACCCACAGACAAACACACAGAGCAGTGAATGAAGAGCTTGACAGATGGAAAAACAACACACACTCGGCACACACACACACACACACACACAGAGTCGGAAAAGCCGCCTGTTTGAAGACAAAAAAAAATTATTAACTGGAATGAAGCTTGAGAGTGTTGTCAGAAGAGGGAACTGTTAAAGGGGAAGGGAAAATTCATATTTTGAGCTTGGGAAAATTTAAGACAAATTTTTTAAACGGAATTTTTAGACAATTTTCAAGTAGAAAATCAAAATGGAGTAGTTTTCGGATTTGAAAGGATTGCTTTTTCGGCAAAGTTTTTATTGTAAACGATTTAATTTGTCTAAAGAAAATTATAATTTAGAAATATTGATAATTTCGATTTTTAAAGTCGCAAAAATGCGTATTTCCGATGCGTTTTTGAAATTTTTAAAGGGTTATTCATTAAATTTATCAAAAATTCGTTCAAAACTTTATTTATCGATTTAATTAATATCGATTTAAGGCAGTTTCCCACTGGGGAAACCCTCTAAAACCCATTCCAGTTTTTTAAATGAAGTTATTCATTAATTATTATTATTAATTAATAACTTTTTAGTGGCTCACTCGACAGAAAACACACACTCTGACTCTGGCATTTGTGTACATTGTTTCGAAACCATTGTAATGCAGTTTGTACAAGTTGTTAGTGCACCCAAAAAAACAAAAACAAAAAATAACATAACACTAATTATAAAAAGAAAACAGAATCCATTGAAAAGAACTGTGCTAGTCCCAACAAACTTCTTCATCATTGCAATTTAGCACTTTAATCAAAGCTTTTAAAATAAAAAAGAAAATAAATTAATGCGAAAAATATATATAGGAAAAATAATGAATATTTAATGAAGAATATTTAATGAATTAATTAATGAAATTTCAAGATTGGCCTTTCAAAAACAGAGACTACTCCTTAGAACTTGGCGCCTGTTCTCCGAGCTTTACTAGTTGCTTTCCATATACTGTTTTCCCCCTGCTTCCGCTTTAGTGAATCTTACCTGTGTGTCTTTTCTGCCATTTTTGATTTTCCAAAACGGAACACAGGTGTTCTCTAGCTACAGATATACATATATATATATATATATACATATATATATAGATGTGTATATAGAGATCCAAGAGTACATTAATCATAGTAGGACAACCATTTGACATCTCTCATCATCAGTTTTAATTTGCATTTATCGTTTTCAAACCCCACGCTCTGCTATCGTTTAGCTATCGATTAATCGATCCGAGACCCAGAAATTCGTGTTGTATGTAATTAATCCCCAGCTCCTAAACAGTAGTCTTGTATGTGTCTTTATGTGTCTTGCACTAGGATCGCGAAGAGCGAGCTGTTAAGTCCACACCACCACAGAAATCTCCACCTCACTCACATGTAACGTGTACGTTATCGCCGCAGGAATCGATCCAGGAGGAGCCCGAACGCGAGTTCAGCGAAGGCTTTCCCCTGATCCAGCGACTGCAGCAGTTGAAAATTAAGAACGAGCCGCAGGCCAACGCCGCTGAACCCGGCGTCGTCATGGTAAAGCAAAAATTAAATCGAAAAAACCAATTAAAAACTTTGCAAATAACTCGTAACCAGAAGTAGTTAACAAACCCGAAAAAATAACTCTTAGGAACCCGTTTAAAAAATCTAAATCCTGTCAGCCATTTTCCCCCCAACCCCCTGGTTAACTTTAGCGGGAGGTTAACCAGGGAATAGTTCACTTTTTAGCTCAAAATAAGACCCAACCAGAGAGTAAGAAATACGTTTTTTCCTTTGGCTCGTTTATTATTTATTCGTTATCTTATGATTAGGCGATAAACTTATCCTCTGGTTATGTTACGAGTTTTACAAAGCTTACAAGATTTTATATTCGTTCATACTAACTTAACCGAGAATCATTTAAAATTTAAAAAGGTCTTTCTTAACCGCTGGTTAACTTCTAAGTAAGCAGTAAACTTATCCTCTGGTTAAGTTATAGATTTACAAGGCTTGCCAGATATTATATTCATTAGTCCTAACTCAACCAGAGAGTGTTGCGAACCGAGAGTCATTTCAAAAGGTCTTTCTTAACCGCTGGTTAACTTAGAAATAGCCGTTAAGGCAAGAAAGTCAACTTAACTGGAGAATAAGGTAATACAACAGCCTGTAAGTAAGTTACAAGTTGGCATCAAAATTTCCTAAAATTAAGAACTTAAATGTTATTCCAAAGAGACGTTAAATTGATAGTTTAAATCTTATTCTCCGGATAGAGCTTAACTGCAGGAGAATGCTTACAGGAAGCGCGGGAAAATGGCACCTTAACCGTCGTCCATTAAACCCCATCTATTAACGTTGCTCATCAATCTCTCTTTCTCCAATCCTTGAACCAAATCCCCGATGATATCCCAGGTCAACACGCCGCCCAACATCAGCAGCAAGATCGATTCGCACTTCGGAGGAGCCTCTGCCTCGGCCGTGGGAGTGCCTGGCGGAGCCAACGGCAGCTCCAGCTCGACCACGTCCGGAGGTGGACAATCGCTGACGGTGGCCCAGATCAAGCCCATCATGAAGGTGTCCTTCAAGCAGAAGATCCAGCAGTTGCAGGGCGGCGGCGGCGGTGGAGGAATGTCCAGCAGCTCGCCGGGTCCAAGTACTGGAGCCATTGCCAAAAAGGAGCCGCCCAAGTCGCTCGCCTTGGCGGCCAAGCATGAGGATACGGTCACAACTGGAGCGGGTCTAGGCTTGGGTTTGGGTTTGGGAATGGGCGGTCCTGGCATAGCCACCATATCGAAGAGGGTGGTGAAACCGCCAGGCCATCGGATAGACATGGCCATGGGCACAACGCCATCACTACAATCGGACACCGACACCGACGGCACACCCATCAAGCCCTGGTCCAAGCTGAAGCTGGCCACGCTCATGTCCTCCAGCTACACCAGCCTGACCAACTGCTCGCCCACGGATGACCCCGGGACGCCGCTGAAGAACTACTCGCTGAGCAACATACCGCAGCAGATGGATCAGCATCCGCGACCACCGCAGCGCCATCATAGCGCCAGGAGCAGTTCACGTTCGCCGCGGCATCATCACCACCATGGCCATACGCATCATCATGGCCACAGCTCCTCCAGCACCACATGCTCCTCGGTAGCCGGTGGCCAGCGGCGGGAGCCCAATCAGCTGGGAATGGGAATGGGAACGGGAACGACAGCCAATGGTGCCACCACCTCCGCCAGGCGGGATTGCCTGCGCCTGCAGAAGCCCGAACAGCATCTGCCCGACGGCGAACTGACCGAGCTGGGCGGCAATGGCGGACGAAGGAAGCTCTACCAGAGCGTTTTTGATCTGTCGCCAGAATACTGCGGTCTGCCCTTTGTCAAGCGCCTGAAGATTCTCAACGAGCGCCAGAAGCTGGCCGAGCTGGAGCGAGCCCTCCAGACGCGCAGCTTCAGCCTGGACTGCTCCAAGTCCGGCCCGGATAGCCGGGTGCCGATCACGGAGTCGCTGTATCGCTGCTATAGCGACACCTCCGGCATCTACTCGCAGTTCCTCAGCACGTATGAGTCCACCACAAGTTCCACCTCCACCTCGATATCCACGAATACATCAGCATCGGCGTCGGCCTCGGCCTCAGCCTCGGCTTCTGCTTCCGCCTCGGACAGCAACTCCAGGCAGCTGCTGCAGTATGTCCCACTGCCACTCAGTCCCGAGTCCAATGAGACGCTGGAGCGGCGCAAGCTGAAGAGCATACTCAAGAAGCTGCAGAAGGGCGCAGGCGCAGGCGCAGGCACAGGCAACGGAGGGCAGGAGGAGGAGCTCCAGCCAGGAGGATCAGCAACGAACAACAACAACAATGGCAGCAGCAGCTCAAAGGGGCCGGTACAGGGACAGGGCTTGGTACAGGGTCAAGGGCTGCCCGCGGAGCCCACCGTGGAAGGGTACGTGGCTAGGCACAGTAAGCTCTTGAAGAGTGTAACCTTCCATTCCACTCTTTCCAGCCCGCCCGCCAGTGCCAAGGAGGAGTATCCCTTCGGCGGCGGTGGGACTAATAATAGCGTTGTTATTGTTGGTACCGATGTACCGAGTGCCACTACACCTACACTTCCAACACCTAATCCAAATTCGCGCGCGGCCAACAGTGCGTATACGTATCCACTTCCGCTTCCGGTCAGCGGTCTTCCGTCTCCGATTTCAGCCACATTTCCGGTTACGGCTCCGGAAACGACAACAAGTGCCGCCGCCTGGTCGCCGACGTTGACGTTGGTAACGCCCACGAATTCGCCGCAGGAGAGTTTCGCGTTCGAGCTGCTGCATCCCAATCCCGGCCAGCTGCAGCAGTTTCGTGATCGCGATGGCGGACTCGTTGCTGGCGTTGGCAGCGCCTCAGCGTCCGGCGCTACCGGTACCGGTACCGGTTCCTCGACATCGGCAACCGCCTCATACATCGTGGAGTCCAAGTCGCAGAGCGAGTTCCATGCACAGTCCACCACCACCACAGATTTGAATTTGAATTTGCAGCTCAGGCAGAACACGACCAGTGCGCTGGGACTGGGCTTGGGACAGGGACAGGGACTGGGACTGGGACAGGGTCCAGGGCCGCAACACGAAGGTAAATATATCCGCTTCAGATTGTTTAGTAACGAAAAAAAAAAGAAAAGATACCCCAACATCAGAAAACCAGAACAAGAGCAATGCAACGCAACGCAAAGCATCGCTTGTCACATCCAAAATTTACAAAATTAAAAAGAAAACCACACGCTATTATACATATTTTTTTTAACTCTACATATTTAAATATTTAAAAAACTCAACACTTGTGCATGGCTGGGAGTCACAAACACTCACAAAAACCTAAAACAATGCTGGATATAAAGAGTAAGATGCATAACGGCAGAAAAAACTGAAGCATATTTTAAATATAAATAAGTAAAGCTCAAGTTTTTGAGGCATATTAAAAATCTAAATAATTACTAAAAATAATAAAATAAAACTCCATTGATTGTGCTCGTTATGCATTTTATTCTTTATCTGATCTTTGCTACACACACACTCTCTTTCTTCGCTTTGCCCTGCTTTTTGAAAACCCTTTTTAAAACTCTTTATACCCTCTTTCAAACTATTTTAAGCCTTACGAAATCCTTACTAATATCTAAATTGCATTTGTTAAACTCTTCTAAGCATGAAGGACACGCCTAAAAACTCTGTACATAGTCTTGAAAACATTTTTGATTTTTTAAGTAGGACAGCGGTTGAATTGCAGTCTTAAATTATTAAATTAAAATTATATTTATTTATAATAAGAAAAATATATATTAAAATCAATAGATCATTATTAAAAATTGATATAAAAAGTATAGAAAATGCTGCAAAACAACCGCTGCTTATAACTTATAACTTATGTTGGGTTTACTTAACGATCATGCTCAGCTTTTAATCATTTATTATTTTCTAACCAATGCTTAATTTATAATTTATAAATATTTTGTATATATACAACTTGATTTATAATTTAAAAATATTTTAAACTATAAAAGCCCGCCCCCTGCTGTGTGTTAACCCCTAACTTTTCAAGGTTTCAAGCCCCTAAAGCCCGAGTTTAATTCTAAAAAAAAAGAAAACTAAGCCAGGATCGGCAAAGGAATGGACAAAACCTGAAAGTATTCCCCCGAGCATGTAACCAAGCTTTTGTAAATAAGAAACCTTGACCAAAAAAAATAAGAACAAAATAAGAACATGTATATATAGAGGCCCGAGCTGAGTCCTTGATGGAGCACACTTGTATGACACTGGTAATGATAATGGTATTGGTAATGCTTATTGGTAATGGTAATGGTAATGGCAATGGTAATACTAATGACAATGGGAATGAGAATGTGTAAATAATACAACAAATTAATAACTAATAAGCAATGCCACTGCAAAAGGGTTTTAAATTTCAATTTTTTGATATTTAAGAAGGATTTTTCTATGCTATATATCCTTGATTCTATCCTTAATACCCAGCCAATCTTGCAGTGGCATTGCCTATCCTCTTCGTCTTCGTTTTCCTTGCCCAGGACATCACCTAAAACCTGAGTGAAGCCATAAATAACCATATATGGCATGTAGTGCTGCTAAAAAATGAAACGCTTTTACACCCACAGCCTTTGAACTTGAATATTTGATGTAGTTGAACTCTGGAAAAGAAACTATTGAATGTCCTTGCTCACCGTAAATGCAAAAAAAAAACTCACGTCAACACAAATGTAAACCGTATATCCTGTGCCCCCCGTTCCCCGTTTCCCGCTCCTCTGATTACCTCTGCTTTAATTCCCTTAACTAATCGCTGCTCATCTTGATCTTAAAGGCTTCCCGGAGGCACAGGACTACTTCAATCAGATACTCAGCGGCATCAATCACGTGATCAAGACGCACATGAACGAGATGCACTCCAAATTCGAGACGCAGTTCTCCAGCATGGCCGGCGAAGTGCGGCGTCGCGATGCCATCATTGCCCAGCTGCAACTCAAATTGCGCTCCATCGAGCAGAAATCCTCGTCTTCAGCGCTTCAACCGGTGGCCACATCCTCCGCCTTGGTCCTGCCGCTTAGCCGGCGCCAGAAGAAGATGTCCCAGTTGTCGGTGGACGATGATGAGCCGGCCGAGGACGAGGATAACAGCAGTTCTGGCTCCTCGGCGGAGCTACTGTTTATGGTAATTGGTCATGAAATAATAAATCATAAACGAATAATTAATTTCCCCGCTCTCCTACTCTCTTGCAGCGCGGCGACTCTCTGGACACGGTGTTCACCTCATCGCCACCCATTCAGGGCGGCAGGCGCAGCATATCGCCGGGTCCTGGCCGGGGTCCCAGCCGCCATCATGCCGCCTCGGCGAATGCTTTAAATTGTCCCAGCAGCTACTACGGTGGACCAGGATCGCTGAGCTCACGGCATGCCCAGAGCCATCCTAGCTTCTACTCTGGCCAGGGCAATGGACGCAGCAGCAGCCGTGGCGGCGGAGGCTATCGCGAATGGAGTGGAGGCGGAGCAGGAGGAGGTCTGGTCAGCGGTGGCAATAGCGGCGTTATGGTCTCGGATGTCACTGGTAATTTGACACGACTGGCGGATAGCGTTATTCTGGACATTGGCGAGAGCTCCAGCTCCAGTTCTTCGTCCAGCAAGATCAACATGGCCGAGGAGGAGGACGAGGAGGATGAGGAGGAGGCGGCGGATAATGCGGCAGAGCGACGCAGAAGAGTTGTGGTCGAGGAGGAGGAGGAGGACGACGAGGGGGAGGCGGCGGCGGCAGGTCAAAATCGAGCGGGCCACAACGACTGGGAAGTGCAGATGCTGGCCGCCGAGATGGAGCGGCAGGAGCGAAAGCGCGGTCACTCGCTCAATCCCGACAATCTCGGCGAGCTGAGACACTGCAGCACGCTGCTGCGGCGTCGCCGCAAGTTCAGCGATACGGAAACAGAGTTCAGTGAAACGGATATGGATGATCAGCTAATGGCTCGAGCGGGCGGAGGAGCAGGAGCAGGAGCAGCGGGAGCAACCAGCTCTACGACTTCGGCAGGCCATCAGAGCGGCAGCCAGCGGCCTAGGGCCTCCAGTTTGGATCAGTTCAACCTGCGCTATGGGATCGGGCGCGGCATCTTTAAAGCAATGAGCATCGATCGTGACAAAGACAAGCTTTGAGAACTGTAATCGCTAGAGAAGCCAACCCTCGCCCGGGATTCTGGGAACCCCTGCAACAACCCATAAGCAATTCGGACAGTATTACCATGGTACAACAACTATTACAGAACCTAAGAGAGATGTGAGCACACGCAGAGCTATATTCTATACATGTATGTTTAGCCCTAACGAATCCCGATATACAGAAGCACCCGAAAGAGATCGAGATATATATATATGGCATAAAAACTGTAGAATTAACGAAACAACTACTACTAAACAAACCGAGAAACAACACACAGATAGCCAGAGGGAGTCCTTCGATCCTTGAGACGGTTTCAGTATGTATTTATTTATATTATTTATTTATATTTATTTATATTATTTATTTATACTATTTTTTTATACTATTTATTTATACTATTTATTTATACTATTTATTTATATTATTTATTTATATTATTTATTTATTTTTCCAGATTTTTCTTTCTCATCAGAGTCCTTGCAAATGTAAATAGTCCTTTTTACAGGTGAGTTACTGCACTTTAGGCTTCTTTTTTACTATTTAATTTAGGAAAATTAGGAAATTATTGCGGGGTTTTTATTAATTAACAATTGAACTATTTTAACTTAACAATTTCTGGCATTTTAAACTTAATATTACCCAAAAAATTAAGTTAAAAGCAGTTATGGCAGTCTAGATCTTAGTTGTTTTCATTTCAAAACAATTTTTAACAAATGTAAATTAATTTTTTTTTTTTTTTAACTTTTTAAGCTAAGTTCAACATAAACTCTCAAAGGAAGATCTCCAAATTAAATTCTTTTTTAACTTGAATACTTTTTCAATTCAATTGTTAATAATTTTCTTTAGATTTTTTCTAAATTTTTGTATAGCTGTGTGTGCAAGTGAAAGAGATTGAGTGTGTGTGCGAGCGAGTAAGAAAGAGGATAATTCCCACATTAAACCGTCCTGAGAATTCGTCCATGTTTTTTCATTCATCCTAAATCCTTTTTCTTTCTTCTTTCTTTTTCCTATATTTTCTTTCTATTTTTTACTTTCCAAGAAGCCTTCGGGGTCGTGGAATCTCTCTACAGATGTATATACCTCTTACTGTTAGAGACTATGGAACACATATATATACACATATATATTTTAAGTACTTATATATATATACACAAAGAAATATACATAATAATATATCTATATATGAAACTAGTGTAATGAAAACCGAAAGCTTTAATAACTTATATAGAGAACTATTTAAGAAAACGTTTTAAATATTAATCGATTCGGACAAAAATGATTTTGAAATAGAACAAGCCACCAACCCATACACACACACACACACACTCACACGTACACACACTTACACACACATACATACAAACACATGCACGCATACAAATATCTAAATATAGAGCCTATAATATGCATAGATTAGCGATTTACTTGTTGAAGAACCTCAGTTATCGAGCTGTTAGGACTATCGAAGCGTTAGTCGAACCTATCGAAAAACTTAGACTAGCCCTCCTGCATTAACCTTAAACCCCTTAAACCCTGTTCCTTTTGTTCCTCCGATTCCCAAACTAGAGACACTATCGCGTTATAAGAAAGGCAACTCTCTCTAGCACTTAAGTAGTTTAGTGCCGTTCAAGACTCGACTCAAAAACTCAAAAAAAGAGAAACGATAACGATAACGATTGCTGGCATTCTTTGGTTTGATTTCAAGCTGCTCTCTTTCTATCTATCCCTCTCTGTCTCTCTCTAACTAAATGCTAAGCCAGGCCCCAGAGTCGTAGAGTCCGTAGGAAGGAGTTTAGAGCCCATCTGCAGAGCAGGCACGTCCTCTAGAGTTTTGTAGTTTCTAGTTTTCACAAATGGCCGCAACTATCGATAACTATCGTACTGTACTAAGCGCACTAAGAGACACAACCCAAGCACACGTACCCACAAACATACTACACACTACAGGCATACAGCATTAAGGACACGGATATGTGGTATATTCCAGTAAATAAGTTAGATTGGAGCTGGAATATCACTAATCGAAGTGCCTATCGATGTGGCACAGATTAATTTCAAGGATGCGCTAAATAATCGATAGGCTCAGCGATGTTTTCCATCTCTGGTTTGATTCAAAAACATAAAGAAATTCAAGGAACAAGGAAAAGAAATTCTCAAATGGGTTCAATGCTAAAAAAAATATATAAAAAAAATAAACTAAACTACAAGAAACACCAAAATGGGTCACAGCCAGCTAAGCAGTCCAACTAAATGTAATAAAAAGACAAAAACGACAAGCACAACAACACTTATGTAATTCAACGTAGTTCGGAGCCGAAGGATGTATAACTTTATAGGATCTTGATTTACTCATTTAGCGGGTTCAAAAAAACCCCTTTTCAATTGAATTACATACGCCAGGGACCACAAAACTGTTTTTTGTCTCTTTTTTTTATGATATATATAAACAAGGAAAACAAAAAACAAAAGCAAAGTGTAGTCACAAAATGAAAACCTAAATGATAATAACGAAGGAGAATGCCAGGCGGTAACCGGAGGAGCAGTAACCGTCACTTGATCATCGATGTACCGTTAGCTCACTAGAAGTCCCCCCCCGCAACTCTTCGATATATATCGCAAATTATATACTACGGCCTCACTGATTTCTCACCACAATATATAGCTCTCAGTTCAATTGTTGTCAGCCAACGAAACACACTCTGTGAGTCAATTACGTGTAAATGGATCATTTTAAAGTTGAAATTAACTAACAAAGGCATTGAATTGTTTTTAAAAAAGGATAACCTGACCCTGACCCTGACCCCCTCTCTGTATTGTATTTGTACTATATTAACGCGCGAATTGTTGTTGTCGTTGTTGATTTTAAACGTTTTTTACATTTTAAATTGCTCGCTCTTAAGTTATGGATATTTTTGTACATTAGCTTAAGGTTAGCCCCCCACGAGTCTAGAGTAAATTCCTATTATAAATGTATAAATACCTGCATATGCATACATGAATATTTTTTTTTCTCCTAATTGCTAATTTCCCAAAGTTGACAAATACCTAAGAAAAAGGAAAAAAAAAAAAGCAGAATTACTTCTAGTAAAGATTATATGCAAAACATAATTTAAACTAACAAAAGAAAAAACCTAAAAAGCAAAACGAAACAAAGAAATTAGCACATGTTAAAGATCCGCAAAAAAAAAATAAAAGAAAACTATAAAAAAAAGCGAATGCAGAGATAAACTTGCGAACAACTTGCCTTCGGTTGCGAGTCGTCGTCACTCTTTGTGTGTAGTGTGTGTGCCAAACCTGCATCATATCAACTTTTACTCACCACAAGGTATGATGTGTTGCTGCCAATAATTTGAAAATGCGATAAAGCGATACGAATTCGAATTCGATCTAGATGCGAACGAACACTAAATGAAAAACCACGACAAGCCGAGGCAAATCCCCCATGCAACCAAGGTGAAATATGAACGAAAAACGAAGCAAACAGAACTTAACTTTGAATAAAAGAGAAAAAACAAAAGCGAAATATAATTAAAAAAAAACCCAATGATTTATTTACCAAGGGAATGGGAAATTATTTACCATTTTGGCTTACTTATTACATTTTTAGGCTTTAATTTTCCCTAACAATTATTACAGGAAATTGTGGATAAATATTTATTAATATTTTTTTAAAACTTAAATTTTAGTAAATTCATAACTCTGCAAAGAAGCAACAATTTTAATTTATTAAATTAAATGCAGGTAAAAAAGTATTGCAGATTTGTTAACCTAACTCCGCTTTCCGAATGACAATCTCAGGCCAAGTCCCAGCGATTTGGCCAGAGTTTTCCATGCAAATTTTCTAGTATTCTTATACCCTTGCAGGGTATTTTATTTCCAGTCCGAAGCTCATTACGCATTGAAGGAGTCATTTCCGACCCCATAAACCATATATATTCTTGATCAGCATTAACAGGCGCATCTTTCTGGCCAAGTCCGGAAGAAAAAAATTTTTGATCAATTTTTTCGAAATTCGATAAGGGGTTACATCATTAAAATTCTCAAAATTTGATAAAATTTTCAATTTCTAACTAAGTATGCAGAGTTGTTAACCTTACAAAAACTAACATAACGCCGCTTTCCGAATGCAATTTGAGGCATTTTTGACAGATTTATGCCTTTTTTAGTTTTTAATTTTCCGTTTTTCTCGTTTCAATTACAGACTTTCCATCACAAAAGGACCAACGACACACGCAAAAGGATGGTGAAAACGAGAGCGTGCACAGCGATCCGCGAAGCACAAGTTCATCCTAGTCATCATTGTAATTGTTGATTGATGATCATCGGATCGGCAGAGGTGAAGCTGGAGGAGCAAGCAGCTGGGATGGCGGAGCTCAAGCGGATGGCAGTAGTCGGATATTGGCTCCGGGCTAGTTGAAGCCCAGCAGGCGTAAAGTATTGGAATATTTATAAATACATTTTAAATGTGTAAATGTAATTGATGGAACATACAAATTTGAATCAATAAAAAAAGGGAAATCAATGTGGAATTGTGTGGTTTAAGCGGCATTTATTTGGGGGCCTTGGGATTGTTTGGGGAAAAATCTGTTGAAAGCCAAATGTAATTTTTTTTTTTTTTAATTTTAACATAATTTTCTGAATTTTTAATTTTTGTTCATAATTTTTAAAAATTTTCCTGAATTTTTAAAATTTTTTTCTAATATTTTAACTTTTTTTTTAGATTTTTTAAATTTTTTTTGGATTTTTAAAATTTTTTAAAATATTTTAACTGCCAAATTTGAATTTGAATTTAACGACGATCAGTTTCAGTGTGCCCAGATGCAGTTGTAAAATAACACCTAAATTTGGATTCAAAAGGTTTGAGTCTCCGCTTACTTGCTCCGACTCTTAAATGGTTCGAAACTTGGACTTTTTATAACAGTTTATACCAGTTTTCAGTTGCTTGCTGCTGATTTCTGTTCGCCTGTTACCCCAATTTGGGAAACGGGCAATTTGCATGGAAATTTTTGCTCACTTGCATCAGTGATGCTCATCTGGCTATTTTTTGCATTATTTGTAGAAAATGCGATGAGCATCACTGGCAGTTAGTGAGATGCCTATAATTTATAAAAAACCCTAATAACTCAGCCAAAAATGCATGAAATTAAATTTGGAAAACTGTTCTGAGTTGCCTTTTCTAAGCTTAACAAAACTGCAAACTAGGTTTTGAATTTCATGCATTTTTGGCCGAGTTGTAAAGTTCACATTTTTATAGGTAAGTATTTTAGCAAAACTGAGTATGCAGTTTTGTTAAGCATCGAAAAGGCAACACAGAACAGCTTTCCGAATTGAATTTCATGCGTTTTTGGCCGAGTTATGAGGGTTTTTCTAATTTTTTGTTGATATTTTTTATAAATTATAGGTAAGTATTTTAGCAAAACTGAGTATGCAGTTTTGTTAAGCTTAGAAAGGGCAACTCAAAACAGTTTTCCGAATTGAATTTTATGCGTTTTTGGCCGAGTTATGAGGGTTTTTCTAATTTTTTGTTGATATTTTTTATAAATTATAGGTAAGTATTTTAGCAAAACTGAGTATGCAGTTTTGTTAAGCTTAGAAAGGGCAACTCAGAACAGCTTTCCGAATTGAATTTCATGCGTTTTTGGCCGAGTTATGAGCTATTTAGCAAAATAGCTAGATGAGCATCACTGGCAGCTAGTGAGATGCCATTTTGTCCCAATAATGCAAAATAGCTAGATGAGCATCACTGGCAGTTAGTGAGATGCCATTTTGTCCCAATAATGCAAAATAGCTAGATGAGCATCACTGGCAGTTAGTGAGATGCCATTTTGTCCCAATAATGCAAAATAGCTAGATGAGCATCACTGGCAGTTACTAAGATGCCATTTTGTCCCAATAATGCAAAATAGCTAGATGAGCATCATTGGCAGTTAGTGAGATGCCATTATGTCCAAATAATGCAAAATAGCTAGATGCGCATCACTGGCAGTTAGTGCGTTGCCATTTTGCCCCAATAATGCAAAATAGCTAGTTGAGCATCACTGGCAGTTAGTGAGATGCCATTTTGTCCCAATAATGCAAAATAGCTAGATGAGCATCACTGGCAGTTAGTGAGATGCCATTTTGTCCCAATAATGCAAAATAGCTAGATGAGCATCACTGGCAGTTAGTGAGATGCCATTTTGTCCCAATAATGCAAAATAGCTAGATGAGCATCACTGGCAGTTAGTAAGATGCCATTTTGTCCCAATAATGCAAAATAGCTAGATGAGCATCACTGGCAGTTAGTAAGATGCCATTTTGTCCCAATAATGCAAAATAGCTAGATGAGCATCACTGGCAGTTAGTGAGATGCCATTTTGTCCCAATAATGCAAAATAGCTAGATGAGCATCACTGGCAGTTAGTGAGATGCCATTTTGTCCCAATAATGCAAAATAGCTAGATGAGCATTCACTGGCAGTTAGTAAGATGCCATTTTGTCCCAATAATGCAAAATAGCTAGATGCGCATCACTGGCAGTTAGTGAGATGCCATTTTGTCCCAATAATGCAAAATAGCTGGATGCGCATCACTGGCAGCTAATAAGATGCCATTTTCTACCAATAATGCAAAAAAAATAGCTAGATGAGCATCACTGATGCACATGAGCATCACTGCCATTAAGCCCCCCAATATTGAAATATAGCCAGATGAGCATCACTGATGCAGATGAGCATCACTGATGCAAGCAAGCAAAATTTTTCATTCAATTTGGTCCCTTTCCAAACTGGGGTAACAGGCGAACAGAAACCAGCAGCAAGCAACTGAAAACTGGTATAAACTGTTATAAAAACTTTTGGCCAAAAATAATAATTGGTATAAACTGTTATATTTCATTTTATGCATTTATACCTATTTGTTGCCGACAACGACAGCTTGATGGCAACAACAAACTTTTTACAACAACATCCCTACAGCAGCCAATCCAAATTTCCGAACATTTCCATGCAAATTGCCCGTTTCCCAAATTGGGGTAACAGGCGAACAGAAATCAGCAGCAAGCAACTGAAAACTGGTATAAACTGTTATAAAAAGTCCAAGTTTCGAACCATTTAAGAGTCGGAGCAAGTAAGCGGAGACTCAAACCTTTTGAATCCAAATTTAGGTGTTATTTTACAACTGCATCTGGGCACACTGAAACTGATCGTCGTTAAATTCAAATTCAAATTTGGCAGTTAAAATATTTTAAAAAATTGTAAAAATCCAAAAAAAGTTTTAAAAAATCTAAAAAAAAGTTAAAATATTAGAAAAAAATTTTAAAAATTCAGGAAAATTTTTAAAAATTATGAACAAAAATTAAAAATTCAGAAAATTATGTTAAAATTAAAAAAAAAAAATTACATTTGGCTTTCAACAGATTTTTCCCCAAACAATCCCAAGGCCCCCAAATAAATGCCGCTTAAACCACACAATTCCCCATTGATTTCCCTTTTTTTATTGATTCAAATTTGTATGTTCCATCAATTACATTTACATTACAGCTGCTTGCTCCTCCAGCTTCACCTCTGCCGATCCGATGATCATCAATCAACAATTACAATGATGACTAGGATGAACTTGTGCTTCGCGGATCGCTGTGCACGCTCTCGTTTTCACCATCCTTTTGCGTGTGTCGTTGGTCCTTTCGTGATGGAAAGTCTGTAATTGAAATGAGAAAAACGGAAAATTAAAAACTAAAAAAGGCATAAATCTGTCAAAAATGCCTCAATTTGCATTCGGAAAGCGGCGTTATGTTAGTTTTTGTAAGGTTAACAACTCTGCATACTTAGTTAGAAATTTTGAGAATTTTAATGATGTAACCCCTTATCGAATTTCGAAAAAATTGATCAAAATTTTTTTTCTTCCGGACTTGGCCAGAAAGATGCGCCTGTTAATGCTGATCAAGAATATATATGGTTTATGGGGTCGGAAATGACTCCTTCAATGCGTAATGAGCTTCGGACTGGAAATAAAATACCCTGCAGGGGTATAAGGATACTAGGACTTGGACTTGGCCTGACTTTGCCGCTTAGATGGGGCGATAATGGAACAGTGGCAAACCGAAGCTGCACATCCCTTTTAAAATTCCCGCCGCTCGATTTCGATCACACGGACGCATGCGCAACCGTATGGCAATTGCTTTGTTGCCTCTTCCCCCGTTCTTTCTTTCGGCCATCTCTAGCAAGGCACTTCATGGTGGAACAGTTCTGCCGCCAGATGCAGCTGCTCCAGCTGATGGAAGGCTCCGCCGAAAGGTTCGTGGAGCACCCCGAGGAACTGCTGGCACCTGTGCAGGTGCGCCTTGACTTTGACTACGCTTACCTGCTGGAGTAGTCGCCGCGGCTGGAGGAGCCCCTGCAGTTCGGCGAGGCGGTTAGGTACTCTTGTCTACGGGGTGGAGAGGGCGCTCCTGAAGACCATGTACGGCTGTTGGGAATGCCCTGCATGCCGTGCTTGCAGTTTGAGCCGCTGGATCAGCGTCTGTCCTTGAGCCAGGTGCAGGGCCTTCTGGCTGCATATACACCGAGGGAGACGTTGGAAAAGGAAAAAGATCTCTCTTTATGTGTTTCGATTTAATTTGGTTGTTTTTGAGCGTTCAAGTAGAGCAATTTTGACTTCTATGGTATGGATGGTATGTCTTCCAATACGAAGTATCTTTCAGTTCGTGTAAATAACCACAACTTCCAACTTCACTCACATTAAACCACTATTCATTTATTTGATTTAAAACTAACCACTTTTTAAGACTAACCAGAGCATGATTCCTGCCTGATTTACTTTTATTTGTGTACTTACAAACCCTAAAAACCCTGTAAACCCTGTAAACACCTTCGTAATCCAACTGTCATCCACACATCCTTCAAAACAAGCAACCAAAATTGTAAAGTCACATCACTTTGATACTTTTGTTTATTTGTTTGCATTTGTTTGCAGCTCCGTTGTGTTCGGGCTGTTCCCGGCTCATGAGTGAGCCACCAGAAGCTAAGAGTCACTGAAACGTTTAGCCTCCGCGCATCCTCGATTGCCTTCATCGCCTTAAACTGATCCAATTGCCAGCCCACAGCCACGACTGCGAGTTAAAGTTGGGCTCATCCACGTATCTCGTCACAGCCATCACCTGGAGGTATGCCATCTAAGAAGCATCTAGGCAGCCACCAGGGCAGCCGCATCAACCGGCGCCGTACGGTCCAGCTGAGCGAGTTTCTGCGCGAAGACGAAGAGGGAGGAGTTCTCCAGCAGGCAAAGTCTCAGAACTCCAACGAAGGCTCCATTGGGTAAGCCTCCTAATAACCAATGATTGATTATTAAGCAGTTTCAAATGACTAATCACAACCCCTTTCCCTTCCCATCCCTTCGGCTCACCTCGCTTGATAGTTGGGTCTCTGTGAGCTCTGTTAAGACACCCGATACACAGACCAACGAGTCGGAGAAGGTAGCGTCTACATACCAGGCACCTTCTCCTTCTCAGCCTCTCATCTCTCCTCCTTCCCCAGACTTCTCCATCGCCACCAACACCTCGAATCCCACTAAACGCTTGGGGTTTATCTTCCGCCGAAAAGGATCCCTATCAAGAAACCTTTAAACCCGATCAGCAGGCATTTCCCGACTTGGGCATGCAGGTGAAGAAGGTCAAGACGCTGGCCTTGCCTGAAGCCAACAGAGCCACAGGAGTCTCTCTTGAGACAGCTAGTCCTCGACGCGGTGGCCCAGTTCTGGGCAACTTTATGCCGAAACCCTTGCTCCTCTCTCCTGGCAAAGATCAAGCTGTGGCCAGCTGGCTGAGCTCCGTACGTTCGGATCAGCGCAGCAAGCCGGCTTCTTGTTCTCCGCCTAAAATAACCGTCTTGAAGAGACCCACATACCAGCAGCCGAAGATGTCCTGGCAGCCAGTGGAACCAGCTCAGACACGGGGTCCATTTCAGCAAAAGAACCCACCAAAGAGTCCTGGCAGTATCTTTGAGTATAAACTACAACAGAAGAGACCTGCAGGTCCCTCAAGTCAGGAGAATCCTTCTGCTCGGGAGGAAACCAAATCACTCGTTGAAATTCAGGCCGTCAAGGAGGAGGATGCACTAGTGTCCGCTTTCCAAGATCAAGGACAAGGTCGTAGTCGCGGTTTCTGGGGGGAAAGCCACAACTCATCGCTGGGGCATCAATCGGTGACCAAGCCTGAGAGGGAGACGGCCGGTGGTCTATTACAGAGACAGGACCAGGTTTTACCTCTCATCCAACGCTCCTTATTGAATGCCAATGCTAAGGAGTTTCGTCCCATGGTTAGGCAGCCAGAGTGGGAGCAGGAACAGGAGCAGGAGCAGGAGCAACTGTATCCAGCTGAGGAATATCCGCCAGAACCTTACGAATCCCGACTGACGGTGAGTTATATTCCAGGATTTCTTGATGAAAATTGATTTTTTCCTTTAACAGCGAAGACGTCGCCTTCAGCGAGCTAAACGTTCCAAGCGTTGGTCACTCGAGCAGGCTAATTATGGTCAGGTTCTTGATATCCAGGTGCCGCTGGCTCAAGGTCAGCAGTTGCAGCAGCGTCAGCGACTATATGCCGGAATGCAGCAGCAGCAGGAGCAGCAGCACCAGCAAAAGCAGCAGCAGCAACAGAGTCAGGCTTCCACTTCCTTTTCCCGTTGCTACTACAGTGTCCCGCCGGCTCATCATCATCATCAGCACCCGCGGGAGCGGCAACGACAGCATCAAGCAGCTCAATTACACCAAACCAACCACGGGTATCCAGTTTATGCCACCCAAACAGCATATAGAGCTCCACACGCTGCTCCAGTTTATGGCGCACCATCTTCAACTTCTTCCGCTAGACTGGATTATGTGGCTGCTCCAGCTACTGGGAGAGCCTATGAAGCTCCAATCGCTGCTACTCGGAGAGCCTATAGAGCTTCTTCATACGCTGCTCCAGTTTACGTAGCTTCACCTATTTATGCCGCTCCGCCGTCAGCAGCTTCAACCTCTAACCTAGATTATATCGCCGGGGCAGCTACTCCAAGAGCCTATGGAGCTCCACCCGCTGCTACTTCTGTTTATGCCGCTTCGCCGACACCACCTTCATCCTCTAACCTAGATTATATCACCGGGGCAGCTACTCCAAGAGCCTATGGATCTCCCCCCGCAGCTACTCCGAGAGGCTATGGAGCTCCACCAGCTGTTAATCCTGTTTATGCCGCTCCGCCGCCACCAGCTTCATCCTCTAACCTAGATTATGTTGCTGCGCCTGCTGCCACTCAAACACCCTATGGAGGCTATTTATCCATGGTCTGCCCATTTATCTGGGCCATGGAGTAGCCCAGGAATTGGAGGTGTGTGCCTAGTCTTCTGTCCACCTTCTCCGCCAGCTGTTAATAGTTTTCTCATTATCCTAAACATCGATCTGTACATATCACAAGGACCAGCAGCTGGTGGAGCAGCATACACAAAGACCCAGCGTTGTATGCTTCTTTAGACACAAAACCTACCTTGCCAGAAGGCACACAACATTACACACGATTCGATTTATATCGAAATTTGTAGTTTTTTAGAATGAATTTACATCGCAAATTGTGTTTATAAACCATTTTAGTTTATATATTTACTGTTTTTCTCTTTTTTGGGTTGTAAATAAGTTAAAAGAGGGGGAATTTTATGTGGATTTCTATAACTCGTAAACTGTTTTGAATGGAGAACTACAAACTGCGAAATGTTTGGAAAGCTATATATCAATGGTTGGTGGCTTAAATCTCTGGGAAGAGGCTATGTGTATGATTTATCTCGGCTCGGAAATGCTAGCTTCACTCAGAAAAAGTAATATATTATATTTTAAAATCAAATTTTTACATTAAAAAACTTAAAAACTTAATTTTTATAAGAGGAACCCCTCTTAAAAATATCGTAACTCGGCCAAAAATGCTTCAATTTCAAATCGGAAAACAGTTTTATGCTAGTTTTAATAAGGTTAACAAATCTGCATACTTAGTTAGAAATTCAAAATTTTATCAAATTTTGAGAATTTTAATGATGTAACCCCTTATCGAATTTCGAAAAAATCGATCAAAAATTTTTTTTGCCGGACATGGCCAGAAAGATGCGCCTGTTAATGCTGATCAAGAATATATATGGTTTATGGGGTCGGAAATGACTCCTTCAATGTGTAACTAGCTTTTGATTGAAATTTTAAAACCCTGGAAGGGAAATTCAGATTTTAATGTTTTTCCTAATTTGAAAATGAAAGAGACAACTATATACACACATATAAATGTCTCTCTCTCTCTCTTTCATTATCAAATTCCAAAGACTTTACTTGAATTTCTTTAAAATATATAAATATTTATATAAAATATATAAGAAAATTAATTAATAAAGACATATATCATTATAGCATAGCCAAAACCCAGCTCCACAATATTCTATTCATCTCTACTTACCACATTTTTTGTGATTTATTTCAAATTAAAAACTATTTCCAAAAAGAGAACTGTTTACACTCAATTGATTTTTCATCTTGTTGTTTATTTTAAATTTAGTGTATCATTTCGCGGAGTACACACGTTATTTGTATAAAAAAAAACGAACGCAGAAGAGTTTGTTTTTGTTGGTGCAACGTCTCCTTAACGGTTGGACTTGGCCACACGCTCCAGCTCATCCTTCTTCTTGATGGCGTAGGAGTTGGAGGAACCCTTTAACGATAGAATTATATAGGTTTTGTTAGTATTGATTATTTTTCAATACAAATTTAAGCTTTTTGTGTGATTTTAAGCAGTTGTTCTTTTACGTTTCTCGTGTGCTTTGCTTTGGTAATTAAACACAAGCACAAGGATAATAAAAGATGGGGCTTTGTTCTGGTCCAAAAGCGAGACTACATGAATAGAACATCAGGCAGAATTAGATTGGACCCTTTCTTCATGGGGAAAACATGGCAAATAATACTGAAAGTGCTTTTTGAAACTAAATTCCTACAATTCTTGATGTTCTTTTACGTTTCTCGTGTGCTTTGCTTTGGAAGGATAATAGCTAGCACAAGGATAATAAAAGATGTAAGCTATGTTCTAGTCCAAAAGCGAGACTACATGAATAGAACATCAGGCAGAATTAGATTGGACCCTAACTTTAAACGAAAAATACATAAAATTCCCTTAATTTATACAGGATACATGTTCTTTTACGTTTCTCGTGTGCATTGAACTGGTTATTTATCGCAAGCACAAGGATAATAAAAGATATATTCTGGTCCAAAAGCGAGACTACATGAATAAACCATCAGGCAGAATTAGATTGGACCCTATACTTTCCTTGAAATACTACAATTAAACTGGGTTTTTTTTTTTAAGTTTTCCCTAAAAAAAAACACCCTTGCTTTTGGCTTACCTTAGCAGCATTGATCAGCTCATCGGCCAAGCACTCGGCAATGGTCTTGATGTTCCTGAAGGCAGCCTCACGAGCTCCAGTGCACAGCAGCCAGATGGCCTAAAATAAATAAATAATAATAATTATATAACAGTTTCCACAAGGTTTTCCTTTTAAATAATTATAATAATTCATTAAAAAAATGTCTCTTCAGTTCATACGCCAAATGTCGGCTAAATTTACACATTGTGACGCTACGGATAAGATAGATTTTCGATTTAGCCAACTTTATAAGCCAAACAGTCTCACAAACCGAACCGCAAGCCATCGTAGTTGGCCACAATTATCACTTGAAAGTGAGAAGAAACACTCACCTGGTTGACGCGACGCAGGGGCGACACATCCACAGCCTGACGACGGACGGTACCAGCACGTCCAATACGGGTGGAGTCCTCACGGGGTCCCGAGTTGATGATGGCGCTGACCAGGATCTGCAAAAATGAACAAAACAAAATGTTAATTAAATAAAAAAATGCATGGAAAAAGCTTAAAAAGTTTAGGAATTTGAGGTAAATGTTGTTTCAATTTCCAGGAGAGCAGGAAGAGGTAACTTATCTTCGGGCGCTAGGATAATATTGAAACCATTTGATCTCAGTTCAATTTTGGTAATGCCCAAACGGCAAAGGGTTTATTTAAAGCCGCTGGCATTGAGGTGAACTGTTTTTCAGTGTCGATAGATGCTATAATATGCAGTTATAGTAATGTTGTTTTGTACTTTATTAAGGTTAGCATCTTTGAGACAATGCCCTTAAGAGGAATAGTTAAACATGGGTTTCAATGTGGTCCAATTGAATACCACAACGCTGTTAGTTATCAACGCTGCAGTTTTAGTTTTGGACGGATTAAATCAAGTCATTTAAATGCAATTTAGGAATGCCTTTGTTGCTTTTGACTTTATTAAGGTTAACATCTTTGAGACAATGCCCTTAAGAGGAATAGCTAAGCATGGGTTTCACTGTGGTCCAATTGAATACCACAACATTGTTGGAATCAAACGCTGCAGTTTTAGTTTCGGACGGAAGGGAGTTTGGGTCTTGTTAAATTTTGTTCAATTTCTAGTGTAGCTTTAATTTCCAGGAGAACCAAAAGAGGCTAACTTATCTTCAGGCACTAGGATAATATTAAATCTTTGCTTCCTTTTAGTCCTGTTCAGAGTTAATGCTCAATTTGGTTGGAGTTTACCATGAATTGGCATAGGTGAGGACTACCTAGAGGTTTCTAAACTTTATTTCCAAGTTCCTAGTGTAGCTTTAATTTCCAGGAGAACCAGAAGAGGGTTGCTTTCATTCAGGCACTAGGATAATATTAAATCTTTGCTTCCTTTTAGTCCTGTTCAGAGTTAATGCTCAATTTGGTTGGAGTTTACCATGAATTGGCATAGGTGAGGACTACCTAGAGGTTTCTAAACTTTATTTCCAAGTTCCTAGTGTAGCTTTAATTTCCAGGAGAACCAGAAGAGGGTTGCTTTCATTCAGGCACTAGGATAATATTAAAACTCTTGCTTACTATAAGTCCACATAAAAGTAAATGCTTGCGAAAGTATCGTAACTAACCAGCATCGAGGAGGACTAACAACCTTTCAGTTGATGTTCCATTTAGGCTTACTTAAGGATAATTATTTTGTAGTTCCAAGTTCCAGGAGAAACCAGAAGAGGCTTATTATCTTCAGGCACTAGGATATTTTGGAACCCAATTAATCTGCGTGCCCATTCTACCCATGTCCCAGTGGCCAGAATATCTGTGGACACAGTTTAGCATGGGCCGCTTGTCTTTCCCCTCCCTCTCGATCTAAGTATATGTACCTGCAGCGGGTTCTCGCCGGTAAGCAGATGAATGATCTCGAACGAGTGCTTGACAATGCGGCAGGCCATCAGCTTCTTGCCATTGTTGCGTCCCTTCATCATCAGGGAGCAGGTCAGGCGCTCCACAATGGGGCACTGAGCCTTGCGGAAACGCTTGGCAGCATAACGTCCGGCCGAATGGGGAAGGTAGCGGGCAAACTTCTCCTTAACCGAAATGTAATCCTGCAGCGAGATATCGTTGACGGTGACATCGTCGCAAGACCAGCGGCCGAACAGCTTGATTTCGGGCAGCTCACTGGTGGCCACCACGTTCGTCTCCAGGATCGTTTCGGCGTTCTCGGTTTCCAGAGGTGCCGCCGGCTCCTCGAACGTCTCCACGACGGTGTTTTCAGCAACTTCGGCCATGCTGCAAGTGGGAGGGGGAGAAATGAAAAACATTACATTAGGAAATTAATAGAATTTCAGCTAAATGCGACAGTTTTCTGCACTTTAAATGAAGGAAAACCATGAGGTTTGCCCTAATTTGGTGTTTTTTAAATATAAAAATAAGTAAAGGCACGCTTTTCATTTACAGGGCCTTCCAACCTTCCTGATAACCAAGTTTTCAAAGCATTTTAACAACGTTTTATGCCCATTTTCTTCAGTTTTAAATCTTTAACTGTAAATGAGCGCTATTTTCACACGCACACCGTACACACATACATTTGTATGCGTACATATACACACGCGCATTGTTGTTGTTGATTTTCCTTGACTTTGTCGTGGCAATGCCTTTAGAAAAGGAATTCCCGAGTGTTCCCTTCAAGGCCTTTTGTTTTGCCTTAGCTTTTTACAAATAAAACAAAAAAATAATATAAAAAAAAAAGAAAAGGTGAAACCAACACGTGTTATGCACTCACACAGTGGCACACGCACCGACACACACACACACACAAACAAAAAGCCGCCCGTTTTTAACCTCATTGCCGCTGAAATTGCAGTTTTTCGACGTTGTCTTGATAAATTCACAAAACCCTTGGTATTCACGCTTGGCCGCCGCTTTTAGTAGTCGTTTGGTCGCACTCTGATGCTTTTACACTTATTTAAACTTGGAGAAACCCTTACATTTTCACAGAAGATATCGAGATACGATGTCAGCGCAAAGGCAAACGCCTGAAAAAGAACATGTTGGGGCAGTGTGCGGCAACGCCACGGAAAAACGTTTCCGCTGCTGCGCGCACGGTTGCAATTGGCCAGGGCTGCAAAAAGCACGACATATCGATTTAGGCGATAGTTACACATCGTTTGGCTGAATCTCTAGGATTTTCAAGTAATTAACAAAGTCTCATAACTATTTTAACGTGTTTTTAAGTAAATTAATTAAATGTTTTCTTTTTTATCTGCTATTTTATTGTGGAGCACCTTTATTGAACACGATAGCTACTTGTTTTATCGATATGTGTCACCCGTGACCAGGGTTGCGAAGCGCTTTATCTATCGATTACCTAGCCACAGGGATTGTTATTATATCGATGTGCCGATATCCTCCCTTTTAAGCTATATATTTGCCGATGTGTCATCCCTATTGTATTTCCCAAAACAAAATTCAGTTGTGAAATAATAATTCCTTAAATTACGCCAAAATGAGCGTGGATATAGCCAGCACAATCAAGTTCCGGGACATCTGTGACCTGTTCGAGAAGCTAAAGGCCACCAAAAAGGTTGCCAACAAGGAGGACGTGCTGAAGAGCTACTACGAGTCCTTTTGCCGGCATCGCGAATCCTTTCGCAAGGAAACCGGCTTGGCCCACGACCAGGTGGAGACCGGAGCCAGCAGCTTCTACTCTGTGCTGCGCCTGCTGCTACCCAGTGCGGACACCGGGCGGGACAACTATGGACTACAGATCACGGCGCTGGGCAGGCTCTACATACGGGTGCTTCAGCTGGCCAAGGACTGTGAGTTAACCGGGTGGCAAATGTTACGTTATAATTCAGCTTGCTTCAACTCCCGTTAGCCAGCGATGCCATAATGCTGCAGCACCGCAGTGGCAACATATACAGGGACTATGGCGATGTGGTCTATGCTGTCCTCAAGCCGCGCTGCTTCAATCCCCCCAGCAATCTGCGGCTCAAGCACATTCACGAAATGCTGGACACCATTGCCAACGAGGACACAACAGGTAGAGGGTGTTATGTCAAAGCTTGGCTAAAGACTGACCTGGTCTATTCCCAGTTAAGGAGCAGGAGCTCATCAAGTTCACGCAGCAGGCCTCGCCGGAGGAGCAAAAGTGGCTAATAAGGCTGCTGCTAAAGAGTCTGGGCCTGGGCATTGGCGAGCAGAAAATATTTGGTGTGCTGCATCCCAAGGCGCAGGATATATACCAACGCTGCTCGGATCTGGGCCATGTTTGCAATCTGCTGGCGGACAATCCTACTGACCTGGATGCCAGCAGCAGTAGCAGCACCTCCAAGGACAACTTCAAGGCCGTCAATCTGAATGCCGTCATCCGTCCGTTTCATCAAATCCGTCCCATGCTATGCGAACGCTTCCCGGGCGACATCCAGGAGCTAATGCAATCGGATGTGCTCTATCTGGAGACCAAGATGGATGGCGAACGCTTCCAGCTGCACATTGATCGCGGCCGCTTCATGTACATCTCGCGAAACGGCGTCGATTATACCCGCAATTTTGGTGATAGCTACGACCGTGTTGGCACCCTCACGCCCAAGCTAAGGGGTCTGCTGCCCCTGGGTCTGCAGTCCATCATCCTGGATGGCGAGATGATGGTGTGGGACACTGTCCAGCAGCGTTTCCGTGAGAAGGGCGAGAATACGGATGTTAAGAGTTTGAAGCCTGACGGCAGCTGGCAGCCCTGCTTTGTGGTCTACGATCTGTTGTATTTCAATGGCCAGAGTCTTCTCGATCTTACCTACATCCAGCGCTCGTACAAGCTACAAAAGCTGCTGGTGGAGCAGCGTGGCGTTTTGCAATTGATGCGAGGCCGCAAGATTGGCTCGGTGGAGGAGTTCAATGAGCTCTTTCAGCAGGCCCTCGACTCGAATGCCGAGGGAATTGTGCTGAAGAAGCAGGGATCTGTCTATCAGCCGGGAGTGCGTTTGGGTGGTGGCTGGTACAAGGATAAGGCCGATGTGAGTAGCACCGTTAATAATGGGGGTTTTTCTTTATATCTTAACTATTTTTACAGTACATCAAAGGCCTTATTACCGAGTTTGATGTCTTGATTATTGGCGGCTTTTACAACCGCAAGCGCACTTTTATTGAATCCTTCTTGCTGGGCGTCCTTCAGCCCGGATCAACTGACAGCAGCTCCTCCCATCGCCATGAGGTCTTTAGCATTGGCTGCGTCACAAATAATACACAACAGCGGGGGGTTTTGAATCACACTTTAAAGCCTCATTGGCATGATGTGATCAAGGAGCCGCCACCGTTGTGGTATCACTACAAGGCAAACGATAGGACAGGATGTCCTGATCTATGGATCGAGCCACAAAACTCGATTATTTTGCAAGTGAAAGCGGCCGATTTGGCACCGAATTCTGCTTTCTTCACCCGCAAATCGTTGCACTTTCCGCGTATCGAATTGAAACGCGATGACAAGCCCTGGAGCGAGTGCATGACCCTCAAGGAGTTCAACGATCTGTGCGAGGTAAATAAAGATATTCATAGATATATTCAGATATTCAGATATATCTTCTTATAATTGTCTTATTCCCAGGGTTCCTTGGCCATCAAGAAGCTAAATAAGCGGCAGCTGCGTCTGGAGGACTTGACCACAAAGCGAAAACGTCTGCGAATGACTCCGTCGGAGCGTAGCCGCTTGGGACTGGCCGTCTACGAGAAGCGCTGTGTCCTAGATCCCACCAGTTCCAGCACCACAAAGCTATTCGATGGCCTCAGCTTTTGCATTTTAAGCGGCTCGGCTGGGCGTCAAAGCAAGCTGCAGCTGCAGGAGCTGGCCGTTCAGAATGGTGGCTGCATTGTTGAGAATCCCCTGCCCAATGATCCCAAATGCTTTTGCATAGCCGGCGACGAGACATTCCTGGTCAAGCGGCTTGTCTTGCAGCAGCCACGCACCTGTGACATTGTGCACATGGACTGGCTGCTGAGGATCTGTCGCAAGCAGGAGCTGGAGCTGCGGCCCAAGGATTTAATGGCGGCCACCGAGCCACTGCAGCGGGAGCTGGCCGAGTGCTTTGACAGGTACGGGGATAGCTATGACAAGGATATTGCGGACATTGAGGAGTTGCAGGAACTGCTGCTGGACATGGACAAAGTGACCGGAGGGGAGGAGGCGCTGGCTTTGGAGCTGGATGCTTTAGAGGATCAGCTGCTGGGCGGAAAGAGGAGTCTCAATCTGTTTCGGCACCTGTATGCCGAGTTTTATGAGCCGCAGCAAGCCGATCGCTTGGCCAAGATTCTGTTTCTACAAAACGGTGGCAAGTTGGCCGACGCCATGGATCCGAAGCTCAGTCTAGGCTTCAACTGCATGTCGTCCTCAGACCTGGATCAAGATCACCTGGAGCAGTGGCTGCTGGACCACCCAAGGCTGAGTGCTGGCAAAGTGCTAAACTCTGCCTGGATCCATCAATCGCTAAGGGAGGGGCTTCTCCTACCCAAAAGAGGTTTTGTTTGATAAATATTCTCATATTATTGTTAAACTAATCATTGCTTTTTGTAAATAAAACGATAAAATAAAATGTTGAATTTTTTGTTTTTTTTAATATTAAGATTTCATATTAAAAGAATTAATCTATTTATATAAGAGAAAAAATAATATTTAATTAATTTAATATTTAAAATATTATTTTTTCTCTTATATAAATATTAATATATAATATTAATATTATAATATTTAAAATATTTTTTTATTTTTTATATAAATAGAACATAAATGATTTATAATAATATTAATAAGAGTAATTGTTGTTGTTGTTAATTTAATTTTTAAAGCAATCCTTTAATTTTCGTTTATTTATAGACAAAAAATTATTAATAAAATTAGTAAAAATTAGTAGTTGATTTTAATTTAATTTTTAAAGCAAACCCTTAATTTTGTTAAAATTTTGGAATTTTTTAAACATTTATATTGTTTATTTTTCCCAATTGGACCAATTCACCTATGTATTCCTATGAACAAGAAAATCTGGCAACGCTGATTGCTCACGAACAATAAGTCTGGCAACACTGACCGAGCTGGAACTGGTTTTTCCGGCGTTTTAACTGTCATTTTTGATGGTATTTTAGTGGTATATTTGAAATTATAGTATCTTTTTGAAGGGATAAATGGTATATTTTCGTTCTGTCCTGGGCGGTCACGCTGGCGTAGGCTTGTGTGTGTGTGTGCGTTTTGTGTTCGTATTTGTCTGATTGTGTGCTTGTTGTTGTGTTGTGAAAAATAAGAAGGAAAAATGCGAATGTCCTGAAAAAGTCCTGTTAGCATTGAAATTGTTGTTGTTTTACATTTGCAAAGGCTGTTGTGCTCATCTTCACCTTCCTCCCTTCCCGCAGAGATAACCGCAAACACACACAGAGAAGCAATAATCACAACAAAGACGGGCGCGTTTCCATGTCGCCGTGTGTGGTGGTGGGCCTTTGATGCAGCCATCCATCAACGGATCAGGCCAGGATCTGGACTAGCGGTGCCATGCTACCCATCAGCGAGGAGCAGCAGCTGCAGCAACACCAGCATCAGCAGCAACTCCAGGCGGAACTGGAGGATGCCGAGCCGCAGGTGGGCGATGGCAGCCTATGGACTGCCCTGTACGACTACGAGGCACAGGGCGAGGATGAGCTGACTCTGCGCCGGGGCCAGATCGTTGTTGTGCTATCCACGGACAGCGAGGTCTCCGGCGATGTTGGCTGGTGGACGGGCAAGATCGGAGACAAGGTAAGGAGGGCGCGTTGGAGTCTTGTGCTCCACTTAATGACTCAAAAACTCAATTGAAATCATTCTCCCCCCACAGGTTGGTGTCTTTCCCAGGGACTTTGTTACGGATGCCGATCCCCTGCAGCTCAATGTTCCCTCCGCCATTGGCGATATCCAGCCGCATGAGATCGAGTACGAGGAACTGGACATCAAGGAGGTTATCGGCTCGGGTGGCTTTTGCAAGGTGCATCGCGGCTTCTATGACGGCGAGGAGGTGGCCATCAAGATTGCCCATCAAACGGGCGAGGATGATATGCAGCGGATGCGCGACAATGTGCTCCAGGAGGCAAAGCTCTTCTGGGCGCTCAAGCATGAGAATATAGCCGCTTTGCGCGGCGTCTGTCTCAAGACGAAGCTTTGCCTGGTCATGGAGTATGCCCGGGGTGGCAGTCTCAATCGGATTCTGGCCGGAAAGATACCGCCCGATGTGCTGGTCAACTGGGCCATCCAGATAGCCAGGGGCATGAATTATCTGCACAATGAGGCGCCTATGTCGATTATACATCGCGACCTCAAGTCTTCAAATGTTTTGATATACGAGGCCATCGAGGGCAATCATTTGCAGCAGAAGACGCTCAAGATCACGGACTTTGGCCTGGCCAGGGAGATGTACAATACGCAGCGGATGAGCGCTGCCGGCACATATGCCTGGATGCCGCCCGAGGTGATAAGCGTTAGCACCTACTCCAAGTAAGATGATCCTCCCTTGAAAGAAACTCTCATTTTAATCTGGGTTTTTTGTATTCCGCGCCAGATCCTCGGATGTTTGGAGCTATGGAGTGCTGCTTTGGGAGCTGATAACGGGCGAGACGCCCTACAAGGGCTTCGATCCGCTGTCCGTGGCCTATGGCGTGGCTGTCAACACGCTGACCTTGCCCATACCAAAAACATGCCCCGAAACCTGGGGAGCCCTCATGAAAAGTGAGTTCTCCTGCTCTTCCTCCTGCTCTTCCTCTTCCTCCTTCTCCTGCTTCTTTATATTTAATTGTTTTTTGTTTAATCTTTAGGCTGCTGGCAGACAGATCCACACAAGCGACCTGGTTTCAAGGAGATACTCAAGCAGCTGGAGAGCATTGCCCGCTCCAAGTTTACCCTAACGCCGCAAGAGTCCTTCCACTATATGCAAGAGTGCTGGAAAAAGGAGATCGCCGAGGTGCTGCATGATTTGCGCGAAAAAGAAAAGGTGAGCATCGCTTTCGACTCTTCCTAGATCGATTTCTCGTTTCTAGATCGTTTTCTTGGTTGGCCCTAGGCCGCTCTTGAGTTTTTCTTTGTCCATTACTCTCTCTCTCTGTCTCTGTTTTCCCCCCCGTCGTTTGTTGATGAAATTCTAATAATTTGGTTTATACTTTTTCTCCAAAAAAAAAAAACAACCAAAATAAAACCAAAAATTACTTTTGTAAAATATATCAAACGACGTTAAGCGTTTCCAAACCATCGAAGAGGTAAGCGCGTCCAACAGGTCTAAATCTCGCTCTCTGCCCGCCTTTTTCGTTGAGTTGAGTTCCATTGAGTTTCGTTAAGTTCCTTTTTTGCCGTGTTTTTACGTTACGTTTCGTTTGCCCTAAGTTATCCAGTTTTTGTGGCTGGCCACGCCCCACTTAAGCCCACACATGCTGCATGGTTCCTAGCTCCTAGTTCCTAGTTCCTAACTCTTAGTTCCTTGTTCCTCGTTTCTAGTTAGCATTTTAAAACTTTAACTAAAACCCCCTTATGTTCTTCGTTCCCTTAGGAACTGCGCAACAAGGAGGAGCAGCTGCTGCGCGTGCAGAACGAGCAGCGCGAAAAGGCTACCCTCCTTAAGATCCAGGAACAGCATTTGCGGGAACGCGAAATGGTGCTTATTGAACGGGAGCTGGTCATGATGCAGCCGGTGCCAACAAAACGCCGGCCCAAAAAGGGCAAAAAGGTAAGGCAAATGGTTCGTTTTGTTCTATGAAAAACATTTTCCTAAAACAACTCTGCAGTACAAACCGCTGCAGATATCACTGCCGACGGGATTCCGGCACACCATAACGGCTGTACGCGACAAGGCGGAGCAGCCGGGTTCACCCTCATTCTCTGGCTTACGCATCGTGGCACGTGAGTAGCTATATATTTCTTTGTCTACATCTGGGTTTAAGTCCCCCCCAAAGATACTGATTAGCTGGGAATTAGCTGTAGTTTGATTTTGAGTTGGGTTAATGAATAATTAAGGGAATATTATGGATAATGTAAAGATATCTAATGTGAGAAAGGTATATATCCTATCCTTGCAGATAGGTTACTATAATTTCAGTCAAAAGCTTGCAAAGCAATGAAGGAATTATTTCCGACCCCATAAATCATATATATTCTTGATGAGCATCAACAGGCGCGTCTTTCTAGCCATCTTGCAAATAAATCAAAAATTTTCAATTTTTTTTTTTGCAAAATTCGATAAGGGGTTACATCATTAAAATTCCTAAAAATTATAAAAAATTGAGATTTCTTAAAATGTAAAATTTAGTATGCAGATTTGTTAATCTAGAAAAAACTAACATAGAAACGTTTTCTAAATAGAATTTAATGCATTTTTGACTTAGTTATGATATTTTTAGGCTTTGATTTGTCCAAAAAAAATCATATAAAAATAATGTTAAATGTTCATTTAAGGAAGGGTTCTCTTGACTTTATTTCCAAACCTATAAATCATATATATTTTTGATCAGCACTAGAAAGCGAGTATATATCTTTGTTAACCTAGAAAAAACTAACATTGAACAGCTTTCCAAACTAAAATTAATGCATTTTTGGCTGAGTTAGGATCGATTTTTGATTCAATGCCAGGATCCAATGGCCAAACAGCAAGGGTATTACACATTTCGATTTGCTTTTTAAGATATAAGACCAATATATATTCGGAAAAAGTCATTTTTCGACTTCTTGTTAATTATATACCTTATTTTTTTGTGGTAACTCGAGTTCCAATAGCCAAAATTTATAAGGAATTATATAGAAAATGTAGAAATGATATGCTAATATTTGGAGTAGAAATATATTTCTCGACATTTTCTATATAATTCCCTATATATTTTGAATATTGAAACCCTAATTAACACACAGAAAAAACAGCTTAGAGATTAGATTAGACCAGAGATTAGTCCCAGGAATACCTCATCATCAGGCCACCCCCGTAATCAGTACGATTATTTTAAACTTGATGCTTATTTTTGGCTTAGTTCTCACTTCTATTTTACGTCTATGATTTTGTTCTTCTTCTGTTTTGATTGATTATTTTCGTTTCCGTTTCTTTTTTGTCTTTTATTTCGTTTTGGTTTTATATCTCCTCGGGGTCTCATAATATTAAATGGAATACAAATAGTTACCGATGGGCACAAGGGCAAGACCTGGGGCCCTTCTACTATGCATCAGCGTGAACGATCGCTTCTGCCCTCGCAACTGGGCGGTGGCGGGCAACCAGAGTGGCCCGCCCAGAGTTCCACTCACTCCTCGTTCAGCAAGAGTGCACCGAATCTGGACAAGAGCAAGCAGCAGCAGCAGCAGCTTCAAGTGCAGGTGGCCTCGTTGACTCCACCGCCAGGCAATAGCAATGGGATAGGAGCGGGAGCAATAGCGATAGCGGGTGCTAACGGAGGAGGAGGCGGAGGCGGAGGAGGAGGAGGAGTATATCCAGGTATACCCTATTTTCTAACGCGACAACCCAACAGCAATATTGGTAATTGTAAGGCCATTACCACCACCAATGCCATTACAAGCAACCACAACAACAACAACAATAGCAACTCCGTCAACAACAACAACAGCCAGAATAATAATAATCATAATCTTAATATTAATATAAATAATAATAACAATACAACTACTAGCAATAGCAGCCACAATAACAACAGTCAGACTAACAACAACAAACCCACTTCCCACTCGAACACCTCCCTGTCCAATGGCCAGAGCAAGACCAACCACAACAGCAGCCTTACCAGCACCAGCAGAACAATGTACCATCGTGCCCGAAGCCAGGAGTACGGACTAGATCTTACCCCCAGTCCATATCAGCCGCCGAATCTCTATTTGGTATCCGATGATAGCTCCGAAACGGACACCGTGACGGCGCCCACTGGCTGTTTTCACTTTCTCAAGTCTGGGAACTCCTCTGGCTCGGCCACAGCCACTGCCTCCTCGGCAGTGACACGTTTCGGTGGCAGTCTGGGCAACAGTCCTGCCGTTGGACGCAAGAAACATTCGCTGGACAGTTGCCAACATCCGCCACCGCCGGCCAGCAGCAATAGTTTGGCTCTGCCCACCCAACTGATGGCATCGGAGGATAACAACACCTATGACCATGCCTTTTATAGAGATGTGATTAAGAAAATCATTGCCAGCAGCGAGCGTGTGAACTCCAAGTCCAGTGGCGACCTAACCATGTACAACTCCAGCACACTGCTGACGACTCCCCCCCAAAGGGATGGCCTTGGCTTTGACGAAGAGGCAACAGGTCGCTTTCAGCGCAATGCTTCGGGATCACAGTTTCCGCGACATTGCTTCTTTACCAGGCAGGAGGAGGAGGAGGACGACCAAGACCAAGACGACGACGACGACGATGACTCTGGCGAGGCGGAACAATCGCTGGACTCCAGTCAAATGAGACAAAATTCAACAACGTCGCGCAAGAGCTCGGTGACCTTCCAAAGCGTCAGCTTCGAGGAGCCAACCGGCATTGTCTCGCCCACAGCTACGGTTGCCAGCAGATCGGAGCTGCAGTATACATCCAGTGCCTCCATTAGCTTTGCCACCTATCGCTCTGCCTCGCCATCCTCATTATCCTCGTCCAGCGCTTGCACAGCCTCCTCCGGTGGCGAAGTTCTTCAGGCTGGCGCTGGTGAGGCAACGGTGAATGGCAACAGCAGCGGCGGTGGCGGCGGCGGTTATCAGATGCAGGAGAACTCTATATTAACCACAAGACGAATGCTCGATGTCCAGCCTCACCCGGATGTGATCAAGATGAAGGAGCATCTGCTGGCCGAGGAGCAGCGTCAGCAGAGCAAGAACCAAAGGAAGCAGCGTCCCAAGCACATCACCAAATCCAAGTCCGTTGAGGCGCCAGTCGAGGGACAGTTGCAACCTCACCAGCACCAGCAGCAGCAGCAGCATTACCATCTCCAGCATGAGCATCACTCGGCAAGCTCCAGCCGCTTCCGATCTCTGCTGAGCCTCTTTTCGCGCTCTCGGAAAAAGTACAGCAAGCTGGCGGAACACAACCAGTTGGATGCCGGCGGCGGCGTCGGTGGCTCTGAATTCAGTGCCATTGATCCCTACCAGACTGATCTGGGGAGCAGTAGTAGTCGCTCGATGAAGCGCAAGGGCAAAAAGCCACAAACGCAGTCCTGCGAGCAACTGGAAAGGTGCTGATGGAGTTGGTGGAGTCTCTTCTTTAGCTCATTGTTTTATATTAAAACCCCAAGGACTAAGCCAGAGCGAAAGCAGAGGGTTACGTTACCCCTTTTTAAGGCCTTCCTTACCTTCCTCCTATCCACCCCTTTCCTCCTTCTTGTAACCGAAGAATTGTTCCTAATGAAGGCAAGGCGGGGGATGCAGAGAGTTCCATTAGGGAACATCATTGGAGGAGAGATTGTGCGGATAAACTAATGCTGCTTCTATACGTAGACACGACACACAAGTGCATGGGCCGATGGCAAGATATTCAACTAAACCATAAAACATAAAACATAAACCATAAACCATAAACCGTAAAATCTGTAATGATTGGATTAACCTTAAGTCAACCGTAATGGCTCTATTGCTATATATACATATATATCTAAGGGGGAACCCAACCTTCCCCACATCTTAGTTGAACTAAGTTCTATATAGTTTTTATGGGAGAACTCCTATGCCCCTCCTGTTTTTTTTGCTTTTCAAAATTATTTTTATTTAATTTTGCAATGCGACTTCCTTTGGTATTTTGATTACAGTTTTATTTACATATTATTATTAGTCTGCAAATCGGGTTTTCCAATTAATTTATTTATGATTTCTTTTACAACAAAACATACACAAAAAAAAAATAATAAGAAAAGAAAAGAATACTAAAAAAAACACCTGTGATCAAAAACAATAATGTTGATGAAAAACAAAAAAAAAAAAAAAGTGAGAAGAAAAAGAAATAATTATACATTTTTTTTTGTTTTTGTATTATTTTTATGGAAATTTATATATATACTTCTATATATATATATATATATTCATTTTGTACGATTTGTTTATTTTACGCGTCTCGATTTCAATATATTAACTTTGTATATTCATGTATTTTCAAATTATATTTTATTTTGGGCCAAACCAAAAGAAAAAAAAACGAACTAGACGAGAAAAAGGAGATATCCGACAATAAAAAACAAAACTAAAAAGAATCTGCTGACCAGTTTTGATTGTTCCCCCACACAAAAAATACACCAGAGAAGCACAGAGACGAACTAGTGATTATTTTTAAAATTAAAATAAAAAAGAAGAAAAAATGAAAGAATTAATTTAAATGTATAAATTTTCTTCTCTGTGCTTCTTAAATTAATTCCCCCTTCGGACCGACTCAAGACTTTGACTTTCTGGTCCTGGTATGCGGTGGCTAAAACCTGGTATTGCCTGCGGTTACTACTCCACAAACTACTTGACAATGCCCCCAAAGGGAGCCACCCACTCGACCCATCCAAACCTCCACCCAGTTCCGGGCTTTTCAAGTCCGAGTTTTAGCTTTGTTTTTCGCAACTCAATCTCGTGTCTCGTGTGTCCGCCCTACGGAATGCCGCCCACATTTATACACAAATCAGGAACAGGAGGAAGTAGCAACAAGATGGATGACTGGCGACCGGGAGCCACCAATATGCCAATCATGTCGCCATCGCCTTACCTACTCAGCCGCTTTACCAGCAATGTGCCCCTGCCGACGCTCTACGCGGGTGATGCAGCCCGCAAGCCGAAGCTCTCGGTGATCGAGCTGCTGCTGTACAACATGGCCTCCCTGCTGGCGGGCGTGGCAGCTGGCTATGATGTCCGGATGTCGAATGTATCGCCCGTGCATCCCACTCTCCTCAGCGAGGTGCCCGCTCTGAAGGCGGCTCCCAAGGCGGCGGCAGCAATACAAGCAGCAGCAGCAGCAGCATCAGCTGGGGATGCACAGGCGGCAGAGGAGGAACCAAAGCATAGGATGCAAGAGCAGACTTTGGAATTGCTGGAGGTGGATGCACAATTGCTACAGGATAACAGGGAGAGCACGCCCCGAAAGCTGGCCAGCCAGGCGAGGTGAGTTGTTAGCCTTTGCAGATTTATAGAAATGAAGATTCATTCGTCTCTTCAATTGCTCCAGATTTGGTGGCATCGAAACAGCAGTGGTTAGCAAGTCACAGCCCACATCCCTGGCCCGTCGCATCGGTGGCAGTCAGCCTTACTACACGCCCGTGCAGCGGACGCCGCAGCATCAAATGCACCAACAGCAGCAGCAGGAGAAGCAGCTTCAGCTGCAGCTCCAACACACGCAACATCAGCAGCAGCAGCAGCAGCAGCAGCAGCAGCAGCCGCTTCAATCTGCCCTGGCGGAGGCCACTGGACTGGGCGGCATCTATGCCGGAACTCAGCCACCCACACCATCGCCCCGCCGCAAGCTGAGCAATAGCAACAATTTCGGTAGCTCCAACACCTCGAACAATCCACCTCAGCAGGCGGATGTCTTTGAGGAGTTCCGGGTGGGCGGTGGCATTGGTCCGCCGCCATTGTACGCGCCAGCGGATTACCTAAGAAACGGACCGAGTTACTCAAACGATGGTGGTAACTACAGGAATGGTTACTTTGGTAAGTAATTCAGGTCATCTCCTTACCAAGTAATCCTTACATTATACGCCTCCCTTGCAGGCTCCAACTACTTCCCCTACCGGCCGGAGCTGAACTACAGCTACGAGCGTGACTGCAAGTCGTATCCGGATTACTCCTACGACTACAATCATCGGCTTCCGGACTATTATGACTATCAGTACGAGGCGCCAGTGGTACCTTTGCCCGTGCCTGCGCCGCCCTCAACCTGCCCGGGTTCTCTGCCCGTTCAAGCCCAGACCCGGACACCACCGCCACGTGTCCCTCAGATGGGTGTAAGCGCTGCCGGGCACCGGCGTACCCCCTCGACAGTGTCCAACAACTCGAATGTGCTGCTGGAGCACGAGGAGTTGCTCTGCTATGACTACAACAACCTCAACCTGAATGCGGACTACGAGAGGGGGGAGCGGGGGGAACAGGTCCCAATGCCCACGAAACAGGAATTGTATGCGGGCTCGCCCAAGCTGCTGAATCGCCTAATTCACAGTCCCCTGCCGATGACCAAGAGCAAGTACGCCACGGCGGCGGTGACGAGGCCAGCTAGCCTGCCCTTTGAGCAGCATGCCCTGCAGCTGGGCGGCGGTGGGTACCAACAGCAACAACAACAACAGCAGCAGCAGCAGCCGGTAGGCGGCTCCATGGTTTCCTCATTGCCACCGCCACTTGCCGTCGTCAGCTCGGGCCAATCCAAGTTGCGCAGCTCCCTAAAGAAGTACAATGGCGCTGGGAATGGGTCCACCTCGTCGCAGCAGGGTACACCCACTAATCCCACGCCACCGGATTCGTTGACCAGCGATGATAGCTCCTATTTGAGTGCCAAAGAGGGTTCCATTGGTTCCCAGCACAGTCGCGTGCGCTTCAGCCCGGAGGCCTATCTGGATGCCAATCTGTTGCCCTGTTTGGGTCGCCGGATGACAGCACCGACCATGCAACTGCCGCAGCAGCACAATCAGCAGCAGCAACGAAGGCAGCGGCAGGCCTCCAGTGGCAGCACACCATCGCCATCGGCCTCTTCCTCCTAGCAGGCGCGTCTGGCGCTGACCCTGCAGTTGGCGCGAAGTCCGGGAGCGGACGTTGGCAGCGGCGGTGGGCAGCTGGGAGCAGCTGTGGGTCTAACGCTGCACCAGCAGCGTGTACCCTATCGCTGGTACTCGGGAGCACGACGATCCCGCTCGGCCCACTATGAGTACCGATTGTGAGGGAGCAGCAGCGGCAGCAGCAGCAGCAGGGAGAGAGCAAGTGAAAGCGAAAGAGAGCGAGATGGCAAAGAAGAATCTGCTTGAAGCTTGAAGAGAAATTGCTAGAGAGCTAAGTTTCCCTCTAAATATAAGAGGCTGAAGCTTCTCCCAAAGAGAATCCAAACCAAACGCAGCAAGAATCGAAACATAAAGCTGGGCGGCAACTGAGAAACAGAGAAACCCAAGAGCATTGGGTATACATTTTGAGCGCAGGATCAACAAGGAGCACGCGTTTTACCTCAACAAATCCAGCAAAAAGGAATTCCAGTTACAGTTTACATACATATATATAAATATATATATATATTGGATATATATTGGATATATATTGAATCTTGTAGGATATGAAGCGAAATCAAAGCGAGCATAAGGCCTGTACATAAGAGAGTAGTCAAGAAATATCTATATATAAATATATAAATATATGTATATTATAATATATATACTTATATATATATATATATATTTATAAATTCAATGTTAATATTAGCTTATATTGTGTAAAGATTAGACAATAGACAGGAAAACCTAGAGCGCAGGGGTTGGGTTTTTGGAAATTATCTAGATCTTGAGAAGATATAATTAATAAATATGATGGGAAATATAAATATTCTTTGTTAATATCAATATTTAAAGATTCATTTCGATAATTTTAGAAATTTAAAAATACAAAAATACAATATTTGAAAGAATATTTATACATTAAAGTTAAAATTGAAAATTTATTTTAGTTTACTATATTGAGCGCCATATTTTTAGTCTTAATCGGACTTTTCCTCTTGATATACATCTTCTTAAAATCAAGAAAATTTTCAAAAGCACCCCCTGCGCAAAACCACACACAAGATATAAACATATAATATATATATATATATATATATATATATAACCCTATATAATGCCACCCCAAACGCTCCCAAACTTGTGCGATTTGCCTTAACCGTAGATTGAAGACTTCACTAGTTTTGCCTAATGCCAGATTCCAGAACCTCACGCGACACTCAACCAACTTATAGCTAATATATAACCCCCTCCTCATTATCCCATTCCGAGTCAGATTCCGAAAGAGATCAAGTGCAGCCAGCTAGCAAAGCCATTCAGCAACAACAACAACAACAACAACAACAATAATAATAATAATAGTTATAAGTTATGATAATTATATTTAAATAATACTTAGTAATTCCGAGGACACCACATCCCAAATCAAGACACACGCCAGCTCCACGAAAGCTCCATTTTTAAGTCTGACAAAATGTTTATATATACTTATATATACTATATATTTATAGACACCTAGCATACACATATATAGATATAGATCGGTATATATATATAGAGATATAGAAGCGTTAACCCAACCACTAGCTCTGAATTGAATAACAGCATATAACTCGATCGATTTACAACTACTTATAATGGATATATACATCATATATAACGAGAAGAAACACTTTCCCCTCTCGCTATTATATGCAAAAAAAATACATATAACAAAGCATATTGCTGCTGTTTTTTTTTTATCCACAAAATAATAAATGAATATAGCTATGGATAATGATATAATGGCGATGAAATTGATAACTTTACATATACATAAATACATATATACTGCTATTTAAATGCTTATTATGTAACCTGCATTACATATATATTGTGTGAATCTGCAAGGATGCCCCAGAAATCGCTGTGAAATTGAAATCACTTTAAAAAGCAAGCCACAAAAATTGTATACATTTGCCCTAAAAATTACGGAAAATATTGATATATCGACACTATATCGATAACTAAAGCGAAAGTTGATATAAAAATCGATTTTTTAATATTGCGATATTCTGTTTAATATATTGAACCCCTCCTATAATCAAAAAAAAATATATAAATAATTTAAATACATTTTTTTTTTTCGATAATATCTATAGTTTAAAATAAGCGACATTTAAAAAAAAAAAAAAAACCCCGATATATCGTACTTTTTCTCTTGATTTATATTCTTATTTGTCCTGAACTTTTTGATAAATCATATTCAAGTTTTTCAAATTCAAATACGATTTAAGTTTATAGCGATTTCCCTGGCAGCCCTGATATATGTACAAGCATTCATGTATATTTCCGGAGTGTTCGGCAAATCCTTAGAGATTGTAAAGGGGTTCCCACATTAAATTTGTTTATATTTTTCTGGAATTTTAATTTATATACCAAACTTGTTCATCCAAAGCTGATTTAATTCAATATATTAATAGCCTTGGGAACACCTTAAAGCTTCTCCAGGGTCTTGTGGTAACCCCCGGCTAATCTGTGTAATCTGCAAGCACAAAGGCTTCCCTCGACTCTGGCGGTACATATACATTATGAATATATTCATTTTATTTTAAAGCAGCCCTCATGCATATAATTACCAATTAATAACTATAATTTAGACAAATTGTTGTTTATGCTCACCAGAAATAGAAAATCAAAAGAAAAACCAAGGGTAAACCAAGAAGCAAAGCAAATACCGCCCTCACAGTTTACCTTAACGCTCCATGCTCCACCCTCACTTTTACCTTTGCCCTTAACTTAAACTTTAGCTTAATTGCCTGCATTTGCCTGCATTATTTATTAATTAATTAGGAACCGCGGTGGTCGCCAAGAGTTCTCAACTTTCGAGTGAGTTGTGTTTATTTGTATTCGCTGCCTAATTGCCTTGGGTTAAGTAGAGGGTTTTTATGGGGTTAACACGGAGGCGGGGACAGGGATCGCAGGCAGGCAGACAGACAGACACGCAGACAGACACACAAATATGCAATAACAAATGCTGCTTGTGACTTATGTTATGTACAAATTAGCAATTAACAATTAACAATTGACGATTGACGATTGACGATTCATTTAATCATTCAGAGACCAAAATGCGAAAATAAAAACTATTTTTTATAAAACAACTGTTGTTTTACCTTTACCTTCATGGCTATAAAAGGACTCTTGAGTTCATTTAGAGTCCTCAAAAGTGTTTCAGCCATGGCCAAGGCAAGTCACAAGTCGAAACCGGAACCGGAACCGAAACCGAAACCGGAAGAGCTTCTCGAATCTCGTGAGGCCTTTAGGAACCTCTTCAACTGCTTCTATGCCTTGGGCATGCAGGCACCGGATGGCAGCCTGCCCACCAAGAGCAACGCCTGGCAAAGCATCTACCGATGCTTCTCGGCCTTTATGTACCTCTGGCAGTTGCTTCTAGTGCCCACCTGCTTTGTGATCAGCTACCGTTATATGGGCGGCATGGAGATCACCCAGGTGTTGACGTCCCTGCAAGTGGCCATCGATGCGGTCATTCTGCCTGCCAAGATTGTGGCTTTGGCCTGGAACCTGCATCTGTTGCGTCGGGCGGAGCATCATCTGGCCGAGCTAGATGGTCGCTGCAAGCGGCCCGAGGAGTTCCAAATGATTATGGAGGCAGTGCAATTCTGCAATAGACTTGTGTGGTTCTATCAGCTCAGCTACGGCTTCTATTCCTTCTCGACTTTCGTGTGCGCCTTCCTGCTGCGTCAGCCCCCGTATGCCCTGTATCTACCCGGCCTGGATTGGAAGCGCTCCCAGCTGCAGTTCTGCGTCCAGGCCTGGATCGAATTCTTCATCATGAACGTGACGTGTCTGCACCAGGCCAGCGACGATGTCTATGCTGTGATCTACCTGTATGTGGTTCGTCTCCATGTCCGGCTTCTGGCCATGCGGGTGCGGCGATTGGGTAAGAGTGCCAATGACGAAGCCACAGATGGTTATCCGGATGAGCGGCGGCAGGAGGAGCACTGCCAGGAGCTGCAGCGCTGCATCGTGGATCATCAGACGCTGCTAAAGCTTCTTGACTGTATTGGGCCCGTGATATCGGGCACCATCTTTGTCCAGTTCCTCATAACCGCCGCCATCATGGGCACCACAATGATTAATATCTTTATTTTCGCCAATACCAATACGAAGATCGCTTCGATCATTTATCTGTCGGCGGTGACGCTGCAGACGGCGCCATGCTGCTACCAGGCCACCTCCCTCAAGCTGGACAACGAGGAGCTGGCCCTGGCCATCTTTCAGTGTCGCTGGCTGGGTCAGAGTGCCCGCTTCCGGAAGATGTTGCTCTACTACCTGCATCGCGCCCAGCAACCTATCACGCTGACCGCCATGAAGCTGTTCCCCATCAACCTGGCCACCTACTTTAGTGTGAGTTGAATTTAGATCGAAAATAGCATAAAACTTGGATATATTGCATTTGAAAATTAATTAATAATTAATTTAACAAAAATATTTTCAACTAATTCGCAATTGTATTTATCTTTACAGATAGCCAAGTTCTCATTTTCGCTCTACACACTCATCAAGGGTATGAATCTTGGCGAGCGTTTTACCAGGACGAATTGAAGAAACCGTTGGATCGATCAGTTTTCAGCTTATATATATAATAGAGCAGCACTGGACAAAATACTTATATAAAAGTGAATTTCGAGGAGGTTTATATTACACGTTAAACTTTTGTTTGAGAAATTCTTGGGACTAGCAAGTCAGGGCTTTAAGCACCACTGCTTTAGATTAACTTAGATTCGAATATATTTCACAAAAAGAGTGCCAATAAAAAAAAAAAACAAAGTAAATTAGAAAAAAATAAATGCATTCTTGGCTGAGTGCAATCCTCGTTGGGCATTAACCGAATCTGAATTACAAGTAAAATCGATAATGATCGGCTAATCGGGCAGAACAGAAGCTTTCTGCTGCTGCTGCTGCTGCTGCTGGTGCTGCACCTCCCCATGGCCATTATCCATTACCAGTTAACCATTCCCATCCCGAGGCTAGGCACCTGCCAGGAGAGACGACGAGACGATCCCCGCCAGACCCCAAGTGCTGGATGCCCCAATTCGAAGTGGTACGTACCACAAGTTGCCAAAGTGGAAAAGTGGAATGGAAAGCCTGTCCCCAGTCTCAGTCCTAAGATGCTGGCCAAATGTTCTTCTGCTCTCGAGCCGACAGGTTCTGCTTATTTTCGGTTCGGTCCGGCGCTGAGTTTATCTCGGGACTTGGTTTTGCGGATGCCTTGTACTTCATCTCCAAAGTTGAGGCCACAAAGTGTGTGTTCAATTTTTGTTTGTGATTTTGTTCTGTGAATCCTTTAGCTTAGTGAATCCCTTGAACAAGGAGCCAGGAGTGAACCATTCTCACAAGGAAGGAAAGTGCCAGGTGAGTGTGTGTGTTACCATTGCCACACATTTGCATCCAGCAGATCCAGTTTGGATCTTGGACTTGGCCTTCGCCTATTTTCACTCGGTCGGCCAACAGGTTTTCCTTGTGGCATGTGCCACATTCGCCGAAAGTAAACCACAAAAAAAAAAAAGAGGCATTAAAAAAATAATGAGAACTCCTAGGAGTCAAGAATCGAGAATGTGCGAGAATGTATTTCTCTTTTTAAAAATCTATTAATTTTTTTTTTTAAGGGAATGAAGGTTCCTTAAAAGATATGTCACAAAATATACTTTAACACCTTTATTAATAAATAATTTAAAACCCCCTTTTAAAAGTTCTCAAAGATCCCCTTGTATTTGAATAATACTCAAGAGAAGATAGTCCCATTGGCAGCTTTAAACTTGAAATTGAAGCAGGCCTGGGGGCAGTGGCAGTCACAAATTCCTTTCCTTTCCCTTTTTTCACACCAACAAATTTCTCAGGCCACATGGACACTAGGTAGGTTTTTGTTTTTTTTGGGAACTCAAACCAAAGTTCCAGTTGCCCATTCCAAATCGAATGGGAGAACACACGATGATGCTCCGCCGGCGGCAGTTCAGAACCCATTCGATGGCTAAGCGGCGCTGGCGACTCTTCGGCGGTGTCGAACCACTTGGGGAGGAGGAGCGAATGTGCTGGATCTGCCTGATGACCGACGAGGAGCAGCCGCGTCGTGACTGGCTGCATCCGTGCCGCTGCCGGGGCAGCAATAAGTGGGTGCACGAGGCCTGCCTTGGCCGATGGATCAATGAGAAGGAGCAGCAGGCACCGGATGTGCCCGTGACATGCACCCAGTGCCGCACCGAGTACATTGTCGTAATGCCGCCGCTGTGCCGCTTCGATGCTTTTCTAAATCGCCTGGACAAGGAGTACGAGCGCTTGTGTCCCAGCGTCCTTATGGGCATCATGTCGGGCACCGTTTACTTCTCTGGCGTATCCTACGGAGCACTCACCCTGCTCGAGCTCTCCAGCAATGAGATTGTCCTGCAGCTGCTGCAGCAAGATCCCATCTTGATGATGATCCTTCTGCCGTCCGTTCCAATGCTGCTGCTCATGACTCGCCGCATACGCTGGGACGATGTTGTGGTGCACTGGTTGCGACGTCGCCGGCGGAGGAGTGTGCCACCGGAGCAGTTGAACGCGATGGGAGAGCCGCTGCCGGGCGCCCCCTTGGACGATGACTACTTTGAGGAGCTGGAGCAGCATCAGGACGAAGTTGAGGCCACGGAGCACTTGGGCGGAATTACGCCCGGCTTTTGTGCCGCTCTCAGCCTGCCCAGCATTGCCGGTCTCCTCGGCCAGACGCTCTTCGGCGGCATCTACGAGACCAAGAAGCTGCTGGCCATCGTGCTGGGTGGTCTGACCTTCGTGGTCGTCAAGGGCCTGGCCAGCGTCTATTTGCGCCAGGCACAGTACCAGCACAGGCGTCAGCGATGTGTCCTGAACTATAACCATTCCCAATCGGTCACAGCCCCAGCTTCGTCCCGAAGGAATTAGATTAGGGAATCTCTCTAAGCCTTTGAATTACAATCCAAAATTAAATGTGTCTGGGGAAAGACCACAGAATCTTATATTTATATAATAAAAGAGGTTTAGAAAATGAGAAAATTGTCTAATATGTTGCCAGCTTTAATTGATAAACTGCTGGGAACAAAAGATTATCCCTTGCAGGGTATTATAATTTTAGTCAGAAGGAGCCATTTCCGACCCTATAAATCATATATATTCTTGATCAGCATCAAAAACTGAATCGTTTTAGCCATGTTTGGAGGAAAAGAAATTTTTAGCCATTTTCTCAAAATTTGATAAGGGGTTACATCATTAAAATTTGCAAAAATTTGCCAAAAATTTTAATTTTATAAAATTTCGAAAAAAGTAAGCAGCTTTATTAACTTCATAAAAACTAACACTAAACTGTTTTCCGAACTGAATTTAATGCTTTCTTAACCGAGTTATGATATTTTTATATTTAAATATTAAAAAAAAATACAAAAGTTTTTTTAGTATAAAAAACCCGATGTTATAATACAAAATAAGATTTCTGGGCGAACAAACAGAACTGTTTTCCAAATTGAAATTAATGCCTGTTTGGACGAGTTATATTTTTTAATTATATGAAGTTTTTTTTTTTATTAAATTCTGATCATAGCTAATATATTTATATAAATATGAACATAAGGGTATTTATTTATATATTTTTGCCATAGCAAATATTATTCAATTCCTATTGTTTATATATATATTTCCGTAATGAAAGTATTTTATGACGTTTGTAAGCAACTTTTTTTTTTACAAAAACAAAATCTAAAGGGGAAAAATCGCTTACACATAGCAGATTACAACGTAATGGCATAGCGCTTTCGGAGAATCCGTGATTACAAACTGCTGACATTGACGCCATATGGCAGGAGGAGGAAGTCCACTCGCATTTTACACTTTACACAAGCCCCAGAACAGACAGGCCCCCCAAAACGTCGTTGTAAAACTGTATAAACAATCAATAGCAGCAAATAATAATAATAAATACACGTATTTATTTATTAATACACTTGATTGCGTCAGCTTTCACCGATACGGATTCCTGAACTAGACCTCCCAGAGCGATTTATTTACTCAGTTCCAATGGGCACTTGAGCTAGTACTTCTATCTCTAGTTTTTCGTAGGAATTTTATAGACATGTAATTACTTGGATTTATTTCTTGCTTCCCAGCTCATTTAAAAGCAAATAAATATATATTTGAATAAAAAAACCCAACTATTTACAAGTAGAAACTTTGAAACTCAACTTGTTGACCCATTTACCTTGCCAAGTTTCGAAAAGTATTTCAATTTTGGCACTTAATCAAGGTCAACTGATTGCTATCAGGGAAGTCTCGATCCTTCCATGACGCATCTAAAGCAGAGAGGAGGAGGAGGAGGAGGAGGTGAGCCGTGCTGAGAGGCAACTCAAAATCCAGGGGTCGCCTGGTCATCGCCGGGGGCAACGGCTACGTCAATGCGACGACAATCACAGTCCCCAAGCTCCCCAGACGACACACGTACAATAAGATCGAATCGATGGAAGCTGTGGCTGCTGCTGCTGCTGCTGCTGATACTGATACGGCGGATGCGGATGAGGGGCAAAGTACGAAATTCCACGGCGAATCCAAATGTCGGATTATACGGGGAATTTAATCACAAACTGCGTGATGTTTTTTTGTTCTTTGGAAATTCCTTTAATTTATTACAACTGCGACTACGACTAGGTTTACGTACGTTAACAAAGCGCTTACTAGGTACCTAAGGGGTATACTATGTTCTACATACTACAGAGCTGTTCAAAACTTTGTTTTCTGACAGCCTATATATGTATAATGTAAATGTATTCGAACCTTTTGGCCTAAACTAGAATTTGATGACTGTAGCGACTACCACTAGGCATTATAATAGCACTTTCAGGTGTGTGTGTGTGTGTGTGTGTATATATAGTAAGTATATAGCTTAATACAAAGACGGATATCTCTCCTCTCCAGCTCTTGCTCTAATGAATAAAGTTTCGCAATGCCAATGGCTTTCAATTAAGTTTCAAACTCAATTGCAGCATTGCTTAGCGATTTCTTGGTCGCTCCTTAAATGGGCAAGGTGACTCCTCCAGGGGGGATATTCCAGTTTAACGACAACTGAAAAAAAAAGAAATTTATTAATATTTCGGAGGGAATTAATTTAAAGATATTATAAGAGAACATTATTTCTTAGTTTCTGTTATTTTATTTACTTGTTATTCCTAAAACTTTAAGAAATTTTCTGCCTTTTTTGAAGTTGTAGAATTTCCAAGTTAAAAAAAAAAATTAAGGGAACTAATTGTCAATTTATTTAAGTTTAATTTGCGCTAAAAAATGCCTTTAAATAAGCTCTGATAATTTATAATTTTAAGAATATTACTAATATCTGATAATATTTATTTAAAAATTTTAAGCCTAAAAATTATGATTCAAATTTATTCTTTATTCTTGGAATATTTATTTGAAAATTATTACTCAAATACTAATCAAAAACCTAGTTATTTTAATACGATTTTTCTCTGGCAAATATTTACCCAAATATTTTATATTTTAAAAAGCAATTTCCTAAGTGATATCTCCCCAAAAAATAGTTCTTAAAACTCACCTGAAATAGGACACTTTAGAACCGCTTGTTGCTGCGTAGGTAAGCCTTATGGCGCACTTCCTCACGCTCACAGGGATCGGACTCCTTCCCGGTGCCGCCGCGCTTCACACATACCGTCTCCGCCTTTAAGCTGAAGCACTGCGTCTGCACAATATTAAAGAATAGTTTGCCAATGGCATTGGCATCCTCGTCGCCGGCCATTTTCAGGCAGGTGCGGAAGCGCAAATCGCAACTGCAATGGGACAGCGTATACGGACGATAGTTGAAGAGGTCATAACGATTCGACATCCCATCGATCCACATTTTGCAGTGGTCATGCTTCCGGCAGCATTTGTCCGCCTTGGAGGCGCCACCCAGGTCATTGTAGGTGCCATTGGCCAGGTTACCGCGTCCGCACCATCGTGTATTTGGTGCTATTAGCCAATCGGACAAGTGTCGTTTCCGGCGTACAACGCTGGGGGCAACGTCACTGGTCTGCCCGTGGATGTGCGTTTGGGTCTCCGCGGCGGGGTCGTACGATCCGTGACGGTCGGCCAAGTGCTTGGCATCGGCACCAGGACAGGCGCACAGCAGTTGCCAGGCTGCCAAGAGCACGAACGGCAGCAGCACCATTAGCTGCAGGTGGGAGATCGTGGGAAGATTGCTCTTGATCATCGTCGTGTTGTGTGTGTGTGTTTGTCGATTAGCCTTCACATTAAGTTTATTGATTGCACTGTTTCACGTTTGGCGCTGATTGCCCCTTTTATATGCTCCGCCGCCGGCGCAAAACTGCTGCGAAATTCTTGGAATGCAGACACAGCCGACACAGCCGGTGCTGCTAAAGCGTTTCCACTGACCGCCAGTGCTCTGCATTTGTATCTCTTATTAAATATATACAAATTCATCATACTTGCAGTACTGGGATATATAGTTTTCTATGTCTAAATGGAAAATAGCACTAAATTAAAGTAGAACATTTTCTAATTGCCATTTGATAAGCTTTGATAAGTCCTTTACCGCCTATCGAAGTGTAGAGTGTGAACACTTGTGTGTTGAACAACGTCCAGCCAGTGTTGCACAATGGCCTTGCTGGCCCAGCTGAGGCTTAGAGTTCGATATATCGCCACTATCGGGAGTGGTCAACCCATCTCTAGAGGAGCCCCAATGAGCAATAGCGAAACGAAAGCAAAAGCAACAAAAACAAAAGCAATGATCCATTGGAACTAGGATTATATATATATATATATATAATATTAGCAAACGAGCGAGACTGAGCCCGCGGCGGCCATGCAGCGATCCCAGGCAGCGGACCAAAAGACGACCAGGCTGCACCAGCCGCACAATCATTCCCACAACCACATTCTCCTCCAGCAGTCGGAGCTGGGTGAGCACAACAGCAACGATACAACGACTGGCGCCGCTCGCGTCGCAGCCAGCAGCAGTGCCACGCCCCTGGCTGGTGCCAGCTCTGGGCCCACACCCCCCCGGACACTGGCCATCAATCAGAACCATCGGTATGCCGCCTCGGATACATCGGGGGACCAGGATCAGGATCATGATCACGATCAGGAGCAGGATGAGGAGCTGCTGGACTCGCGCTACGAATGCGCCATTTGCATCGACTGGCTGAACGAGCCGGTGCTGACGTCGTGCGGCCACCGCTTCTGCCGCAGCTGCCTCACCGCTTGGCTGCAGAAGAACAACCAGTGCTGTCCGCTGGACAACAAACGCCTGTCCGCCGAGCATGACATCTTCCCGGACAACTATACGCGTCGCGAGATCGAGCAGCTGAAACACAAATGCCCCAACTCACCGCTCGGCTGCTCTGTGGTGGCCTCGCCCATCGAGCTACACCGTCACCTGCCCAGCTGTCCGTACCGCCGGCAGCTGTCGCAGGATCCGCCAGAGGAGAAATGCCCCTTTGCCAAGATCAAGTGCGATTTTGTCGGTCGGCCCGAAACGAATCAGTTGGAGGAGCACCTCAAGGCAGACATGCCACATCACATGCAGCTGATGCTGCAGGCCTTCCAGCAGACGGCCATTGCCACCTGGCAGCCCCACAAGCCCAGCACGAGTGGCGGCGGCGGCGGAGCCCTGGAGAACGGTCATGGTAGCCAGCTGCCGCCGCCGCAGCAATATGCCAACGGTGGCATGGGCGTTGATGAGCAGATTGTGCAAACCATGTACCAGCGCATCGTGGTGCTGGAGCAAAGGACTCGCGAGCAGGAGACACGCTTGGAGAACTTGCAAAAGCAGCTGCGCATGGCCCGCCAGTCGTCGTCGTCATCGGTTGATCCACGCTACAGCAACGGTACCATTGTGTGGCGCATCGAGCAGCTTGGCGCCCTGGTGGCCCGCCTGCGTGCCAATGCCAACAATTTGGAGTACTCGCGTGAGTGCTATACCTCGCCGCATGGCTACAAGTTCTGTGCTCGCCTCAACATCCAGCCTCGGAAGCCGCACGTGCTTAGCCTGCATGTGCATCTGATGCAGTCGGAGAATGACTACCATCTGGACTGGCCCTTTAAGGGGCGCATCAAGCTGTGCATGGTCCATCCGGTGGATGCATCGCTGTCGCAGCACGACACCATTATGACCAAGCCAGAGATCCTGGCCTTCCATAAGCCACGCGAGGCGATCAGCACGCGGGGCTTTGGCTTTCTGGAGTACGCCAACATATCGAACATCATTCAGCTGGGCTTTTGCGCCGACGATCGGCTGCTCATCAAGATTGAGATCAACATTGTCTGATGCGGATATAAGTAGGTGTGGAGTTCAAACTTCTCTGCTCATCCCAGTGGCGTAGATTATGCAATAACTAACCATAGCTGGCATATACTATATATATTTTATATAGAACTATATATATATGCTATACCGATATATATACAGCTCATAGTCATAGCCTCTCACTTGAAGCAATCTGGATGCCATCTATCCGCTCTATTACTCCGTACTAATCGATATTATCTGTGTAACTATCATAGAGCTAGGCCTCTTCCTCATATTGTATATTATGTTTAAGCTCCTATCAGTGTACTTAATCTTTAGTTTTCAAAACATTCCTTCCCTTTTGTCAATTTAATTGATTTTTCTCTTTGATTGTTAACCGAGTACGTCCATATTTCTCATTAAGATTTTTCTTGTTTGCTTGATATTAGCTGCTTGGAAGGATTATCTTCAGTTATTAGAGTTTTAAGGAATCGGGGGGAAAAAAAAACAACGAAGGAGGCAGCCAGGGCTGCATGTATGTATGTATTATTTCAAAACCCAATCCCAAGTCCCCGTCCCCGTCCCCACACTTAATATGTAGTAGAAAGTAGCTATAAGAATCTCGGGATCCCCAGTTTTCGCTTAGGAAACCCCCCAAAAAATAAAGGACACTTTTGTACCGTCAATTTTCACACACTTTCTATTAATCCTTATAAACCTTCTGTTCGTTTCAACGAAAAAAGGTTTCTTTTATATTCTTAATTAAGTTATTTATTAGTTGTACTTGAAATCCAGACCCTTTATGGCCGCGCACTGGTGCTTAACTAGCCTAATCCTAACCAGAGCTCTTCTGTGCTAGCCGGGTGTCAAAGGCCAAGAGCCTCCTCCATCGCCGCCACTCGCTGACAGCTGCTGCTGTTGCTGTTGCTGCTGGTGTTGCTCCTCCTCCTCTACATTCAGATCAATGGCCATTGTGATGGTGGTGGTGGGCGCCGTCCGACCCTCGATAACCTCTATGGTAACCGACTGCGGCAGGGGCTTCACCGGTCCCTTTACCCTACTCGGATCGTGGCTGCGCATATGGGCATTGAGTCCGCCGGATTGGGCAAAGGTCTTGCCGCACAGCTTGCAGGCATATTTTCGCTGCTCCGAGTGGAGCAGCTTGTGGACGCGCAGGGCCTTTTTGCGCTGGAACGTGGAACCGCAGACGTCGCAGACAAAGGGCCGCAGACTAGTATGCGAGACAGCATGGACGTTGAGGTCATGGAAGCTGTAAAAGGCCTTGCCGCAAACCTCGCACTTGGCCGGCCGTTCGCCGGTGTGCCGTCGCATGTGGGCCGTGAGCACGCCCCGATCTCGGCAGGGCCGACCGCACACCTCACAGATGCAGGGCATGCGGCCCGTGTGGCAGATACTGTGCGAGGATAGCTCCTTCTGCGTGTAAAAGGTCGCATCGCATTCGGGGCATTTGTGGGGCTTAATGCCGCTGTGCCGCTGCCGGTGGCGCATCATGTTGCCCGACTGGGTGAAGGGTTTGCCACAGATGTCGCAAAAGATGCCCGTGTGCTTCCAGCGATGGCCATGCAGGTCGCGCTCCGTGCGAAACGTCTGATTGCACTCCTTCTCATGGCACTTGTACACCTTGGGGGGACCTTTCCGCTTCTTGGCTTTGCGCTCCGTGGAAGCCTTCTCCTTGGACGCGCCAACGACCACATCGGTGTGCTTGAGGCGTCGGTGGCTCTGCAAGCTGCGCTTGCTGTTGTAGGCTCGGTCGCAATGATCGCACTGGAACAGCATGTCCTTGGTGTCGTCTACCTGGCTGGCCTGCTCGGAATCATCGTCATCATCGTCCTTATCATCCTCGTCCTCCTCGTGTTCCACTTTGGTTTCCAGCTGACCGCTTGTCCAGTCGAGGTTCATGTCGAGCAGGTCCTCTTGCGTCTCCACCAGCGTATTCTCCATGGCCGTCGTTGCTTCCTCCTTTTCCACATGTTCCTCCGCCTCTGGCTTCGGCTCCTCCTTCACCAACTCCTCTTCATTCTCCAGTGATTTTCTGTCCTCTTGGGCAATGGGATCGCTCTCCGGCTCGTTACCGCTGAGATGTTGCGTCCGAAAGTGGTTTGGGAAGCTGTCCAACGCCAGACGCTGGCCGCACAGCGAACAACAGACATCGTAGCTGGCCGGGCTGCTGTACAGAATCTCGCCGCATCGGAAGTTGTGGTAGCCACCGGGTGAATTTGAAGGCGGCGTCGTCTGCAGCCTGATCATGTCGACTTGGTCACTGGGCAGACGGTTCACTGGATTCCTTCCATTGGCGTCGCTTCTTTTGAGAAATGCAACCACCACAATACAAATCCTAATCACATCAAAACGGGCACCAGACAGGGGCAGCTGCCAGGGGGTTTGGGATGCTTTTAAACCTTTTATGTGTGTAAATTCAATCTTAGTTAGGAAACTCATAAGATAATCTATATTATTATTCTATAAAATAATAATAATAAATTATTATTATTTAAAACAAAACCCCTGCGTAAATTTTCAAGACGCGCTCTTGACACCAGCTGGTGGTTCAGTGTTAGTTAACGGTGCAATATTCAAAAAACTTGTTTTTATGCAAAGTTTATTGTTAATAGAGCTGGAAATAAAATTGATTCTATAGTTGATTAATTTGTTAATTATGCAATACATAGTTTTAAATTTTTAGAATCGATTTAATTGAATTTAAGCGTATGTGAGTGAACTCAACATTTTTAAAGTATAACCAGCTTTTTTTTTTTAGATTTGATTTAATATTAACATTAAAAGTTTATTAAAATGTCTCGTCAGTCAGTTTTAACGGTATTCATGTTATCGATAACCCGTTCAGTGTTGGTTAAGTGGCGCCCTTCGTCGTTGTGTATTCGGTTTGGATTCGATTCGCGTATACACTTTTTTTCGCCAGACTTTCCATTGATTTTTCGCTGTCCGCATCTGCCTGAACCCGGAGTCCAGGGAAGTTACGGCGCATTAGGACAGAGATCCTACTCCATCCCCGTGAGAGCCAGCCAGGCAGCCAGCGAGCAGAGCCATGTCCGAGAGCGCCGTGCCAGTGAGCAATGCGAACGCGAACGCCACCGAGAAGATGGCCAGCTTGGTGCGGGAGGCGGAGAACCTAAAGACCAAACTGGAGGAGGAGCGCCAGAAGCTAAACGATGTCAACCTGTCGAATATCGCCGAGCGTCTGGAACAGATCGCCTACGTGAACATTAAGCCGCGCAAGGTGCTCAAGGGCCACCAGGCGAAGGTCCTGTGTACCGACTGGAGTCCCGACAAGCGCCACATCATTTCGTCCTCGCAGGACGGCCGCCTAATCATCTGGGATGCGTTCACAACGAACAAGGAGCACGCTGTTACCATGCCCACGACCTGGATCATGGCCTGCGCCTATGCGCCATCGGGCAACTTTGTGGCCTGCGGCGGGCTGGACAACAAGGTGACCGTCTATCCGATTACCTCTGATGAGGAGATGGCCGCCAAGAAGCGTACCGTGGGCACCCACACCAGCTACATGTCGTGCTGCATCTACCCAAATTCGGATCAACAGATCCTTACGGGCAGCGGTGATTCCACATGCGCCCTGTGGGACGTGGAGTCGGGCCAGTTGCTGCAGAGCTTTCACGGTCACTCCGGCGATGTGATGGCCATCGATCTGGCTCCCAATGAGACGGGCAACACCTTCGTCTCCGGCAGCTGTGACCGCATGGCCTTCATTTGGGACATGCGTTCGGGTCATGTGGTGCAATCCTTTGAGGGCCATCAGTCGGATGTGAATAGCGTCAAGTTCCATCCATGCGGCGATGCCATTGCCACCGGTTCGGACGACAGCAGCTGCCGGCTGTACGACATGCGGGCAGATCGGGAGGTTGCTGTATTTGCCAAGGAGAGCATCATCTTTGGCGTCAACTCGGTGGACTTTTCGGTTAGCGGACGTCTGCTGTTTGCCGGCTACAACGACTACACTGTCAACCTGTGGGACACACTCAAGTCGGAGCGTGTCTGCCTGCTGTACGGGCATGAGAATAAGGTGTCCTGCGTGCAGGTCTCGCCCGATGGCACTGCCCTGTCCACCGGCAGCTGGGATTATACCATTCGCGTGTGGGCCTAAGCCCCATATGTTATCATGTATTGTTGGGGCGCATCTAAGATGCTGCCTGGCCCCTGAACTCTCATTCTAGTCATTGTTTTCCCTACCCCAGATTTTTTTTTTTTTATTTTTTTTGTGCGTCTCTCTAGGATATTGTTAGGCGGAACTGGACTGGCCAAATGTGTACATATGTCTCATGTGGGAACTCCAGCCTCTGTCTTGGATACCGCGGTGTTATTGTGCTTATTACCTGCTGTACTATAATGATATATTATATATATACATACCGGATCTGTAACCATTATGCGAATAGTTATAAGTTCCTGTTCCGAAATAAATGTTGAGCCATAGCAAGAATTGGTTTACTCTGTTGTTGCGGGGGGAATTCCCCAGGGTTTAGGTCCCGAATGAGTTTAAAAACAAAGAATATCGGATTGGATTTCAAGTTGGCTATAATTAAATACCACTTTCTCCTGCCTTGTCTACATTTTCCAGGACTCAGACAAAGCTAACTTATCATATAGGGACAGAACGCTTAAGGAATTCAGTTAAATCTTCTGCCTTTCAGGATATTTCCAACTAATTTACAAACTAAGTCAATACTTTCTTCAGCTTTGTGGCAATACCATATGTACAGGTCTGCTGGTCAAAAGGTAAACAGCAGCTCAATGGGAGCCGTAGCGGACGTCGTTGTGGTCGCATCGCTGGCTGCATCCGTCTGCAGCTTGTGGACCCGCATGTGAGCGGATAGACCCGCCGCCTGGGCGTAGGCATTGCCACAGATCTTACACTTGAACTTCTTGATGCCCAAGTGGAGGTGCTTGTGATGATAGAGGGCCTTGGGCCGCGAAAAGGCTGCCTCGCATTTGTCACATTTGAAAGGCTTCTCCGTGGAGTGCATGGCCTGGTGCTCGTTGAGCAGCGACTTGGAGGCGAAGCAGCGATCGCATGTCTGGCACTGGAATGGCTTTTCGCCGGTGTGGGTGCGTCGGTGAACGATAAGGGCCTCGCGGTAGCGGGATCTATAGCCGCACAGCTCACACACATAGTTGCGTTCCTCGCTGTGGACGCGACGGTGTGAGGTAAGATTGTGCTGGTTCACAAAGGATTTGCCGCAGTTCTCGTGGTCGCACTTGAACTGCCGCACCCCCGAATGGCCCTGGACATGGCGCAGCAGGGAACGGGAGCTCTTGAACACCTTCTCGCACAGCTGACAGCCAAATTCTGTGTGCGCCTTGCGCCGGTGTTGGGCCAGAGCCCGATCCGCATCAAAGGTGGCCTCGCAATCGTCGCACTTGAAGGCCTGCGGATGCGGATGGCTCATCTTGAGGTGTGTGTTCAGGTATTTCTGTGTGGTGTACTTGCGATCACAGTGCGGACAGTTGTAGTCCTTGGGCTGGCGTTGTTTCTGCTGCGAAACCATCGGCGAAGCGCATTAATATATAGGTTGTTATGGTCAAAATGCTGTTGATTACCTTGAATACTGATTGCTGATCCTCCTCCTCCTCCTCCTCGTCTTTAAGGCTGCCGCGGATATCTTGTAGCTCTGTCTCCTCATCCAGATCCCCATTGTCGCTCTCAAAATCGGAGAAATTCTTGCGATCTGAGTGCCAGGGCGGAGAATCTTTCGTTTCATCGCCATCAGTCAGGTTTTCATCCACTGTCAGTATGCGCAAAGGATTAACCTCCTCCGTTTCGGGCTCTGCTTCGATATCTAAGCCCTCCTCCTTCCACATTAAGTCGAGATGCGGCTCTGGAGCGGCCCTGATGCTAGTGGGAAAAGGCTCGACGGCGGCGGCGGCCGACATTGTGAACGTCTCCGTGAGCGGCCTGCCCTGCTTGTCAAAGTGCACGTTTCGAATGTGCCGGGCAAAGTCCTCGAAGGTGAAGTGCTTCATCTCGCACAGGAGGCAGATCAGTTGAAAGGAATTGGCCTCCTGCTCGTAGAAGATCTCCCCGCATTTGGGGCGTAACTGCTGCTGGGCGTGGAGGCGGGCATAGTCCACGTTGGCAAGACAGTGTCTCAGCATCCTACACCAACTGCACCGTTTTCAGAGAACATAAAAATCCAAACAAACTGAAAAGTTTGTAAACAAACCGAGAATTCGTTTGGCAGCTGTGCCGATAACCGATAACCGATAGACTGTAGGTAACTAGTGCTGGAAAACCCCAGAGAGTGTGTGGCAGTTGTGGAGTTAACGGTTGTTTAGTGTTTAAAAATGCTCAACTTTAAAAACTTGACAACAAAAATTGAGAGAAAACGCAACGTCTTAATATTGTTTTGTGAATTTAATGAATAAGCGCTTCCTTGAGTCAGTCCAGACTAGGCATATGTTGATCTTGACCAGCAGTCACCAAATTCGCAGTATTCTCCGTCGACTCCATGGTCAGATCCTTGGCCACCCGCTGTATCCGCTGGCGGTGCCACCGCTTGTGTTGGGCATAGCCCGCTGCCTGGGCGAATTGCTTGTCGCACTGCTGGCACTTGTACCGCTTCTCCTCCTCATGCAGCGGCCGATGGTGGTACAACGCCCGATAGCTGGAGAAGCCCACATTGCAGACAGTGCAAAAGTGCCGTAGACGCCGCTCTGCGGCATCTACATGCCGCTCCAGATGCGTGGTGAGCTGATAGCGGGCCGCAAAGCGCGCCTGACAGGTTTGGCAGGTGAAGGGCAAGTCGCCGGTGTGACGCCGCTGATGGACATGGAGATTCCACAAGAGTCGTGTCCTATGGCCACAGTACTCGCACATGAGACGCGGGCTATCCTTGTCCTTGCCTTGGCTGCATTTCCCAGAATCCGATGGGGCCACAGAAGCTACTGAATGTGCCGGGGTCGTCGTCATGGCGGCGTGCGCGTGTTGTGCCAAAATGTAATCGCAGGGACTATTGTTAGACGCGGCGCGTATCTCTATCCTCCACTTGGCCTGGCATTTGGCTCTCGCCCGATTAATTGCTGTCAAAACCAAATTGGATGGCTAATTTTAAACGCGGCTGCTGCAGCTCTTTGTGAATTAGATTCTGTTATATATTTTCGATGAATACAAAAAAAAAAAAAAGGGTTAACCGCAATTAACCATCCGAATTGTTAGCCACATCCGCTTGTCGTGATTACAATTAAATCCCACAGGGTTACAGAGTTAACTTGTTAATATATACAATAAAACAAACATAAACTCGAATATTTGCCGGAAAAAAAGAGACCCAAGGAAGAACCAACTCGATTTGGAAGCCCGATCTCTCACTTTGATCCCTTAACAAACTCTCGAATCGGTTACAAGTTTTAGTGAAATGAATATGTAACCCGTCTCCCCTCTCTCCTTTCCGGATTGTTACAAACAAGAAATCTATATATAAAATAAGAAATCATTGATTATACACCCTTTTGAGACGGTGTCTTCTATAGCCTATGCCTGAGTTCTTAAGCCTAAAGTCGAAAGGAATTGGAAGATACAAAACGTACCACGTACGGCTTAGACTATGTCCCTACTACCGCTTCTCTAACTAGCATACACTATCCACGTTCTCATTCCCTATCCATGGAGCTCGTCGTTGCGATGCTTTCGCATGTGTCCGGCGAGTCCAGCTGCCTGGGCGTATGCATTTCCGCAGAGCTTGCACACAAACTGCTTGGTGTCCGCATGGAGGAACTTGTGGTGATAGAGCCCCTTCTGTCGCGAAAAGGTGGCACCGCAGACGCCGCACACATGCGGCCGCTCCGTGGAATGCATGGCCATGTGCTCCCTGAGGCCGGAATGGGAGGGAAAGCGCTTGTCGCAAACCTGACATCCAAAGGGCCGCTCACCGGTGTGACTACGGATGTGAACGCGCAGCGTCTCCTTGTTACGGCAACTATAGCCACAGCTCTCGCACACGAAGTTCTTTTGCTCGGTATGCACCTTGCCGTGGTTCCGCATGTGGCGGACGGTGAAGAACCGCTTGCCGCAGCCAGGATGCGTGCAGGGCACGTTGCGTTCGCTGGTATGCTTCAGCTGGTGACGTTTCAGCTCGTGGCGCGTCTTGTAGCGGCGGCCGCATACCACGCACGCGGCACCGCCGTGCGCTTGTACCATGTGCTCGTCCAGAAGACGCAGGCGCGGCAGCTCCGCCTCGCATTCTAGGCAGGTGAATGTGCTGGTGCCACCCTCGCCGTCGTTGTTGTCGTTGCTGTGCTCCCGCTTCAGGTGCTGCCGCAGGCTGTACTTGCCGTGATAGATCTTGTCGCAGTGCTCGCACTTGTGCTCCTGCGGCCCGCTCCCAGCTCCAGTCTTCTCCTTGGGCGGCTCGTAGTCGGCATCCTCGCTATCCGCATCATCTATGGCAGCGGTGGCGTCCTTGTGCTGGCGCAGCAGGTGCCGCTCCAGGGTCTTGCGGCTCTGGTAGCTCTTCGAGCAGTGCGGACAGGCGTGGCGGGAGTGGGACTGGATCTCGCTTCCCAGCGAGTCCGCCGGATCCACATCGCGGTCGTGGTCCAGCTCCAGGCCGCACTCGGAATCCTCCTCCTTGTAGTCCACCTTCAGGGCCCTCACCTGTCGCATGGACTCACTACCAGCCAGATGGCCAGAGTTGTCCCACTTCATGATGGCCCTGCCCGGCCGCTCGTCCTCCTCGTCCAATCCCGCCGGCAGCGCCGCCTCGTCGTCCTCGCTGTCATCGTCGTCATCACGTTGGCCGCCAATCTCGTACCAGGCAAAGGGATTCACCTGCGCCACTATCGGCACCGGCGAGGCCTGGTCGCGCTCCTGCTTCAGTTCGGCCTCCGCCTCCGTCTTGAGCAGGCCGTTCTCAAAGTGCACGTTCTGGACGTGGAGCAGGAAGTCGCCGAAGACAAAGCTCTTCATCTCACAGAAGGCGCAGTCGATGCGGAAGCTGTGCAGGCTCTGGAAGTAGATCTCGCCGCACTTGGCGTTCGCCATGCCGGCGTATGTGTCCGGCTTGAGGGACTTGAGCATGGTGGCGGCTCCCAGCTGGCCGTTGCTCGCCAGGATTAGCGTCCTTTATTTCGAAACTGATTTCCCCACTAAGCCAAAAATGAGCAACAACGCTTTTTTCGAGTTTCTATGCGTCAACAGCTGACTGGGTGGGCGACGTGCGATTTGCAGCACTGGTCTCGCCCGTCACCTTGGTCACACCTTCTCGAGGCGCGCAACTTGAATACAGTAAATAAATCGAAGCCTCTTGAACTCATAAGATCGAAATCATTGAATAATTTCATTTCTTTAAGCCCTTGCCAGGGTATTACAATTACGAGGTATTACGAGTTAGGATATTTATACCCTTGCAGGGCAGTCAGAAAAGCCCCCGAAATTTCTAATCCACAAATGTGGATCGTATCCTGAGATCTACTTCCCGGAAGAGCGTAAGTGAAAGCGAGCAGAGGACAAAATATTGTTCGTTTGCTTAAAATAACGGTGCATAATAATAGTTGCAGAAAATAACAAAAACAGAAAGAGAATAGGTAGCGTAGCTTTGCAAACGCTGAGAAAAATGAATGGTTTGTACTCACTTTGTTGTTTGTAGCGGAAAATTCCGTCGAAATTCCGTTCCTTTTTCTTTAAAGCCTGGCTCCGATCCTCCAAAGGGCTTGTTTTTTACGGCGTTTTGATGTTTTCGCGATATCCGCACGTTTTCTACAGTTTTTGCCCGTTTCCATTTTCTTTCTTCGCATCGCTTTTCCCGATCAAAGAAAGAAGAGCACGAAAGCAAGAAAACTAACGGGACTTGCTCACCCATTGGCAGTTTTTGTTTCACTCGCACTTGCATTTGCACTTGCACAGCGTTTTTTGCCCGTATTTATCCAGTTTTTTAAGCACGTGTTCAGCGTGCAGTTTCGTGGCTAATGCGATCTCACTTGGACTTGCACTTCCACAGGAGAAAAAAAAGAAAACTTAAAAAACGCTGCCCGTGCGTTGATTTTTCCGGGGTTTTTTTCATTTGGGTTTTCATTAATTACGCCGGGACAATGTTTTTTCCGCACTTTCCGATCGTATTTTGTCCGTTTTATCCAGTTTTTATCCCGTTTTCATAGGAGCGCGCGTTTTCCCTACCGAACATTTTTTTGGCGAAAAATAGAATGAAAAAGAAAGGCGGAATTCTGGAAGACAACGCAAAGCTGGAAGAGAGAGAAAAAAGAGAGCGTCTCTCCTTTCTAGCTTTCACTCTCCCGCTCTCTGGAGCCACGATTCGCTTTATTTACATTTTTAACCGAAGCTTTGTTCTGATTGGAGTGAGCACAAAATTAATTATATAATAAATATACAAATATATGTATACTTTATATTACATTAAATATTTCAAAACAAATTCTTTAATATAAAAAATCAGACTTTACAATATAAAATAATATTTTTCTGGGTGAAGGAGTCATTTCCGACCCCATAAATTATATATATTCTTGATCAGCTTTAACAGCCGAATCTTTTTAGCCATGTCCGGGGGAAATTAAATTTTTAGCCAATTTTTTCATTAAAATGATCAAAATTCGATAAAAAATTTTAATTTTAAAAAATTTCAAATAAAGTATGCAGATTTATTAACTTCGTAAAAACTAACACAGAACTGTTTTCCGATTTAAATTTTATGGATTTTTGATCGAGTTATGATATTTTTAAATTTAAAGTTATTATATTTTTATATTTAAAAACAATTTAACAAAATATAGCACTTTATTTTTAAAATAAATCTGATACTAGGATTTGTGCTTTTCAAAAGTCTGATTGGAACGAATTAAAGCGACGAATTTGCCAACACTGGCGCTGGGCTTATCGATAAGTGGGGCCGGCCTGGCACTCTAGAGCTGGGAAACTATCGATAGTGGCACCATTCGATATTTTCGATGATTTGAAAACGAAAATTCGATACTATCGATAGTATCGTTTTTTTACGATTCTTTTTGCAAATTAAAGTTATAGCAATTTCAAATAGAATTATAATACTATTCAAGAGTTTAAAAATTATGCCATATGTTTTGACTAAGTAATTAACATAAATATTCTATCCAAGCAACTTTGCACAAATAAAATTGTATTACCATTGCTAAACATACGCTTAGACTCTGAAGACGTGGCGTAGACGCACCCTTTCTTTTGAAATTCAGTTAATATTTTTCACCGCCAACTCCAATTTAAGTTAATTTAGAATACATTTTTATTATAAAAAAAAATATATATATATATATATATTTGTTTGCATTTTTCTTACTAAATTTTAGCAACAAAGCAGAGATATAAAAATAGTCCCGTACTATCGATAGTGATAAAAAACTATCGATGGTGGCTCAAAAAAAGGAAAAAGTCGATACCTCGATAGTACCATCGATAGTTTCCCAGCTCTATGGCACTCTTCCTCTTCCCACTGCGTTGTGGCAACACGAGATTCGGCATTTGATATCAAATTTACGTCAGATTTGGGCCCCAGCAATGCATCCCGACCTCACGGAGCGCATTCTCCAGCACCTGGAGACCGCCGGCCAGGCGGACACCCTGGACCTGGCCGCCCTCTTCGCCGAGGATCACCAGAAGATAGTGGGCGCCCTGAAGAGCATCCAGGCGCATGGCGATTTGGTCACCGCCACGGTGGCCACCCACAAGAGTCTAGGCCTCACGGACGAGGGTCGCGCCGTGGTGGAGCACGGGAGCCACGAGGCTCTGGTCTATGCCGCCATTCCGGCCGAGGGCATCGCCCAGGCGTCCCTTATGGCCACCGGTGGCCCCAATGCCAAGGTGGGCTTCAGCAAGGCCATGTCACACGGCTGGATACTGGTGGATAAGAGCGTCAGCCCACCGCTGGTTCGGCGCAAGGTGGACAGCATTGTGGACGGTGTGCGTGACCAGCTGCTGCTGGTGGCCCAAGGCAAGGGTGACCAGTTGCCAGCCAAGGACTGTGCCGACTTCAAGAAGCGCAAGCTACTCCAGGAGACCGTCACCAAGAGCTTTGTGCTGGGCCGAGGAGCTGAGTTTGCCACCACGCTGACCAAACTGGAGACGGATCTCACCATGGACATGCTGTCGAGCGGGCTCTGGGACACGCTCAAGTTCAAGGCGTACAACTTTGATGCCCTAGGAGCACCACCCACGCGGGGTCATCTTCATCCTTTGCTAAAGGTTCGCACTGAGTTCCGGCAGATATTCCTCGAGATGGGCTTCTCGGAGATGCCCACCAATAACTATGTGGAGTCGTCATTCTGGAACTTTGATGCTCTCTACCAGCCGCAACAGCATCCGGCTCGCGATGCCCACGACACGTTCTTCGTGAATCATCCGTCGCGTAGCCACAAGTTCCCCCAGGAGTATCTCGAGCGGGTGAAGGAGGTGCATTCGCACGGTGGCTATGGGTCCAAGGGCTACGGCTATGACTGGAAGCTGGAGGAGGCGCAGAAGAATCTGCTGCGCACCCACACCACGGCGGTGAGTGCCCGCATGCTGTACAAGTTAGCCAACCAGGAGGGTGGCTTCAAGCCGGCCAAGTACTTTAGCATCGACAAGGTGTTCCGCAACGAGACACTGGATGCCACCCACCTGGCGGAGTTCCATCAAGTGGAGGGTGTTATCGCCGATGTGGGCCTCACGCTGGGCGATCTCATAGGCACGCTTTATGAGTTCTTCCGGAAGCTGGGCATCACGCAGCTGGAGTTCAAGCCGGCCTACAATCCGTACACAGAGCCCAGCATGGAGATCTTCTGCTATCACCCGGGCCTGGCCAAGTGGATCGAGGTGGGCAATTCGGGCGTATTCCGGCCGGAGATGCTGCTGCCGATGGGCCTGCCGGAGAATGTGAATGTGATTGCCTGGGGACTGTCGCTGGAGCGGCCGACGATGATCAAGTATGGCATTAACAACATTCGGGATCTCGTGGGGCCCAAGGTGGACCTGAAGATGGTCGAGGAGGGACCCATTTGCCGGCTGGATCATGTCTAGGATCTGCTATTAAATTGCATTTTTTTTTCCACTCAATTGTTCCAAGAAAACAAATATTTATAAATAAAACTCACACCAAAAAGAAGCTGACAAAGAAGGGGCTTTAAAATAACAAGAAAATTTAGTTATTTCTTGAATTTGCTAGAAATCCCTAAAATTCAAATATTCGCGGGCTGTTTGGGTTACCCAACTGTGTTGTCCAGCACTGGTTATTACGATGTATCGATACCCATATTTCACAACATAATTAGGCACAAAAATCTATAACAATTTATTTGTACAACTGCAATTTTGGTTTATTAAGCTTTAAATTTTAAAAATTTCAATTAAATTTTGGTTTATTTACTTTAAAAAACAAGTCAATTGGGGAATCGATTGTTATCGATAGGCAGACCGCGAATCGAACGTCATCACACACACACACAAAGAAGAAAAAAACAATAACAAACCGAAAACCTAAAAAAGAAGTCTGCAAAATTAACAAACTTTCGAAATGGGAACCAACCCGACGCAGACCCTTCACCAGACGATACAGAAACAGTTCGGCCTCCCCAATCCCGGCGATTCGTCCAAATCGAGCAATGACTGTCACCCGACGACGACGACACAGCCACAGCACAGATTCGTCATTCCGCAGCTGAAAATCCCGCAGCTCCAGCTCCAGCAGCAGCAGCCCACCGATCTGGCGGCCCAGGAGCGCAGCCGCCAGGCAACGGACCTGCACAACCAGCAGCTGCTCGACGAGATTCGTCGCCGGCGTCAGGGTTCGGAAAGCGAGGCGCCACCAGGAGGAGCAGGCGGAGCAACCACTAGATTCGTTATTCCCCAGCTTGGAGCGGCCACTGGTGAGCCGCTGAACATACCGCTCCTCTCTAGGCTAGAGCGTAGCGTGGGCCAGTTGCAGATCCGCAGCGACGACGACGGCGGCGACCGGGCTGAAGAAGCCATGAAGTCGACGACGCAGTCGCCGCTGATCGATCTCACCAGCACTGTGATAGCCGCAAGCAAGGATGGCCCACCCAAGGTGGCGGCAAGCAAGGCGCGCGAGAAGCTGGCGGCCAGCCAGGAGCACTTTAACATCCCCTTCAATCCCTGCGATCTGCCTCCGGTGAGCAGGAACCCTGCTCTTCTCAGTGGTGACCTGCTGGCCAGCAGGCGGCGGCGGCACGAGAAGGAGGAGGAGGAGGCATCAGTGCCCCCACCAGAGTCCCAGCCCGGCCCCATTGGCTGCATGCTGGACGTCGTCGTGGGCTATCCAAACCTGCAGTATGCCATAACAGCGCTGGAACGGCACCATCTGAAAATGTGCAACCGCGAGGACTACGGCGGCCAGGTGAAGAGATTCCGCTTCGACACGCCCTCGCCCGATGAGCTGGTGAAGCAGGCGCTGCAGAAATCCTGGCGCGTTACGCGCACTTGACTCGGGTTCCTCCTGCCACCACTTGACAATTACCGAAAAGTAAATCAAATAAATCTGTCTAGTTCCAAAGGTTTTCGGTGGCGATTTTGTTAATTTAAACAGAGCGCCTGTTTGCTCCCGTTATCGGTACCAACTATCGATGTATCGCTGTTTTAGCAGCTCTGCCGTATCCAAAAGCTTTAGTGCTTTTTTACGATACCAAGAGTTGGCAGCACTGCTGAATTCGAGGAGGCGAAAAAATTGAGTGAGAGAGCGCCGGTTTGAGTGCTGTTGCTCTGTTAAAATTCTGTTAAAACGCCCTCTCAATTTGGGAATTCCATAAGCAAAACCTGTTAAGCTCTCATTTTAACAGAAAATTCTGTTAGGTTGTAGGTTGTAGTATCAGATGTGGTTCGAATATCAGATGTGGGCTGAATACCAGGTGTGGTTCGAATATAAAAAAATACTGCAATTATTTATGCATACTTGGTCACACTGTTCTACATTCGAGGAGGCGAAAAGCGAAAAACTGCGTATGAAATAAAAACAGTGTGGTTTCCTCGGAACGCAACAGAAAAATCTTTTCCGTGTGGTCAGTGAAAACTGGGAAAATCTGCAATAGATCGCTTGTGTTGAACGGGGCATTGGGCAATCGCAGTCGGCAAAACGCTCCGCTCGGACAAGAAAAAAAAAAAAAAACAGCTGTGGCGGTGGAAAGGGGACCAGAAAAGTATATCCACAAAGTGCGAAAGGTCAGCAGAAAAGCAGACGAGAGACGGCAAGGAGCGTAAAATAAATATTCTCTGTTCTGTCGCCCTGTGAGTGTTTTTGTTGTGTGTGTGTGAGTGCGAGTGTGTGTCGTGTCGGTGTGTGGCTGTGTGTGTCTCTAGCTGTCACTTTCTGGCGCGCACACAAGATATACACAAATTAAAAACGGTGGCCACCAACACACACCGCCCCCCCTCCGGCCAGACCCCCTCGTCTCCTTCGCCTTGATGTGCTGCACGCCCGGTTCCGGTGCCGTTGCCGTTGCCATTTGGTTCCCGTTGTCCCACCAACGCAGCGCATTAAGTGCATCCAGCTCCAGTGCGGCGGCCGTGTGAGAGAGCGAGCGAGCAACAGCCAGGAGAAGGAGCAGCCAGGGAGCTCGTTGCCGGTACCGTTGTACAGGTATGGGGATACATGGATACATTCAAAAAAAAAAAAACTCTCGTGCTTGTGTGTGTGTGTGCCTTTCAGTGCGTATTTACAATTTCTTCCATGCACATTTTATTATTGTGCGTTTTTTATGGTAATTTATTGCAAGTTGGAAAATTCCAAACAGCCCACAGATTAGTTCATATATCGCTGTTCGACTTTTAATTATTTATATTTTTTTGCGGCGTCTGCAAACGCAGACATTTGACCTTGCTCGGACCACAACAACAGACTCTCAAGGCAGCGGGCGGTTTAAGGGGGTTGGCGAGTTAGAAAAGAGCAACACTAATTATATATTATTATTTGTTTAACTTTTTGTAAAAGGGCTTAGAACACACCTACGCACACAGACATAGACATTGGAAGCAGACGATTGCATGGGAAGATAGAGATTCCAATACTGGAAGGCAAGTGGAAGAAATAGGGAGAATTAATACTCGTAGATTACCAATCACACACACACACACAGACAGACGCTCCGACGGGCAATTATCACAAATAAAATTATCAGATCCAGCCAGCAGCAGCTCTAGAAATCACACACCACACACATGCATCCAAATTATCAGAGGTTTTAATTGCCGCAGCACGCACAAACAAATAATCGAATGCCACTATTCCAGGCGATCAAATCGATCAGCAGCAAGCAGCAGGAGCAGCAACCCGGAGCAGGAAGGAGGTAGCATTCCAGTTCCAGGAGCCCCGCCAGGAACCGAGCCGAGCACCGCCCCCTCTTCCCCCACCCCGCCGACGACATCCTGAGATGTTGCCATTCACACCGCAGGTGGTCAAGCGTTTGTTAGCACTCAAAAAGGGCAGCGAGGACAACAGCGTCGAGGGCAAGTGGTCGGAGAAGGCCGTTAAGAATCTGGTGAAGAAAATCAAAAAGAACTCGCAGCTGGAGGAGCTAGAGCGGGCCATCTCCACACAAAACTGCCAGACGCGGTGCGTGACGGTGCCGCGCAGCAAGCCAGCTCCCGCCGGCGAGCATCTGCGCAAGGGTCTGCCGCACGTCATCTACTGCCGCCTCTGGCGCTGGCCAGATCTTCAATCTCAAAATGAACTAAAGCCCCTGGATCACTGCGAATACGCCTTCCATTTGCGCAAGGAGGAAATCTGCATTAATCCGTATCACTACAAAAAGATCGAGCTGTCCATTCTGGTGCCCAAGTCTTTGCCCACGCCGCCCGACTCCATTGTGGACTATCCCCTGGACAATCATACACACCAGATACCCAACAACACCGACTACAATGCTGCGATAATCCGCAGCGCATCGCTCAGTCCGCCGCAGTACATGGAATTGGGCGGCAGTGGTCAAGGACCCGTCTCCGTTTCATCCGCCGGCTCAACGCCTGCCTCGGCCAGTGGTAGCGGTGCCTCCGCCTCTGCCTCATCGTCATCGCCATCAGCCGCCTCCTCTTATCAACAGCAACAGCAACAGTTGTCCTTTGGCCAGAACATGGATTCACAATCGAGCGTGCTAAGTGTGGGTAGCAGTATTCCCAACACGGGCACCCCGCCACCCGGCTATATGAGCGAGGATGGCGATCCCATTGATCCCAATGACAACATGAATATGTCACGTTTAACGCCGCCCGCCGATGCAGCACCGGTGATGTACCATGAGCCGGCCTTCTGGTGCTCCATCTCCTATTACGAGCTGAATACGCGTGTCGGCGAGACCTTCCATGCCTCGCAGCCCTCGATCACGGTGGACGGCTTCACCGATCCATCCAATTCGGAGCGCTTTTGCCTGGGCCTCCTCTCCAATGTCAATCGCAATGAGGTGGTCGAACAGACGCGCCGTCATATCGGCAAGGGTGTCCGGCTCTACTATATTGGCGGCGAGGTCTTTGCCGAATGCCTCAGTGACTCGTCCATATTCGTTCAGAGCCCCAATTGCAATCAGCGCTATGGATGGCATCCGGCCACCGTCTGCAAGATCCCGCCCGGTTGCAATCTAAAGATCTTCAATAATCAGGAGTTTGCCGCCCTGCTGTCGCAGTCGGTGTCGCAGGGATTTGAGGCTGTCTACCAGCTAACCCGCATGTGCACCATTCGCATGTCGTTTGTCAAGGGCTGGGGAGCCGAGTATCGCCGCCAGACGGTTACCTCGACGCCCTGTTGGATTGAGCTGCACCTGAATGGGCCGCTTCAGTGGCTGGACAGGGTCCTCACGCAGATGGGTTCGCCGCGGCTTCCATGCAGCTCGATGTCGTAAGGAGGATTTGGATTTGGATTTGGATTTTTAAGGAAAAGAAAGAAAGAATCCCTGTTTTTTTTTTTGGATTTTCAAAGAAAGAAAAGCGGAAGATAGAAATCCCTAAAAAACAAAATCATGGTTGGGCTAGCAAGTAACACTGAAGAAGGAGGAATATTCTATGGGTCAGGTCCCCGATGATTCGTAGTTTCTAGTAGTATTAGTGGAAACTAAGTTGTATGTATGTATGTATGTTTTAAAGAAAACATTCTTAAATGTTTTTCAATTTTCAACCAAAATCCGAACTAACTTACGTTTATGTTTCTGTGTTTTTGATTTCTGATGGGATTTTTAAATGTAATTAAACTGAATTAAGTTTAATTTCGCCATTAAAACAAAGTAGAGATGAGAAAGTTATAAATAATAAAATTATAAATTATAAAATTATAAAATTATAAAATTATAAATTATAAATTCACACTGTAGCTCTAAGGAAAAGCACACTTAAAACGCCAAAAGAACTTCACAAACCAAAAGGAAATTGTGAAAAAAAATTATAAATCCAGGGAAATTATGAAAAATTGTGAAAAGTGTGCGAAATGTTGCCCTTTATTTCATCAAAATTTTATAGAAATTCCCCTTCAGCGTTACTTGAGCTGGGCTTTAACCCAAAAAAAAAAAAAAAGAAAAAGAGAATGATAATGAAAATGAGAAAACCAAGAAAAACTCTGAGAGCACATATGAAATAAGTTCAGGCAAATTATATACGAAACAAAAACACAAGATTCAGATACAGATATATATATAAATATATATCTATATACAAAGAGCACACACACTTACATGTGGAATATATACAAGCATATATGATATGAAATATGAGAGAGAGAGAGAGTATGTATTTGGCGTTACAAGTTTAGGACGTATAGTAATGGAGCAGCTCCAGAACCAGGAACACTCTTTTTTTTTTAATTTTTTTGGAAACTTTTTACACACATTTTACACAGAAATTGAAAATATAAGGAAATAAACCCGAGACCAACCAGAGAAACGCCGATAAATCTGTGTGGAGTTGTGGTAATTGTTGGGTTAAGCGCTGGAAGCGATAGATATTCTTTGAGAAAGAAGCAAAACAAGGATCAAATAACGGTGATTTTGGAACAGGAACGATTGAGCACGAGGAGAGCAAAACAGAAACTGGGATTTATCAAGCTTGAAGCTTACACACAGAGCCAACTCAGACACAGACCATATATAATTATATACCCATATACCATATACATTGCAAATGTACATAAGACCAAAAGAAAAGAAAACAAAAAAGATTAAATGAAATGAATCACGCAAGGACCTCCACTGGATCAGACAGACGATGGTTGTCTAGCAGCTTGAGCCGCTCTCGGTTAGTTTATAGTCGTGTATCCGTTAAAAAGCATATCAACGCCTTTCGGGGAAGCGTATCCTTATGACTTATGGGATACCTTCACAGAAATGCATCGATATGTAACATATATATATATATCATATATATGTGAAAAGCACTTGTCCAGCATAATTTCGAGTTTCAGCAACCAAAACGCAAACCAAGTCCCATTTTCAGATCTGCATTTATTGTAAAAGAGAGAGAGACAGAATTATTCGAAATGAAACGATTCAAAAGCATAGCTCAAGTGTCAATTATGGCGTTTGTATCTGAATACCAAATGCAATATGGTTTGCCGGTTGATAAAATCGGTTTTAGCTTGGCAAATGCTCGCTTTTTTCTTGGGTCTAGATCTTAAGTCATCAATATGTATAACGAAATATGTGTAACGAAATTTCGCTAGCTTCTTAATCCTGAGTCCCAACTTTGATTTAAGTTCTTTAATGCTTTTGTTAATCTTATTTCAAAGCTGTTTTATATTTTTGTTCAGTGTGGGCTTAATCCTAAAAAAAGCCTGGGTATTCCCTTGACAACTGAATAACTGAATTACTGAAAATATCGGTAATATATCGATGTAGTTATCGCTAATGCGATACATTAGCGATATTTTGAGTAATTCAGTCTTCAAGGGAATACCCAGAGTAATTCAGTCATTCAGTCGCCAAGAGAATAACCCAGAACATAACTGTAGCGTTCAACAATCATTGTTGATTAGTTAAATTTAAGTTTTACCTATTTTTTGTTTAAATATTTTTCAATATACATTTTTTTGTTGTATCGAAGACGACCACACTTGATCCTGAATTGGCAGTCAATCGAATAAAAGATCGCTAACTAGGGATTGTTGTGTTGCCTTAATTTGACACTTATTTTGATTTCGTTGAACCACTGTTTTTGTACTTCCCCTTCAGCTAATAATGTAATGTAATCTTTAAGTTATGGCTAACTGTAAACAAAGCAAAAGCAAAGAGATCGAGTTAGATCGATCGAGAAAAACAGCACAGAACAACCATAGAGAACCAGCCGTACATGTACCCGTACCCTATGTAACTTTAAAGAGTATAAATACGAAAATATATACATATATCTAATATGGCAAGCATGCAAGATAAAGACAAACACAAATCGTATATTTAAATAAACACTTATAATATTTAAACAAAAGCGACCGATCGATCGATCGATAGAGAGCACATAAAGGCGGCGCTTCTGAAGGTTGGATGGGATTTCAAATGGATTGGAGGAAGTAAATGCCACTAGTTTTAGCTTTAACTGGGTTTATCTTTACTAAAAATGCATGGAGTCTGTTACGGCACACTACTGGTTAAGATAATAAGTACATGCGAATGAGGTCCTATAAAACTTTGTTAATGAACCAACCCATTTTCTTGCTTTTTGGCATCAAAAACATGTTATTTGGGATCAAAGACATGCTTTTTGGGATCAAAAACATGCTTTTTGGGATGCTTATTACTTCAACCAGTAGTGCATAGATGATTCTTACTCCCTAACGCTCGTGCACCTTGAGATGCTGCTTGTAATTAGACTTCCTCAGGAACCTCGCCGGACACAGCGGACAGGCAAAGGGACGCAACTGGGTATGGGCTATCTGATGATGCTTCAGCTCCGAGGCGCTAAAGAAACTCTTGCCGCACTCCGGCTGCGGACAGGCAAAGTCGCGCTGGTTGTAGTGACGCTTGAGATGGGTGCTCAGGTAGCACTGATCGGTGAGAATACGCCCGCACACGGGGCAGGTGAAGCTAAGTGACGAGGTGGAGGTTGAAGTATCTGCCTCTCTATGCTCTTCCAGTGGCAGCAGCTCAATATCCCCAGCATGTTGCAGTTTCTGGTGAATCCTTCTTGCATGTATAGAGTGAAATACCATGGCACACTTCTTATCCAAACAAGGATATGGTTTCTCGCCCGTATGCAGTCGACGGTGGACAGCCAAATAGTTGGCATAACGAAATCCCTTGCCACAAATATCACACTTGTGGGGCCGTTCCTCTGTATGGGTGACAGCATGGATGCGTAGCTTATTCAGCTGACGGAAACCCTTGCCACAGTCGCCGCAGACATGGGGTTTCTCGTCCGTGTGGGTCATCTTGTGGATGCGCAGGTTGTAGGCCTCTGAGAAGCGTCGACCGCACGTGTCACAGGTATGACCAGAAGATGATGATGATGTTCCTCTACGACGAAGCTTGTGGTTTGCTGTTGAGGCCTGTGGTGGCATAGGCTTTGGTGTCTTTTGCTCTGAACTGTCTCGCTGAGAATTAATATAAATGTCAGCCAAAGAGAAGCTTGCTTTTTCAGTTAATCCCAGTTACCAGCTCTAGAAGTTCCAGCTCTAAATCCCCTGTAAGACCCTCTTCCAGCTGAGCAAACAATTGGAGCTCCTCCAGGCAAACACCATAGTTGTTGTTTTGATCTTCACTCTCCATCGTTATCACTTGTTCCTGTTCAGCTTAAAGATCCCCTTGGTTCTCCCTTGCTTCCGTCCGGTTTGCTGCCGTTTCACCGACTGCTTTGGCCAAGACTTCCGTCGGTTGTCCGAGTGTCGATAAGATTACGCCTTGTTTAATTGTGTAGTATATATCGTTTACAGGTTGTAGTTTTGGCCAAAGCAGCAGGCAGGTGACGAAGCTTCTCTCTTTAGCTATTTTGTTTTTTATCGAAATGCCCGTAATAAAGTCTATTTTTTTCCCCGTAAATGAGTGATTAGTTTCTTTCCCCCTTTGGCGTTTTTTGCACTTTAAACGCCAGCGCACTTTGAGCCAATTGGCGGCAATCTTCCTCCTACCGTCGACCCCGGCGACCGGTACCTCCTACTCAGCCCCGAATCTAAATAGGTGTATATATATACAGCTGTGTTCACGGAAATAGCAGTGCGACAGACGAACAACTTCAAAACGTTTTTTTGTACATATTCCTTTTTGCAAGCTGATCTATTGCACATTGTTTTTGTAAAATGGAACATAAAGATAAGAATCAAGAAAAAATTCCGTTAGATTTGCTCTATTTTTATGTTTTATTGATATTTTTTCACATATGCAGCTCGTTTTGGCCGATCACTGAAATAGCAGTTTTTAATTTTCTTTCGCAAAAAGTGCCGAAATTTCTTTTAATTTTGTAAAAAATGACTTTAATTAAGGTCGTTATTATAGTTTATACTATAATACACCTTTACAACGCAAAATAAAATTATTTTAGTGGGCGCAGGACCTCACTGCTCCATGAGAGAAAGATATCAGATAATTTAGCCTAGAAAGAAGGGCAAAACATGTAAAGAGTCTCTAAATCTTTCAAATTGTTCTTTTAAAATAGTTTATAAGTCATAAAATATGAACCGAACCCAAAAAAACCGAGGTACGATTCGCAAAAACACAATTGTACAGGCTCGACGCGTACTTCGCTTCAGCAAAGCTCGTCCTTTTGCATCCTCTAGGGATATATGAGCGGGAATTGGGATGGGAATCAGTCATGGGACCATTCGCCGGGGACTTATTGAATAAATTTTAGATTCGCGAAGTTCATGGAAAATGTCACTGCTTGGTTACAGGCATATCAAGGCCAGATCCGAGTTCGCCAATAGCCACTTGAACTGCCACTATTCAAATGGCGTAATATCCTTTGGACAAATGACTCCAAACTGGTTTTATTTGGTGGAATAGGACAAGACAATATGTCCGTCGACCTCCAAATATATAGTACCCCCCAAACCATACGCTGAAGACGCTGGCCTAAAAATCATGGTATGGGTATACATTTCATACAACGATGTAGGTCCCGTATATATGATCTGTCGGATCAAAGACCATTATGCTTATGTCCAAATATTAAAAACTGTCTTGCAGCCGTATCCTGATGAAAATATGCCATTAATTTGGACATTTCAGCAGGACAGTGACCCTAATCATACCAGCAAGGTGGCCAAGGAGTGGGTTCTTAATGAAAAAGTGGATGCACTGCCATGGCCTGCACAGTCCCCGGATATTATTCCGATCGAAAACTTATGGGGGACATCAAGGGCTACGTATTAAAGAAGTTTCCGACTTCTAAGCCGCAGCTTTGGCAATTTGTGCAGGAGGAATGAGGCCATATTCCCCTCAAGCGTTGCTAAGACTTGGTGGACTCCTTGCCACCCAGGTTTGAGGCTATGATAGCTTCTAAAGGCTATTTAACGAAATATTAGATCATAGTAAATTAGAATTTAAGAAGAAATAGGTTTCTTATACGATATTTTTAAATTTATGATGAATTTTAGTTTTTCACTGCTATTTCAATGAACGGCATAATATAGACCTTTTTTGTTCATATTAGCTATATTTTCTAAAAGATTTATGTTACCTAAATTAAATGATTGTGGTATTGTTAACAATTAAATACACTAAGCCTTTATGAAAAAAAAATTATGAAAATAGTGTTTGTAACAGGATTTTCCGATCTTAAACGTGCAGGTCGTTGGGCACTGCTATTTCCGTGAACACAGCTGTACATACATGGGAATATATAGAGTCCAACGAGAACTTTATCGGGTTGCGCTGATAACGCTCCCCCAGTGCAGCAGCAGCAGTAACTTGTTTTTGTAACTATTTCGATTTTTGGGAGTCTTAGAAAGTAGCAATTTTTTTAATAATTAAAATAAATTACTTAAGTATTAAGTAAGAACTTAAGTATATAATATAATAATGTTTTCTTATATTTGTTTATTATCTTTAAATAATTTTAACACCCCTTGAGAAGATACTTACACCTTAAGGGGGTGGAAAAAGATTTAATTTTTATTTAAATATATTTTTTTTGCATCCTAAAAATTGTATTATTAACTATGTTTCCCCCTTCAAAAGTATATTCCCCTTTTACTATATTTTTCCCTTATTATCTTTGAATAACTGTGACCCCCCCTGAGACGATAAAAACACCTTAAGCCACCGCCCCTGCCCTGCCGTACACTTGGCAAGCCAAAAGCCACGACTTGAGGTGCAATTACCCTTGCATAAATGTATAAATATTCATTTACGAACCCCATTGAACAGCAATCAAGTGCGATTTCCATGGGGTTTATGATTCCGGCATAACCAAATCCCCATCAGATCTGAACGGTGAACTTCTGGAGCAGGTGGCGCAGCTCCTCGTTCTGACGACGCAGGAAGACCACCTCGGCATCGTACTGCACACGCATCTTGAGCACCTCCACATAGTGATTCAGCCCGTGCTCCAGGGTCTTCCACAGCTTGCGCTTTGCGGGTGGAAAGCAGGCTGCAAACTGCCGCCAAAAGTCACGGATCTCTGCATCCGTAATCTGGAGGGGAGTGACCATGTGACGGCTGCTGCTGCTGACTCCGCTGCGTTCCTGTTCATGCATCTGCTGGTGCATTTTGGTGGTGAAAAGGTTCATGGCATGCAGGCAGAGAGCCGGCTCCATGACCAGGTAGTGATTGGGACAATCTCTTGGGGAATCCTCTTCGCTGTGGTCGCTGTGCAGCTCTTGGTCTCTTAAGGGTTTCCGATCTTTAAGAAAGACCTTGGCACACTTGCGGGGACTCAAGCCCTCCGGCTGGCAGGTGGGGCAGTAAGTGTACGGCAGAAACATCCTGGTCAGCTCCTGCACATCCCGCAAATGGCGAATATGCAAAGCCGCAAAGATGTTGTCAATGCGCACCAGGCACTTGTCCTCCTCGGAATATGGCTCCAGAATCTCCAGCAGACGCTCCTCGATTAGGAAACCGCCGCGATCGGAAAGCTGACGGATGAGGGTGCGCATCAGGCGTAGAGAATCCGGCGGCAAATCCTTGATATCCGGACGATGCTGCTTACTGGAGGCTCCTCTTCCGCCACTTGACAGCGATCGGTTCTTGGGCAGCCTCCCAATACGCATATCGAACTTTTGGAGTACATTATTTGGCCTCATCTTGGCCTGGTTTATATTGGGAATGGGCGGCACTGGCCGGAGCCAGGGCATGGCCAGCTGCTGGTCGTGAATGGTGCGATCGATGCGATAGATCCGCTCCACCAGGACGCTGAGCTCTCTGTAGTTGATGTCCCAGATCCGATCGAACTTTTCGCGGTTGTTGAGTCGCGCCTGATGCGCCTTGGCCTCCATGTCGTTGATGTTGGCGTGCAGCTTGTAGATATCGCCGGAAAGTCGGGCAATGTTCCGTTTGCCGGTGAGGCAGTGACCACGTAGGCCGCGCCTGGTGCGACCAATGGCCTCCTGAAGGCGGGCCACCCGCCGCTTCTGCTGGCCATTGATAATGGCGTTCTCCTCGTTGCGCTTCTGCAGAACCTCGTAGTTGTAGTCCAGCTTCTCGGAGTTCATCAAGACATTGTCGCGCGTGCGACGCAGCTCGAGTTCAAGGCGCTCGCACTCCTTCTCCAGCCGGATGCGTGTGCTTTTGGTCAGCTCCTCCTGGGACTCGTTGATCTGTTGGGTCTGGCGGGCATAGAATTGCTCTCGGGAACGCACCAAGTTGGCCTTTTCCTCGAAATTTGCATTCATGGCATCGAAAAAGGTTCGCCACTTCTCAACGGCACTGGCGGCAAAGATCTGGCGCTCCTCCTCGATGGTGTGACGCAATAGGAGCAGGTGCTGCTTGTAGGCCTCCTTCAGGGTCTCCACCTGGTGGTCCACGCGCTCCACCAGGCCGCACAGGTCCTGGGCCTGCCGCTCGCGATCAAACTCGTATTTGGCATTCATGCGATTCACCTCCTGCTGGCAGGCGGCTATCATTTCATCCTTGCGTCCCATTATGGCAGCAATACGCTTCTTTTGCTCCTCGATCTGATCCCACAGCATCATCGGTTCGTTGATCTCCTCCAGCTCCTTCCAGCGTGCCTTGATGTCGGCAAATCGGGCCACTGTCTCCAGGCTCTCGGCTTGTAGCTTCGCCTGCACCCGGCTCTTTTGCGTGGCCTCGTAGACACGACGGTTGAGTTCGCGTCGCTCGTTGGCCACCCGTACATTGGTCACCAGAACGTTGCCGAAGCGTACAAGCTCATCGAGGGCCTCGCCGGACACCTCCAGCTGCTTTTCGATGGGCGCCTTCTGCGCCGGCTCTGTGGTCGTCGAGTTTTTGGGGGCTTCACGGAACTGTTGGCGCACCCGATCGAGGATCTCCAAGCGCCGGTCTTCCAGCTTCTTTACCGAACTGTCGCAGTGCTCGTTGAGGATCAGACCATCGACGCGTTCATTGAAGGATTCCCAGCTATCTATGGGACCTACAGCCGCCTCCTCTTTCTCCTCGCTGCTGCTGCGGCTGCTACTGTTCCTGAGAAAGTCGCTGGTCATCTCCTGGTACTTTAATTTCAGCTCCTCCATTTTGGTTTGGGGGAAAACCTCTTGAATTTCAAGGAACTGTGCTTTTTCACACCACAACTGGCTTGGGTTGACTGGAAGTTTGATCGAAGGACCCGCACTGTTGCCTTGGCTGCCATTGTTTCGCCGGATGTTGTTTATTATTTACCAAACTTTGTTATTTAGCAATTAGGGCTGCCAACTCTCCAAAGAGAAAGTGATCGGTTGGCAAAAATCGGAATCGGATATCGATATACATATAGTTCCCCTCTCTTTCTAACAAACTAGCTGACGTCATAAGAGTATGCAAATGTTAAACTGGAAGTTAATGGAAAATTTCCAATTCTAAATGACCCCATTGACCCATTGCATGAGGACACGACTCTGCTTAGACACGAGTAGACGTGTTGCATTCCGCCCGCTGATGACCCCCCAAATGCAGCCCTGCGTCAGCCCCCTGGGTTGCATTCGAGCAAATAAACGGGGGAAAAATTCAAAAGATTGGTTTTTACTGCTCCGTCCGTGTACAATTATTGATCTATATACAATTGGTAAACGAAATATGGGAGTGGAAGTGGGATTGGGAAGGAGGAAGGGATAAATCTATGTAGGAAGCGGCACTCAGTTATCCTCAGTCTTCAAGGTGATCTCATATATCAGCTCGTCGTTGAACTCATCGACCATGTTGATGATCTGCTGCTGCTGCTGGTACTGCTCCGAGACAGTGTTGAAATATTCCTCCCCCACGTCTGCAGCATTTGGATCCACATTGTCGTTTTCCACGTTTTCCTCCTCCTCCTCCACCTCCTCTTCCTCCACCAGCAGCCCCTGGCCATTGTAGTCCGCTATCTGGACGTACTGGTGATGCTGCTGCTGCTGCTCATCGGCCACGTTCAGGTAGTGCCCACCGTTGACAACCACAGTAGTTTCCGCATCGCCCTCCTCCACCAGCAGGCCGGCATCCTCATCATACTCCTCCTCCAGTATGCCCATACCCTCGTCATCATCATCGCCGCCATCAAGCATTCCGCCAGAAATGGAACCCGAAGCCGAGCCATTGCCATCCGCCTGGTCATTGCTGCCGACATAGCGGCGTGTATTGCTCCGGCACTGTATGGAGCGCTTGTGCGCATCAAAATAGTTAATATCGGTGAACTCCTCCTGGCACAGATGGCACTCGTACAGGCCCTGACTGAGATGCATATCCTTGCGATGGCGGGCCATTTTGTGGGCATCCCGGCACTGCATGCCGCAGAAGGGGCACTTGAGCATGCGCCGCTTGCCCATGTGCACGTTCCGGATGTGCTCCTGCAGCGAGAAGTTCTTGTAGTAGGCCTTCTGGCAGTATTGGCACTGGAAACGTCGCTTCTTCTCGTGCGTCGCCTCCCGATGCCGCTTCAGCTGTGTATTCTGGGCAAACGTCTTGCCACACATTTCGCAGATGTGCTCCTTCTCCAAATGCCGCCGCTGGTTATGCACGCGCAGATCCTGCTTGGTGGAGAAGTACAGCGTACACACCTCACACACATAGGGACGGATGCCCATGTGACGGCGGGCATGACCGGCCAGGTACTTGCAGTCACGATACGTTTCCGAGCAGTAAACGCACGCGTACCGGTTGGTGCCGGGCACCAGGTGCGTTTTCTGGTGCCTGGACAGCTTGGACTTGTGCATGACATCGGGACAGATGCCACACTCCACCGGCAGCTTCTCGTCCGTCTGGCTGCTGATCATGGAGAACTCTACGATGGGTGTGTTGTCCTCGTCAAAGTCCACGATAGTGGCTATCAGATCGTCGAAGAGCATGTAGCGCCGTGGTCCCTTGAACTCCTCCAGCATCTTGTCAGTGGGCTTTACGTCGGCGATCTCACCGTCATCACCGCCGGCGTTCTGGTTGCCATAGCTTCGCACAACGAACTGTGGCGTCGCCGGGTTAGAGGACTTTAGCTTGATGGTGGGTGGTGCCAGCGCCGGCGGTGGCGGCGGAAGCGGTGATTGTGGGGATGGTGATGATGGCAGGGATGGCGGCGACATTCCCGGCTTAATGTCCAGATCATCGCACTGTTCATGTTTGGGCGGATATATGTAGGCATAATCGTTGGCAACGAGCTTCTGCTTTTGCTCCTCCTCCTCCTCTTCGACCAGCTCGCCCATCTCGGACAGACGCAGCTCGGTGATCACAAAATGGTTGCCCTGATCGTCTACCGGCAGGGATTTAACACGCGACGCAATGAGCATTCCATTGTCCACATGCTGCTGCAGCTGGCAATCGCCCAGCAGCAGCTCACCCTCGCCGGTGGCATCCTCGTTAACAATAAGGAACTCCTCGTCGTAGTCATTGGTCAGGCCCTCCAGGACCACGTAGGTGGCGTCGTCGCCCACAACGTCCACCACGCCGTTGGCACCACCACCGACACCGCCAGCGGATCCTACGCCGCCGCGGCTGTCTTCATCGTCGTCCGAATACTCGCCCTTGACGCGCATGTCGAACTCAATTATCTCGGACATGTCCACATTCATGGCAGTCCGGTGTCGTCACTCGTGGGCAGCAAATCTCTGGGAGCTGGGCGGTCTGTTGCTTTTCTTTCTTTCTTTTCTTTTTTTTTTGCTGCTGTTTTAATTCCAACGCAGCGACAGTGTGACCGTAGGTAAGCGAGGGCAAAATACTGTTTGTTTGAAGTCCACTTTTTAGGCAAATTAAATATATAGTATTTTTAATGATTAAATTTTAATTTATTTAAATTATTAAATAAAAATCAAGCTTAACCTTTATTCAATTTTGCGTATTTTTGGGGACTTTATAATGGATAATTTCAGGCTAGTTTAATTTCCAGAACTCATAAAAAAAATACATATAATTAAAAAAAAATTATAAAAAAATAATCTTTACTCTAATTTTATTTTTAACTTTGCATTTGCATATTTAATAATTAAAAATATTATTTTTTATATTATTGATGAATTTGGTACGTTTTATGGTATTTGCTTTTGATAATCGAATTATATCGATATCGCTCATTTGAAAAAGTATTTTGCGCGCTCGGCCAGGTCGCTGCGCATGCGTAACGAAACGTCTTCTTTTGGCGGCTCTTCTTCTTGCTTGCGGTCTACGCTCGCGACTAACTAACTTGGCTAACTTCTGGAATTGGCCCGGTCGGCCTAACATGGCATGCATTGCATCCGCACACTCGGTGGCGCGCGCTTGTCTTCCTCGTCGAGTTCCATCGCCGCAGCTTTATTGTTTATTTCTTCTTCTGTTAATTTTTGCACCTGAGCGTGTGAAGTGCGCGCCTGCTTAAGTGACTGATAATTAACCAATACGGAGGATTGCGGTTCTTCTGTTTCTTTTTTGTTTTTGTAATTTGAATTGACCGCAAAAATTGGTCAAGAAATTCGTTTTTTTCTTTGTGTTTTCGCTGTTTGCTGAGTGCAATCGTAAATTAAAATAGTGTGGAATTTAAAACTATAAAAAAAAACGTTAATGTGAATCCTTAAACAATTATAATAGAAACTAAAGTGAGGATAAAAACCAAGGATAATTTATTATTTTAAGAATAAACAAAAATAAAGGTAAGATTTTGTTTAGATTTAAAATGTTTTCCAATAAAAACCGTAATGTTTCTTGTTGTTAAAGCTTTAAAATTAATTTTGAATTAATATATTGGGAAAATCAACAAGATTAAGGAATATTTATTATATATTTATTATTATTATTAAAACCTACATTAGCTAAAGTAGCAAAGAAAGAAAGCTTACATCGGCACGCCGAAGTTTGTTTACCCTTGCAGTTTGCAATTGCTTAAATTATTGTTATTTGGTACCCAATAAAAATGTAAAACATAAACTTAATGTTTGAATTAACGATATCTTAAAGTTTAAAAAAATAATTAGGTTTTGTGTACTCACATTTTTCCAGTTCCCTCTTCTGATTGATCAATATCTTTGATTTCTCTCTGATCTCAAACTCTCTCCGATGATATCTGCTAGTATCCTCTCTAGTATCCTTCTCTTAAATATCCAATAAAGCCGTAGCACTAAGCTACAAAACAGCAGCTCTTCTATGAGAGAGTAATCACTACCACATCACCACACTATCACATATACCACTCGACCTCAACATTCAGCTGGGTTACCACTCAGAAGTTGTTAGAACCAGTTGGGAATTATAGTGTCAAGCGAGTGGAATTTTTTTATTTTATTAATTATTTTTTTTATTTATTTATTTGTATTATTATTATTTTTTATTATTTATTTATTTTTTATTATTTATTTATTTTTTATTATTTATTTATTTTTTTATTAATTATTTATTTTTAATTTATTGATTGATTTTATTTGTATTAAATTGAACTTTTATTTATTTAATTCTTGTTTAATTTATTTATTTGAATCCTGAAAATATATTTACATTTTTATAAGGTTAATAAATCTGCAACATGCGTGCAATTTTATTTATATATATATGTTTAATATTAATTAATAATTTTTTAGACCATTTAAAAAAAAAAAAATTTTTTTTTTATGTTTTATGCTAGTTTTAAATAGGCTAACAAATAGGTATGCTAAATTTAAAATAAAAAAATTAAATTTTTTTATAAAATTTTAAAATTTTATATCGATTTAACCCCTTATCAAATTTTGAATAAAATGGCTAAAAATTTCTTTACCTCCGGTTATGGCTAAAACGATTCGCCTGTTGAGGCTGATCAAGAATATATATGATTTATGGGTTCGGAATACCTCCTTCACCCAGCAAGAATATTATTCTTCGCTAAATTCGCACTTGAGAATTTTAAGTCAAGGACAAGGGATAAGGATACAAATCACGTAATCTCTGTCGAAATGGAAGTGAAGGGCAGGCACTATACCTTGGTCTTGATGTCCGCTTCGTCTTTCATCTACGAAATGCTGCTCTTGTGGCTTGTTTTTTGTTGACACTCACAAAGTTTATTGTTAATTGGGCTGATTACAATACCGCTGCGAGTTAATAAGAGATGGGAATCAAAAATACAAACAGGCACAATGAGCCAGCCAGTGGCCAGTGGAGCGGCGGCCAGCAGAGATTACGCAAAGTTGCAAACGCATTAATGCTGAGCTGATGTTGATTTAAGCCTCAGTGTCTGCGCCTTTATCGCATTTATTTATTTGCTTATTTTATTTGTTTGCCATGCTGCAACATCAGCTACCCGCAGCAGCAGCAGCAGCAGCAGCAGTAGCTCAATCAACAAATATGGGAACTTGACCCGCTTTCGGCGACGAATTGGCAGCAATATATAAACAGGGAAGGGCTTTTGGGCCTCTCGCTTATTTGGCAATTATAAATTACATAAAAAATGTTAGACCTTTCCTTTAACCGGGTAACCAAAAGTCATTGACAAATTGTAATAAATCTATATTTAATTTTATTTAAAAATAATAGGAGAACCTAAAGAAACTCTTATTTATTTTAAAATTGATTTGTATTTGAAAACCTTATAGGAAAACCTTTAAAGTTGACTTTTGACTCTCTAAAAAAATATAATTTAAGTAAAGAAATTAAGTACTATTAAAAGTAAATGATCGATTTCTTAAAAACTAAAAGTTCTTTTGAAAATAAATTATTTTCAAAACCTTAAACTAAGCCGCAAAAATTCATTTCCATTTCGCAGGCAAAACTGTTTGCAGCTCCAACTCCAACTTAAGCTCGGAACTTGGACTTGGAGTAGGCCAATTAAGAACCACTAACACTACCACTAGCCACAACAGGTGTCCAACTGGCTAAATCCAGTGACAAGTGGCATCTTTTGCGGTCGCCCAAGGGGGGCCGTCGGGTGTGGTCGGTCGTGCGTTAGAAACGGGAAATCGGAAACATGTTCTTCTTCATCAGCTTCTTCTTCTCTTGCTGTCCCAATCCCAGCCAGCGGTGGCTCCGATTGGCAGCCGTTATTGGATTGCTGCATCTGCCGCAGTTTGTGTGTCAAGCCAGCTGGGCAACCAGAGCGATCAGCGACAATGACAACGACAACTCCTCCAACTCCGCCGCCACCTCCCCCACCTCCCCCACCAACACCATGCAGATTCAGACACTCCAGGTGAACTGTAGCAGGGATTTAATGGAAATGCATCTAGAACTGAGTCGACCCTTTCGGGGTTTGCTCTATGCCAAGGACTTCCCCCTCGAGTGCCGTTCACGGGGTCAGGACTCCACGCGTCTGCAGTTAAGGATACCCACATCGGGCTGTGGGGTCCGAGCAGAGCCCCTGGAGGATGGCAGTCTGGAGTATACGGTGCGGGTGATGCTCCAAATGGAGCAAAAGCTGCGCCAGAGCACCGATATACTCAGCTCGGTGCGTTGCCAGTTGCCGGCGAATGCCATGGGCATGCCAGTGCCAGCTCTGCGTCCGGAAACAGGAAGGGAGAGGTGAGTGTTGAGCTCCAATTTGTGTGCCTAATCTTCAGTGATCTTGATCCTTGATCCTTTAAGGAATGCACGAATGCGAGCCTTGGCTGCTGCCACGACTACGCATCATCAACATCATCACATGGAGACTCCACGCGTTCGCATCTGGCTGGAGCTGGGCGGACCCAATGGCTCTGGCTCTGTGGAGGTGGGCGTGGCCACCACATTAACCGTACGGGCCATAGTTCCCGGCACCATCGGTGTGCGGGTGGTGGACTGTGCTGCTCTGGACGGCCTAGGCGAGTCGACGCAGCAGCTTCTAGACGCCCGCGGCTGTCCCATTGATGAGCAGGTGAGTTTTGGATGAGCTTGAAAGGTCGTGGTTATGGTGGGGGTATGGAGGGTATGGAGGGGTATCCAAATCATTTGCGTAACCAGTGCCGGCGGCGCGACATTCTACTCTGAACCGTTAGAGGAAACCAGAGCTAGACGAGCGATGAGACAACGGAAAGTCATTAATTAGCTAGAGATGCTGAGATGCTATGGGGTGATCTGCGATTGATCGCATTTAACTTTCATTTTTATAGACCAACAACTACAGGGTAGCAGGGGTTATGAAGTTTTACAAGGCAAAGGGAAGTTTTAAAAATAAATTTAAAAACATAAAGGAATTAACAAACCTTATATACTCTTAAGTTAATAAAAAAATAAATAAAAAAATATTTAAAATAAATAAGAAACTGGGTTACCCTTTATGTAAATACTTTAATGGGTATAATTGCCACTAAAAACTGGAAAATTATTAACTAATTAAGAGGCTACCTTGGTTTAAAAATTTTTTTTTTTTAATTAAATTTTTTTTAAATTTAAAAATATGAATCTATGTAACAAACTACAGGGTAGCAGGGGCTATGAACTGTTCAAGTCAAGGAAAATCTTAAAAATAAATCAATTCATTAATAATAATATTTCTTATAAAAAAATGCCAAACTCTTAAATAAAAAAAAATACAAAATAAATTTAAACTGACCTATAACTAAGTTACCCTTTGTGTAAAAATTCTGATGGGTATAACTGCCACAAAATCTTGGAAAATACAAAACCAATTAAGAGGCTACCTATGTTTCCAAGTTTATACGCTTTTCGATACCAGCGAAAGTGAAATTTTCGATAGATCAATGGATAAGTACCCATAAAATGCATTGAAATTGGAATGGGGGTCTTTCCAGTCCGCTAGAAGCTCTCTGCCTCATTAAAATGTAACAGTTATTACAGCACCGAAGTCGACGTCACATTAAATGTGAGGCAAGTCAGCAAAACTAAAACTAAAAAAACAACAACTGAAAACCAAAAACTGTTAGCCATAATTACGCGATCATCGTTAGAACAACAGTCTTCGTCATTGCCCAGCCAACCAGCCCCGAACAGAAACCATTAAGAAAATGGGGGTAGGGGAGGGGGGAAAAACTAAAACTAAATAACAGCAGTAACGCCTGCAAACTGTTGTTCTCTCGGCTCTCTACCACCTTGGTTCTTCCACCTTCTGTTCAGTTCAGTTCAGTTCAGTTCTTCTTGAGTAAATTAGGAGGTCACAACAATTAGCCAAGAGTGAAATACATAGAAATATTTATCGTTTAGCATTTTGACGTGCCCCTGTTGGTGGTTGTTGCCCCATCTCCGCCTTCGCCTTCCCATCTTCCATTCCAATAGATGCAGAGAGGGGGGGCCCAGACCCATCCACTATCTTCCATCAGCACTGGACGATGCACAGTGGAACCAATAGGGGAAAAAATTACATATTGGGTCTTATTTTTTTAAATTTTCATTTATAATTTTGTTTTTACAATTTTTTAAAAGCAAAGGTATTTAAATCCTAAAACAAAAATTACCCCAAAATAAATTTAAATATTTTTTAAATTAAATTTTTATAGGGTTCAAAGGATATTATATTTTAAGTGAAGTGTTTAAGTAATTTTTTATTAGATATTTATGAATTATAATTTTGATCTTATATTTTTTAAAACCGAAGGTATTTTAGTCTTAAAAAAAAAACCTTTGTGTGGGCTTGAATATTTAAAAAAATATTTTTTTTTTATATAAAAATTTAATATTATAAAGGCTTTAAAGGCTATTATATCTCAGTAAAGTGTTTAAATAATTTTTTATTAAATATTTTTAAAATATTAAATCGAATACTATATCTTAGTTAAGCATTTAAGTGAATTTTTTATTATTTAAAAAATTGTATAGACCCTATTAAATTGTCTTTTAATCTTCAAAATGCTGATATTTATAACCTACTATTTTCTTAAAGTTTTTCTATATAATGGTTCCACTGTGCACCACCACAGTGGGCAATGCCATTGCCAGGCATTTGCATTTTGGTCGCCGGCCGTCGCAGCTTTGTGCACATGTCATTCATTCACGGCCCCCAGGCCTTAAATGGGTCAAACAAATCTTTTGCTGACTGATTTTTTGTTGTTGCTGTTGTTGTTTTTGTTACCTTTTGGTGGTCAGGGTATAAATAGCGCTAGAAAAATCACACGGCTTAATTTCTGTTTTTATTTTAACGGAATGGGGGGGAAAAAGAGATACGAGATGAAGAAGAAGGAGATGGGAGCACAGACCATTTGCATTTTATTGTTTGTTTTATTGTTCAACGACTGCTGCCGCTGCTGTCTTCCGTTTTAGCACATTTCATTTTCCTTTGCGTTTGTTTATTGTTTGGCTTACTCACCTGGCTTTTTTACCTCAGCCCCAAGAGTGCTGCTGGATTGCAAATTTATGCGCGCACCCATCACAGGTTGATTTGTTTGGTTTAGAAACACTTCTGGGTCAGAGCGTGGAGGAAAAGTGAAATAAAAGCCGGCTCGGCGGTTGGCGCTCTCTGTGTCTTTTGTCTTTTGCAGTCGTCGTGACCCACTTTCTGTCACTGAATCTCTAGAATGTGACCCACTGTGCAGGCGAGATGCAAGAACCGTTAGTCGGATGCAAAGTAGATGATATTATCGTTATCGGTTTTGGGTCTACCGTTATTGATCCTGGGAATCCTTTGCACCAAGTTGCAAGCAGCTTTTCATTCTCTTAAAAAAAAAAGAAATAATAACAAAGAAATATAAAATTGGAATCCAACTCAGGCCTTAAAGTGTCTTTAATAATATTTTTAAAATCGATAAATTCAAGCGATTATTTAGATATTATTTTAAAATTGCTAGATTTAAATTTCTTAAAAATAATAATAATAATTTAAATTTCTTAAAAATAATAGTAATAATAATAATTCGAATCTAACTCAGGGCTTAAAAGCCTTTTAAAAAATATTTCAAAATCGATATATTCGACCGATTTTTTCGATATTATTTCAAAGTTGCTAGATTTAAAAGGAAGCTCTTTTTTTCTGCCAAATGCATCTTAAAACAACAATCTTTGCTCTACACACATGAACTCTTATGAACTTCCGCAGCAATTTGCTTTTTCTCGTTATTGTCTCAGTTTTCGCATCCACAAAGATATTGTACACCCGCACACACACACCTGGGGGAAACACGTGCTTGGGCGTGTAAATTGAAACTAGACGACGACGTTGTCTCAGCTAATCAACGTGCCAAGAGAGGTATCCGTCCGGGTTGGTTCCCTCTGTCTTCCAAATGTCACTCTTTTTTTTAAAGAAGGTTTATTACTGGTTGTCTTTTTTAGGTATTTCTTCTGTAAAAACTTGCATTAAAACTCCTCAGAATATTAAAAGCTCTTAGTTCTAAATTTAAAAAGAATTATATTATTTTTAAAGAAGGTCTAAATAATGTTGGGAAACCTTACTTAAAGCTGAAAAATATTATATGTTAAAATTGATTTAAGAGAAAATTATTTGAAAATCTTTAAAGACATTTCTATAATTTAAATTTCTTTTTATTTACATAGAAGGGTATACCAACTTCGGTTTGGTTACCCAACTGGGTCTCGGTCTTTGTTAAGTTACCGACCAACAATGGCTAGATGCAAATCGGCAGCCTCTTGTATGTAATTCCATACGTCTATTTCCAGCGATCGCACATGCATCATACAATACCATACCATAGGGCTTACATACGAGTATATGCACCAGATGTGGGCTCCTACGCTTTGTTGTCATTGAACTTGGCCACATGACGTTGGCTTTGCTACCTTCTTTACCCAAGACACCTTTACCCTCTCCCACCTGAAGTACTCTCACGTAGCGGAAATGACCGAAATGCGGCGTGTGATTCCGGCTTTGTGTTTTGTCACCCAAAAAATATTGTATAACCCCGGCAATAAAAAGAGGGCCATCCAACTGGTTTGGTCTTGGGTTTGGGGTTCAGGTTCAGGTTCAGGGACAGCGACCGCAACGGGAGACAGGTTCATCCCTCTAATGACATAATGTGTTCTGGAAAATTATGATAGTGAGATAATTAACCACAAAATATATAAAACAAGTACTTAAACTCCAGCTTGAGTTTATATTTATATTTTTTAAGCCTGAAAAAGAATATTGTTAAATATTGTTAAATAATTAAGCTCACCTTCCATCCATATCCAGGTAATGCCCGCTCTGCACACCGAGCACCGGCCAGCGGAGGAGGGCTGGTCCAAGCAGCTCGAGGAAGACCTAGTGGAGCGGACATTTGCAGCCACATTTCCCGCCTTCAAGTTCCCGGACCGCGAGCGTCTTCATGTTAGCTGCGGCGTGCAGCTTTGCAAGGGGAAGTGCCCGACAGTGAGTACCAACAACAGATATCTGTATTATGTATACACCGAGAGAAATATCTCTCTAAGGAGGCTTACAATTAATGTGTAATGTATAGGAATGAGCAGTAATTATTTAAATATACTTGTCTGCACTCATTATTAAAATTTAATTACCTTTAAAGTAAGTAACTATGTAAAAGCACAAAAATACAGGGCTTAATATCATATACCCAAAAAATTTCTTAAAATTAGTCTTTCATCCAGAAAAATATTATCTTTTTATATTAGAAAATCTGATTGTTCATATTAAAATATTTGTATAATTATCTGCCTTTTTATAAATATTGAAATTTAAAAATAAATTGTAATTCGTTCAAAAAGTCATTAAATTCAAATCGGAAAACTGTTCTGAGTTAGTTTATATGAGTTTTTAGAGCTGTTTTCTTCATTTACATTTTGTTTTTAATTAAAATTTTGATTATATTTTTATAATTTTAAATTAATATAATTTTGAAAAAATTAAACAAATTTTTTTAGACAAATTAAAACTAAATAAAATCATAACTCTGTCAAAAAACCATTAATTTGCATTCGGAAAAAGGCGTTATGTTAGTTTTTACTAGGTTAACAAATCTGTTTACTAAATTTAGAATTTAAAAAAATTAAAATTTTTATCAAATTTTAAAAATTTTAACGATGTAACCCCTTATAAAATTTAAAAAATTTTTTTAAAAATTTATATTCCTCTGGATATGTCTAAATTGATTCGCCTGTTGATGCTGATCAAGAATATATATGATTTATGGGGTCGGAAATGACTGTTTCACCTAGAAATCTTATTTTATATTTTAAAATCGGGGTTTTTATATTAAAATATTTATTATTAATATTTAAATTTAAAAATATCATAACTCGGCTAAAAAAGCATTAAATTCAATTCGGAAAACTGTTCTGTGTTAGTTTTTATAAAGTTAATAAAGCTGCTTACTTCATGAAATATTTTTAAAAATTAAAATTTATCAAATTTTAAAAATTTAAATTATTTTATCAAATTTTGAAAAAAATTTTAAAAATTAGTTTTCCTTCGAACATGTCTAAATTGATTCGCCTGTTGATGCTGATCAAGAATATATATGGTATATGGGGTCGGAAATGTTTTGCACGCTTTTGACTTAAATTATAATAATATAAAATATAAATTATATTATAAAAAAATATTCTAACACCCCATAGGCACTACCTCATACATAATTATTTTGTATATAAATTCCCAATCAATGCCTCACCTGAGGCTCCTATTACCTTCAGGCTTATTGTTTACAATTCACCATACAAAAAAATGGATAAACAATTTACAATTTACAATTTACTGTGCACAAAACAACCGCTCCTCGTATGCAGCTAAATTAATTGCAACGAAAACGAAAGTGTTGCCACTGCCGCTTCTTGTTACCGCTCTTGTTGCTGCTGCTGTTGTGGCCCAGCGTAGCGTGTTGTTGCATCCAACTAATTAATGTGGTTATTGCACCGAAAGGCAACCAACTGGAGCCAACGCCAGCGATGCCTCACTCCTAGTTGCACCCGCCACAACCAAAGCCCAATCTTCTCTAATTTCCGCCCTCGCCTTCCCCGTTCCCCCTTTTGCAATTGCAGCTAAATTGTCGCCAGAAGACACCACCACCACCATCATCATCATCATCATCATCCCCGCCATTGGCGGAGCAGCACCTGGCACGCATCGAGGTGTTCAATTCGCTGGCCGTGACAGCCCCCCAAATCGAGGTGGACCGCCTGCGTTATGACAGGCGGCACAATATGAGCGGTAAGGACGAGTATACCGCACCTGTACACATCTGTGCTTAAAATCCGTATCAAATTCCAGGTGAGGACTATGCACCGCATGTCCGTGCCCAGGCCTTGCCTGGCGAGGGCACCCTTTGCCTGTCCATCTCCAAGCTGGCCATCTCGTTCTGTGTCTTGGGCCTGATCTTTCTGGTGGCCGTTGTGGTGGCCATCTTTTCGCTGATACGATCACGACGCCGAGAACGTCGCCATGGCGGCGCCAGTGGACTGAGCCTGGGCTTGGGCCTGGGACTGGGCATTGCCGGGACGAGTGCCTCGAACAGCAGCAGTCGGCTGCATCGGGATCGGAACGAGATCTGCACCTCGATGTTCTCCTCCAGCAGCGAGTCGGCCCAGTCGCAGCCTCGCTTCGGGGGCAAATTCCTGATGCCCTACTATCCCAATGCCTTGCCCTACGGGCGGGTTTACTGAGATCCAGATCGGGGTATAACCTAACCCCAGAGACTGACGGATTCGTCTAACGAGTGGCACCAAATTAATGTCTAACTTTAGCACGTTAACACTGCGAGTATCTTACTTACTAGATGTTATTTACTATATTTACGGTCGGTCGTTGGCCGAAAGGCTCTTGAAAGCGTTTTTGCCTCGTTTTTTTTGGGCTAAAATGCGTTTTAATGTCCTTTCGCTGTAGTTGTATTTGTATTTAATAAATATATATCTATTTTTTTAATAAAATGTAATTTCAGAATGTAAGTCACAAGTAAATAAATTAAATATATTTTTTAATCAAATTAGTTTCGTTGTGTATTTCATGTTTTGGGTAGTTTGTAGTTTAAAAAATGCGCCTTAATATGAATCTGATGAATACCTATCGATATTCATGGTATTTTTTCGATGTATAATTTTTTTAAAATTGCAAAGGTATTTCAGGTATTTTTTAAAACAATAAATAAAACCCATATTATTTATTTATATTCCTCTAAAAACTTTAAAAATAAATATATAAAAAAATGTATTTAAAAAATACTTGCAAAAAAATATATAAAATAAATATAAAAAAATATATATAAAATAAATATTAAAAAAATATAAAAAAAATATTAAAAAAATAAATATAAAAATATATATAAAAAATAAATATAAAAAAATATATAAAAAGATAAATATATAAAAATATACATATTTTATTTTATGTATATATAAAATCTGTTTAAAAAATATTTAAAACAAAAACTATATACTGTTAGAAACCCACCACACTGGAAATACACCATGATATCGAAACATCGAGACCGAAAATCGGAATGTGGCCGATTACTACGCGGAATATTCAAACTAAATTGTATTTTGTCTGCATTAAATTTAAAAAACAAAAAAATATATACAAATATTAAAGAAGAAAAACACCCTTCATTTCGTTTATATAATTTATTGTTTATTTAACGTTCCATCTGCATGAACTGTTATTGATTATTATAATTAATTATTGTTAATTACAGGCTAATGTTTTAATTGCTAGACTTTAGCAAGTTCTAAAAAAGACATTACACATTATTATTCTTACGTAGATTATACCGCTTGACATTTAACATTATAACTAGCTAAGATTACACAAAAAAAAAGTATTACGAATATTATTTCATTCCTTTTTTACTTTTCTTTTATTTATATTTATATTTTTTTTCTTTTAACAACGCAAAATAAAAACAAACAAAATGTAAAAGACGGAAACCAAAAAGTGTTTAAAGAGCACAACTCGTTTGAACAAACACACACACTGAACGATTCGCTGGGAAATGGTATAAGAACATTACACTTTTTAAACTAAAAGTTATAATTGAATTACACACTAGACCAACGCTTCCGCTTCTTATATTATAATTAAGAATACAAACAAAAATTGAGCTAAACAAAAGGTTTTCAACTTTAAAATATAAACGTTAGTATAGGCCATAGAATTTCGCTAAAAAAAAAAAGTTAACAAAAAAATTACAATCCCGTCCACCACCTTATAAACCCACACAACACCCCACCCGCCCCCTATTTATCTCTGGAGCTTCCCCAAAAATTTGTTATTAATAATTCCCCCTCCCTCTCTCTCTCCCACTCTTTCTCTCTCTCTCGCTCTCTTTGATAAGAACGCAGCGCCAAGGACGATGGCAAAGGCTTTGATAACAGGCCAGAGCCAGAGCCGGAAAGCGAAATGCCAATCTTCTGGCATTCTGAGTATTAAAGTACAGTCAAGCATCCCTAAGTCGAATTTACCTGTCCATGGAATAAATATTTTCCTATAAAGAAGGAGCTTAAAATCTTTAAAATATATTTTACAACTTTAAAAGGGGAATTTAACTATTGTTAAAAAATATTTACTTATTTTATTTGAAGAAATTTTTGATCATAAAAATTAATATATTTTTTTTAGAAAAATTAAAAGAATTGCTTTTTAAGGAAATTATCAATATTTTATGTAAAAATAATTAAACACACAAATAAATATATATATGAATTAACAGAACTACTCTTAGGAAATTATCAATAATTTAATGAACAACAAATTATTTTATTAAAAAATATTTAGAAATTTTATTAGAATTGCTTTTAAATCGATATAAAAGAAGGATTTTTTTGTAGAAGAGTTGATTTCAGTTTAAAATATTTAGAAAATTATTTTAAAGGAATTATTTTTAGATTGAAATAATTATTATTTTCCATAGAAGAATTCTTTGTTGATAAAGAAGAGTATATTTTTGTTGAAAAAAAAGTATTAATTGTGGATAAAAATTATACAAAATATTAAAAAATATATATAATATTTAAGCTCATGTTCTAAAAGTTCGACTTGGAAATTTTTGAACTGTATTTGGAGTCTAGGCTCCCTGTCTCGCTTGCTCTCGCCTACTGGCTCGCTCCGACCGCGATCTGAGTTCGAGCGAGGCGGCGCTATACAATATATATAGCTATATATATATATATATATATATTCGTATATAGGAAGGAAAGGCGAGCGTTTGTTTAATTTCTATCGATTGCAAAATCCGTTTAACTGTTAATGAGTCGCGTATTTAGCGTGTTTCTAGACCTAAGACGAAATAAATATACATTATACGTGTTTGTTAGTTTTTCTTTTTGTTTGTTTTGTACTCTCTTTACACTGGTGTGTGTATGTGTGTGTGTGTGTGTGTGTGTGTGTGTGAGAAGAGGGGGAGGAGAGGGGACAATTTCAACTAAAACCCAAAGCCGAGCACTGATCTAAATATTCACAGAGACACAGACACACGATAACATTCACACACATATTTACACTTTAAACGTAATTACATAACGAAGATTATTGTTTATGGAACGACTTTGACGGCACAAAGCACAGCGAACGATCGATGGATCGATCGGATCGGGTGATATGGTTGATATATATCTCTGATCACCGGAAATTGTTATCGTTTTGGAGAAGGGCTGTTACATAAGCTAGACAACTATCGAGTTTGAAATTATCGTGATCGCATAATTATTACTGTCATAATCATCTACAAATAAATGCGACTTGTACTGCTCCACAATCTCTCTCTATCTGTTTTTTCTCTCTGATCCCTTGTCATAGTTTTTTTTTAATCTAAAAGAAAAGCCACCAAAATAGGCAAGAGTTGGTGAAACAGATTATTGGTGAAATAAGTTGTTGGTGAAAACAAATAGGAGTTGTTGTTAAAGGACCTTTGTTGTTGATTTAATGGAGTTTATGGTTTAAAAAGCAAGAAGTTGTTCTTAATGCACCTTTGTTGTTGATTGGAAGGACTTCTTGATAAGAAGTTTCTGAAAAAACAAGAAGTTGTTGTTAAAGGACTTTTGTTGTTGAAGTTGTTCATCAAAACATTGGTTAAAACAGAAAGAAGTTGTTGTTAAAGCAACTTTGTTGTTGATTTCAACGAGCTGTTGATAAAAATAAGTTGGTTAAAAAAGCAAGAAGTTGTTCTTGAAGGACCTTTGTTGTTGATTGGAAGGAGTTGTTGTTAAAAAATTGTTGGTTAAAATAGAAAGAAGTTAAAGTTAAAGATACTAGTGGTTGGTAAAAACAGAAGAAAATTGATGCCTGGAATCTAGAATCTTTTCTATGACTTCTGCTCCCGCCCTTCCTCAACTTCCTTTACATTTCTAGGATATCTTAAAACCTTGATTATATTCACCGATCCTTCTCTCTCAATCCTCCAAGTGTGCTTGTGCCGTCGATGTACGTGGCCATAGTTCCACACCCATTTTAGAAGGCATACCAAGTCCCATCGGCACGTCATCGCAGCGTGCTGGTCAAGGATCGATGCAGGACACTGGGACGAGCATGAATCGCTGGCTGCGGCGGCGGCGTATTGCTATTCGGATCGGGGGTATCAGGCGCCTCGCCGGCACTCAAACTGCTGGCCGGCGATAAAATGCAGGAGGCCGTTTCCGCCTCGCTGAGGCAGCTGCTCAATTGCCGGATTACGCTTTGCGAGGCCCGCTGCTGCTGCTGCTGCTGATGCTCCCGGTCCCTTTCCCGTTTTTGCTGCTCCTGTTGAAACTTTCTGGCGGCCGTCACATTAACCACACTCACCGACTTTGAAATTGAGTTCTTCACCAACGAAGGGGCCGGCGGCACCAAAGCCAAGGCTGGCGTTGGCGAGGGTGCCAGCTCCTCTAGAGTCAATGTATTGGCCGGTGAACTATAGCCATCATCCATTAGCGTATCCAAAGGCTGTCCGCTTGCTGCCTCACCACCCGATGATGAACCCTCCACGCTCTTTTGCAGATTCTCAATCAAATAGAGGACAATCCTCTCCAGCTGCTGGGGTGCCTGGGAGGCGGGCAAATCCGGACTGCTGCTTTGTGTGGGCATCTCTGCTTTAATAATTGTTGAAAATTTCTCCTTCATCTCGAGAACTTTTCGTCGACCAGCCTCATCGTCCAGCAGGGTGTTGACGCAAAGGAAGGAGTGTACCTTGTTGCTGCCAGGATCAATGTCAAGGAAACCCTTGGTGTGCAGGTAAATGAAGCGACCGTTGCGGGAGAGCAGACGGTAACAACTCTCGCCATAGTCACTGTTGCAGTCGTACATCTGGCGCAGGGCCACAATTACCCAGCGCACATCGTCCAGGTGCATGAAGCAGAAGGGACTCAGATTGCGCACCTGGAAGGATGGGGAAGATAAACAAGGATTAATAATGGGAAATATAGCAAAGGAGCATTGGCCACCCCACCTCATCCTTCATGTAACCGGCCACCAGGCCAATTCGCTGATCACAGTCAATGATGCTGCCGTCGATTAGATGCCTTGTCTTGTACTCCAGTTGGTAGGGCTCTGGCTGCCGGTAGAAGGTCATTCCATTCATTCCCTCGGCTGTCGCCTCCTCCACCGATCGTTCCTCGCGCAGCACCCTGGCCATGGCCACTAGAACAATATCATTACCGCTAATTCCATGCAATGCCGCCTGAGCGATGGCATCATGCTGCTGCTGCGGTGGCGGAACTGTTGCCGCTTCAGCCGCCGCCGCTGCTGCCGCAGCAGCAGCCAGCATATTGTTATTCCTGGAACGACGGATTAGCTGGGAAACAATGGGATAGTTGGCTGCAGCACCGCCGGTTAGCGAGGAGTCACTACGACGAAAGCAGCCATCGATCTTCACCAGCTCGTAGTGGCGTGTGGCCTCCGCTCGGGTGGAGGCACGGGCCAGGCGAACGGTGAAGCAGCGGCGATCGGAACGCAGGCGCTCATCGATGGCCGCCAGATGGGCTATGCTGCGGGGACTGGGCGTGCGTCGGTTATAGGGATCCTCGCCTAGCCTGTCCTCGTCTTCATTTTCCTGCTGCTGCTGCTGCTGATGGTGGTGGTGGTGGTGTTCCTCTTCCCGCTCCATGTCCTCCTCTTCCAGATCGCTGCCCGAGGCCGAGGCCGAGGTGGAAGTGGAGTGCTGCTGGGGTGTATGCTGATGCTGCTGCTGGTAGAACAGTGTCTCAATGTCCCTGGGTATGAGCTGCTGTCGTAACAGGGCCTGGTCATCGGGATGGGTGATTTGCAACAGATTCTGGCCATACAGATCCGATTGACAGTGTCCCAGCAGCTGCTCAACGCTCGAGGAGACCAACACAATCTGCCCGCTGCAGGTGAGTGTGATGAAGCAGCTGTCCAGCAGCTGCAGCAGCGTGTCCGTGAGATGCAGGCTGGGATTCTGGATAGTGGGCAGCTGCTCTGTGGTGGATGAGGAGTTTGAGTTGGAGTTGGAGCAACCCTTAAGGCCAAGTTTCCGGCGACGACGGGATGCAGATTTGCCAAAGACATACTGCAAGCGGAGGCCATGCGTGGCAAACCTAAGGACGGCGGTCTTGTCCAGCCGCCGTGATGATTCCGCCGCATGCGGCACCATGGTGGCCAGCTCCTGGATGCTAGCATTGAGCTTATCACGTCGCTGCTTCTCGGCCAGATTGCGGGCTTCCCGGCCATTGGCCGCCTCAGCGGAGGATGAGCCCGTTCCGGAGCCGCCACCCACCACGTCCACGGGTGCCGTTTCGGCGGCTGCTGCCATTGCTTGGGGCTAGCTTGGCGTCTCTCCTTCTGCTGGCGTAATCCTCGCCAGCAACTGGCTCTCTGGCTCTCGCTCTCTCTCTTCGTTGAAAATCAATTGGCGCCTTGCGGTAAATGGTAGTCGTCACTCTCCATAACAGAGGTTACTCCCCCCGCTCCTCTCCTCTTGTGTGTGTTGTTTTTTATCGCTCCTCTTCGTCGTTTTAATATTTTATTAAAAAAATATTTTTTGATGTGTGTTTTTTGTTGTTGTTTTTGCTGCTTTTAAAGTTTTCAAGGTCTCCGCTTATGCTCCTCGCCCCCTCTCGCTCACGCACGCAGGCACAAACACGCACACATACGCGGGGGGCAGCTAACACACACACACACACGTCACTCTCACGCAACGTACATATGTTTTCTCTTTTTCGCCTTCGTACTTTTCCACTTGCTCCTCGCTTTATTACTACTATTATTATTCTTTTTTTCTTTTATTTACTTGTGTGTTTCGCCTTGTAATTTCCTTTGCCGTGTTTTTCAGTTGTCTGTCTTTTTTTTTGATTGCGTTGCGAATCTCAATCTCCTTTGCGTTGTGGTTGGTTTTTCGTGTGTTTGTTGTTGTTGCTGTTATTATGATTGTTTTTGTTTTTTTTTTTTTTTTTTTTTTTTCTGTTGTGCTGTTGTTGTATGTGTGTTTTCAGCTGCTGTGAGGTAACTCTCTTTGCACGACAACCGCTGATTTACATCGCACTCACTATTTGCACTGGTTTTTGTTTATATTAAGTGATTAATTGTTTATTAAACAATTATGTAGCTCCTATGGCCATGCTAGTGCTGGAAAATGCGGCGCCACCGTTGCAGTGCTGAAAGAGGTCGCGCCAGTGTTGGCAAGTGGCGGCCTATCTCATATTTGCATTATTTTTGCGAAGCACTTTTCACACTCTTTTTCGATTTAAATTTAGCGCTGTAAAGATTTTTATATTAAGTTAATTAAAAGAATTAAAATAAACACTACCAAAGGGAATCAATCAAACTAACCTAACCTATCTGTATTTTTAGGCTATAAAAACTGACTAAATATAAATATATTTCTAATGGTAAGGCGCAGAATGTTGATCAGCCTTATTTCAAAATATTTTAAGAAAAATATTTGATTCCTATTTTTCGGTTTTTCATTTACTTTCGATAGTTTGCAACAAATCGATAACATTGCGTGCGTGAAACGGTGTGACCAGCTAAGCAGAGAAGAATTTTCCAGAGAGGAGGAGGAAACTGTCAAATGGAACACAGCAAGATTTATTATTTTTAATTTATTAAATATAAATATAAATATATATATATTTATATTTAATTATTTAAATGCTGAAAAATGAATGCGTTCATGAGCGAAAAGTCGACACAGGTGGCGCCTGAAAGGGTAAGATTAATATTTCTTCCAATAGATGTCGCTGGTAAAATTAATCCTTTTTAAGAGGACTTTTTGTACAGAGAATTTCTCTTATAATTTTCTTATAATGTGTTTATAAGTGAAATCAGTAAAACTCTTATAAATAACGTATACATTATTTTAAATTAATTTAAATTGAAATGCAGTGCACAAAATAAATTTGATTTATAATGTAAACTAATTATTCATCAATTATTCGTTTTTTTACAACTTTATTAATGTTTACAGGCGTATATTTGTGGTAATGGAGGTAATGTCAAAGCCAAAAATGAATACATTTTATGCCAATCTGCATGGCAACTTGAATTTCGAACACAAGCAATTAAGCGCAGTGCAAAGATTGTGTAAAAGTATTGCATTTAACCGGAAGGAAGGCCCAATACGCCGGAAGATGCGAAAGCACAACACTTACGAGCACTTTCGGTGGACAATGGAGGGGCCCGACTCGTCGTACTCCTGCTTTGTGATCCACATCTGACGGAAAGTGCTCATCGAGCCCAGAATGGAGCCACCAATCCACACCGAATACTTGCGCTCCGGCGGAGCAATAACCTTCATCTTCACGGCGGATGGTGCCAGGGCAGTGATCTCCTTTTGCATGCGATTGACGATACCCGGAAACATGGTGCTGCCGCCGGATAGGACAATGTTGGCATACAGATCCTTGCGGATATCCACATCGCACTTCATAATCGAATTGTACGTGGTTTCGTGAATGCCGCACGCCTCCATGCCCAGCATCGAGGGCTGGAACAGGCACTCGGGACACCGGAAACGCTCGTTGCCAATGGTTATCACCTGCTTATCGGGCAGCTCAAATGATCTTTCCAACGCCACACCCGTGGCGGCTGTGGCCATTTCCATCTCAAAATCAAGGGCCACATAGCACAGACCCTCCTTGATCTCGCGCACCACCTCCCGTTCGCGGGTGGTGGGCGAGGCATAGCCGCACTCGGCCACAATCTTCATCAGTTGCTCGGTGAGATCGCGTCCGGCCAGATCCAGTCGGAGGATGGCATGGGGCAAGGCATAGCCCTCGTAGACGGGCACAGTGTGTGTGACACCGTCCCCCGAGTCCAAGACAATCCCGGTGGTCAGGCCGGAGGCATACAGCGCCAGCACCGCCTGAATGGCCATATACATCGATGGTGTATTGAAGGTCTCGAACATAATCTGGGTCATCTTCTCGCGATTGACCTTCGGGTTGAGCGGTGCCTCGGTCAGCAGCACCGGATGCTCTTCGGGGGCCACGCGCAGCTCGTTGTAGAAGGTGTGATGCCAGATCTGCTCCATGTCATCCCAGTTCATCACGATCCCGTGATCGATGGGATACCGCAGGGTGAGTATGCCGCGCCTGAACTGTGCCTCATCGCCCACATACGAGTCCTTCTGGCCCAGGCCCACCATGGGGCCCTGGTGACGCGGTCGTCCCACCATCGAGGGGAACAAAGCACGCGGCGCATCGTCGCCGGCAAAGCCGGCCTTCAGCATTCCCGATCCGTTGTCCAGCACCAAGGCGGGCACATCTTCGTCGCCCATATTTTGTTTACAAGTCTTAAAGGTTTTTATGCTTTTTGTGTATGAATATGGGTTTAGTTTCGATTTGTTAATGTTTTTTAAGTGTTCATGTGGGATAGTTTATGGGAGCGAGCTGCTCTGGAATCTAAAATGTACTGACTGGGCAGGCAGGAGAAGCCCGCTGGCTTGGGGAGGGGAAAACGTAAGCCTACTTGGGGGAGGCTTCACTTGACTTATTTTATATAATTGAAATTATTGAAGGAATAAAAAGACATTACCCAGTTTAGGCATCAATAATAATATAACATATTTATATATTTTATAATTTAGAAATTTTCAAATTCAATTTTTTTTTTTTTTTTTTTAAGAAATTATCTTATATTTTATATTCTATATATGTTTTTAGTAATTATCAATTATATTTTTTGTTTATACTATTTAAAAAAATGTTCCAATAGTTTTTATATTATATATTATATTTTATAGTTATATATTTTTTTTTATATTTTTATAATTTATAAATTAATAAAAATATAAAAAATATATTTATTGGCGAAATATATAAATAAATTATATGAATAGTATAAGACACACACCCGGTATTTTTTATCCGCTGTCACTCTCAGCACAGACGCAATCCAAACCACAATTCGGAGTCTGTTCCTCCAAGCACTATTAGGGCCTAGCCAGGACTCCAACCTAGTGTTGAAAGAGCACAGCGCGTAAAGTTGAAAGAAAAACAGATTTAAAGCAGGAAAACAACTTTTTTTATTCATTTTTAAATGAAAAATATATTTAATTTATACTTTATTTAATTTCATTTTTTTTTCTTTTACCTAGCTTGGTTTTAAAGTTCAAAAATTATTTTCAAAAACACTTAAAATTGCTTGTTATTACTTTTTTAATTTTATAGAATATTCTTAAATATTTTACTTTTTCATTTATGTTTAATTTTCAATTGATAAACGTTTAAAGTTAAAATTCATTTCATTTCAGTTTATTTTTTGTATTGTTTTATTATTTGATTATTTAGCTTTATTATTTTCATTTTTTTTATTTAGTTACTATTTTTATTTACTTTTATTTATTTTTATTTTAAATTATCTTCTTTTCTAAATGCTTCTCTTTAATGAAATTACAATAAACTTTATTTATATATATTTTTTTCCTATTTTTATTTTATTAATTCCTAATTACAATTATTCCTCAAATTCTTAATTTTTTCACAAATAACATAAAAAAAACCCTGATAGCCTCCTAATCAATGCCAAGCTGACCATCACAAAAAGGCCCGACTGACAATGCAATAATCATTACGAGTCCTGTTTGGCCCCCATCCTGGCACCTGCACTTCGCAGGATTATGGAAATTGAATTGGTTGTTGCTGGTTGTCCAGGACACACTGACCGACCAGACAGGCCAGGCCCCCCCCCATGCGGGCCATTTAAATGCTGCTGAAAATATATATATGAAAATAAAGGCAGCAGCAGCTCCTAAAACGACTGTCACTGGCATTCTCACTCGGGAATAATCGCAAAGCAAATAAATTGCACAAATGCGCAATTGTTTGCCGCCAGCCCAAAGGCAAATGCAATTAAATTTTGTAAAATTACGCAGTGTGTGTGTGTCGTCATTGATTAGCTAGGTTTTGCAATTTATAATTGATTGCATTCAGCATAGAAAAAAAAAACCATTTAAATCGAGAATACGCTTCACTTGCATTACTCATACGCAACGTTGCCTCCGAGATAGTGCCAAGGGAGATGCAAATGAAAATGTCATAAATGCCAGAGCAGCACACAAATGGCTCCCTTGGGTGAAGAGGGGAGGGGACAATCTCCACTTTCGACTCTTTTATGGATGCCCAAAGATATGTTAGTTATTTCGTATATATTCCCTCACAAGGCTGGGTTTTTCAAGGCTTAGAAAATATAAATAAAGTCTTAATAAATTAAGTTTAAATATTTTCAATAAAATCTGAATATAAATATTAAAAAAAAAACCTTAATAAATTAATAAATTTACTTTAAATATATCCCATAAAATCTATAGAATATGTATCTCAATATAAACACAATCTATCTCTTTCTTAGCCTCATTTCTCCTCAGATATTTCTTTTTTTTTTTTGTCCGTTTTTGTATTTTCTGAGGCGGAAGAATAGCAAGACAGAGAAAGCCCGGAGCCAGCTGGGGGCAAGGGTATTTGCAGAACAGGAATGAGCATTTCGGGCTCATTAAATCCAATGTTTTAATCACGCCAGATACAGAGATACAGGTGGAGAGGACGAGGACGAGGCCACACACACACACACACATCAGTCACCTGGCTGCATAATGGAATTGAATATAGTCTGCCGCTCTTTCCGGTATTTTTCGACCGTATTTGTTTAGCTGGAGGAGGAGGCGGAGCACTCCTCTCCACTCTCCTCCCCTTCGATTCCCTCCCATGTGGTACACGCTCGACGGGGGCAAATCCATCGAGTGGCACGTATTTTTATGGCAATTTGGTTCGCATCGCCAGCGAATATATTACGCGGGCTTCCGCTGCAGAGTGTGAAACTAAAATTGTACGAAAATAGCCCAGAACTTGACCCCTCACGAACAAATTCACTTTCTGGTAAAATAAGCCAGAAGCTGTGGCCTTTAAGGGGTCATTTCACTAACTAAATTGGTAAGGAAAGCTGTTAGCTTTCAAATTTATAATTATTTAAATAATAAAATAGGAAATAAAATAATAAAATAATTATAGATCATTTTATTTTTAATTTTTTCTTAAAAATAATTAAAAATTATTAAAATAATTAAAAATTATTAAAATCCTTAAAAATGATTAAAATCCTTAAAAAATATTAAAATCCTTATAAATTATTAAAATACTTATAAATTATTAAAATCCTTATAAATTATTGAAAGTCTTAAAAATTGTTAATATCCCTATAAATTATTAAAATCCTTATAAATTATTAAAATCCTTAAAAATTATTAAAATTCTTAATTCTTAATTTAAAATGTTAAAATCCATAACTCAGCAAAAAATTCTTTAAATTCAATTCGGAAAATGGAGTTGTTTTAATTTTTATAAGTTTTATAAATCTGCATACCAAATCTTAAATTGTTTTAAATTTAATTCTTCCCAATTTTTGACAATTTTAACGATTTTAACCCCTTATAAAATTTGAAAAAAATTTTGTTTTTCTTTCTAACAAGGCTAGGAAAACTCTCCTGTTAATGCTGATGAAGAATATATATGATTTATGGGGTCGGAAATGACTCCTTCAGTGCGTTTCAAGCTTCTGACTGAAACTATAATATCCTTTACATTTAATATAATTATTAAATAATTTAATTTAGTTATATTCTCAGAACTCCCTTAGAAACCTCTCTGTTTCCACCTTCCCCTCCTGACAATTCCACTTAAAATATGCCATAGGAAGGAGTTCTATTCGCATTTTCGGGAATATATATTTTTGAAAACTAAACAATGGCGACCAGGAGACTTCCCTTTGGCGGCTTGTGGACATTCTGAATACATTAGGCAGTTTGTCCGGAAAACTAAATGCTGAAAACTGAAAACCCAACAACAATGGCATTTTTCCCCCCGCAAAACTTGTTTGTTTTCCGCCTTGCACAATAATAAATAACGAATTCCGTTTGAATTTCCAGGCCAGAGAGAAAATTTTCCCCCCATTTTCGTTTTCCAGGTACATTTTCTCTTAAGGGAAATTCCCATTGGACGGGCGGGCCTATAAAAGCCCGCTGCCCAGCAACGCTCGCGTCACAACGACGGCTCCGTCGCCGCGGAAAACGGAAAAACGGAACAATTTTCTGATAGGAAAAACCCCGAAGCGCGAGTACGTAAGGCGACGACACGTACGAGAAACGACGTAAAGTCGCGCGCGATCTTTGCTAACGGTTGATTTTCTGAGTGTGTGTGTGTGTGTGGGTGAATTTTCTTTTTTTTATCTGTTTCTTTTGGTGTGATTTTACTCTTTTTATAAACTAAAAATCGATCTTGGTTGTGCTGTTATTCAGCTAAAAGCAAGAGTGCCAAAGGACGCTTAACATTTAAATGGGCATCAAAGACACATGACGCTAGCCGTGCGGCTCGCCGAAGGACGTGCTTCCTGTCGACACACAGACAGCAGTCCTAGTGACAGTGCCGATAGTAACCAATACCCAGAACCCAGAACCCAGTACCAGCTCCAAGTTTACATTTTATTCCCCGCCACGCTTTAGTTTTTCGACCACGATCCGATCCACACTGTGCGGAAATGAGGGGAAAGTACTCAGGGAAATTTGAGAAATAATCGAGGAAGTCTTTAAAGGATTTAGAAATTCTAACTAGTCTATTAGATTCATTTCATTTTAATTTATTTTTTATGTTTATTAATAATTTGAAAATTTAATTAAATATTTTTTAGATTAAAAAAGTGTTAAATATAAAAAAATAAAAATATATAAATTTGTAGAAATTTTTAAATATTTTTATATTTAAAATCAGTAGCTTTGACTAGTTTTGATTAAAAAATAATTTAAAACCGATAAAAAATGTTTTTTTAATTAAAAAATTGTTTTTTAAATTGGTGTCTAAATAAAAAAACATAAAATTAATTAAAATAAATACAAAAAATAAAAGACAAAGAAAAACCCAAGACACCAAGTCATGTGTTCCCTTTTAGGTTTTCAATTTTCTAGTTTAAAGTAAAGCTTTCCATATAAATCTATAAAAAAAACACAAAATTTATTTTGATACGAGCTCAAAATTCTAGTTCTATTGCCTTATCTCCTTCCTCTAATATTATTCTTATTCCCGCAGTTTTTCCCTCTGCACCAAGCACGAATCGTGCTGGCCCATTTAATTGTGCTCCCTGGTGGCCACCCAGCTGGGCGAGGGGAGCATGGGATGAGCCTCTGGATGGGGATGAGGATGTGGAAATAGAAGTAGAATGGCACTTCACTTCGATTCAATTCGATTTGCCGTAATGAAGCCAGTCCACGACATCCCTCCATGCAATAGTTAACATATTTTTATGGCCTGTTGTCGCCAAAGTGTCCTCCTCCTCCTCCTCCGCCCCCACCCCAGCCCCATCCGGATCCGCAAACGTTGAGCTATCTCCGGAGCTTCGGTTTCAAGTGCCATTGGAGACTGGGAGCTTCTCTGGATTGCTCACTTGATGGCCCAGTAGTTGGGGAGTTGGCCAACCGGTTCACTGTGTGGGGTTTTGTGTGGGTTTGGGTTTGAGTTGAGGAGGTCAAGAGCTGGTCCAGCTTAGGGTTAGAGGAGGAGGAGGAGGAGGGTTAGGAGGAAGGCAGAGCTTACATCATTTTGAGACCCTAAAAAGTCATGTTTTTTAAACACAAAACCGAACCTCCTCGTCGCCCCCCTTGAAAGTTAAAAACTCTTAGGACTCCTAAGGACCTCCCTCTCCTTCCTTCCCCCAGGAGACTGATAACAATTAGCGTCGCCAACTTGGGCCAAGGCTATACATTATTCCAGTAGTCGCAATCACGGCGACTGCCAGAAAGAACAACTTGCCGGGGGGAGGCGGCGGCTTCAAATAAATCAAAGAGAGCGAAGCGCCTTTAATTAAAAAAGTTGCCACGTCTAGTAATTAGGGAAAGCAGTAAAAGTATTTAGATTTATGCTTTTAATTTTCATTTTTCTTAATTGAATACAATTTTGTATACACATTTCTGGCTTCTTTAATTGAATAAAATTCTGCATAAAAATTGTAATTTTAATTTTTAAATTTAATCAAATTCTAATTAAATTTTTTAGCTTTCAAATTTGTAATTTTAATTTTTAAATTGAATAAAATTTTGCATATATATTTTTATTTTAATTTTTAATTGAATAAAATTTTACATAAACGTTTCAATTTAAATTTTAAAATTGAATAAAATTTTCTAAAATTAAATAAAATTCTGCTAACAAATTGTAAGCTTTCATGATTGTAATTTTAATTTTTAAATTAAATAAAATTCAGCAAAAATATTTTAATTAAAATTTTTAAATTGAATATTCTGCGTAAACACTGTAATTTAAATTTTTAAATTGAATAAAATTCTAATTCAATTTTTTAGCTTTTTAAATTTGTAATTTTAATTTTTAAATTAAATTAAATTCTGCATAACAATTAAAATTAAAATTTTTAAAATGAATAAAGTTCTCCATAAATTTTATTAACTTTCTTATTTTTTAATTTTAATTTTAAAATTGAAAAATACCTTCATAAAAAAATTATAGCTTTCAAGTAGAGATTTTCCCAAAATAAAATCGTGTTTCAGGAATTCCCAACGGGTTTGAAGCAGGCGCGAAGGCTTCATTAGGGTCACGCTTGGCCATCAATTGTGGTGGGTCAAACTTTCACACACACACAGCATAGCCAGGACCCACACACACCCACCCACACACACTCGCCGCCTGGCAAAGTGATTCATTAAAGCAATTAGCAGACAGGCCACCAGGCTGTCAGGGTCCAGGACGACTCTCAGGACAAACATTTAGCAAACACTTCTCTTGCAGACAGACGAGTGGAGAAGTGGAGTCCGGGAGGAGGCTTTGGACACGCACGACCACCAAATGCTCATTGGAATTTACGATTATGCTGCAAAATTATTAAACAATATGACCGCAACAGGAGCCACAGGAGGAGGAGGAGGAGGAGCCACAGGGGCAGAAGTAGCCACCACCACCACCATCATTAACAACCAATCCGCAGGGAGTGCGTCGCATGACCAGGAGCCGCCCAGCAGTGCTCCCACTCCTGGCGGTAATCTAACGAGCAAGCTCCTGCAGGCCACCACCCGTGCCCTTGCCCAGCACGTGCCTGCCCTGCCCATGTCCCTCTCCCTGCCGCCCTTGCCCGCCCTTCTCCTCCAGGCCCTCGATGCCGCCGACGTGGCGCATGGCCAGAGCATTGATCATACGACCCGTGGTCCCACCACAACGGAAGGCCTGCCGCCGAGTCTGCCTACAACAACAACAACGTCGTCGCTTTTGGGCAATGCCACCGCCACCGTCACCTCGGCCACTGGCAGTCCCCACAGCACGGACAGCGTGTACAGCGCCTTTGGGGGGGCCATGATGCCCGCAGGCAATCTTAGCGGTTTCATCGAGTCCTCAACCACGGCGGCCAGCTCCGTGCTAAGCAGCGCCGTCACCACGCTGCCAACGCTGCCGGCCACCAGCAGCATGGCGTCCACATTTCAGGCCCAAACGGTGGCCACCTTTATAGCGGCCACCGGGGGGAAGAATCGCCCAACGACCATCGTTGTCTACCCAACGGGTGAGTTTCTTATACACTTGCAGGGTTTTGTAAATTTTTTTCAGAACTTCGGCATCCCGAAGGTTGCTTTGTTGTTTTTTATAAGGATATATGATATATTTTGGCTTTCACTTACCCGCAGTAATTTTCTATTCCCGATCGCTTCTACGGCTTAGGAGCAGTAAATGGCACTCTGTTGCCTTTCATCTTGACTCCGCAGACTTGGTTAAGATTCATCGATGATTAAGTTGTTGGCTGAGATTATTAATCGATGATTAAGTCCTTCTATTCCAGTGTTTCTTGGTTATTTTGCGCGATTTTTATAAGAACTTTCACTTTTTCAACGATGCGACACTTTTCCGCGAGTCATCCCGGCGAGTTGGGATGCACACGTCACGAGGTAAACGCGAGGGGAGGCGAGCACACGTGTTACACGGGGGGGGAGGGGCGTGCACTGATCGTGAGAGAGAGTAAAAATAATGAGTTAAAGTATTGGCATTTAGTGAAAATAATGGCTCCTCAAATCCCCGCAGACCGTAACTGGCGGGCAAAGAGGAGAAAGGCAAAGACCGTAGCTGAGATGTGCAGCTCTGATTAATATTGTTTGCACTATGCTCATTATCTATGCTCATCCCGAAGGGTTGAGATGAACACGTGACAGGTAAACAGAAAGGAGGCGCGCAGATTAAGATTCATTGATGATTAACGCCTTCGATTCCAAAGATTCTTGGTTATTTTGCACGTTTATTATAAGAACTTTGACTTTCCAACGATGTGACACATTTCCGCAAGTCATTCCGGCGAGTTGGGATGCACACGTCACGAGGTAAACGCGAGGGGGCGCGCACTAACTAAAGCTGCGGCGGGAGAGGGGGCTGTAGTTATAGGTAGCTAGAGGGAGAAAGCTTGATCGAGAGGGAGAGAGTGAGCGAGATAGGTTGAGCTGAGAGCAGAGCTCAGAGCTGAGCTGCTAAGCGAGCTTATAATTTCATATAGGCAATCACACACACAAACACTGCTTGTAAGAGAGAGCGCACACTGAGAGCGGAGCTGAGCTTAGAAATTTGCACTGAAATTATCAGCTCTCTCATTAGCTCCGCTCTCAGCTCAGCTTTCCGCCGCCAGTAAGCTTATCAGCTCCGCACTCAGACGTGTTTTAACTCGATCAACCTCTCTCTCTCTCTCTCTCAATTTATCTGGATGATCCCCCGAAAATGTGTCGCTTTGCTGAAAAATTGCAAGTTCATATTCTATTCATACAAAAACAACAAAAATCTCTGCAATCAAAGGAATGAATCATCAATGAATCTTATTAGTTAGGTTATCATCCTTGGTAAACTCCAATTGGAGCTAATTTTTCAATGTTTTAAAAATCAGATTAGGAAAATAATTTTTAAATATTATTTTTATTATCAATATTTCTTAAAAAACGTATTAATTGTGTATAAAATAAACAGTAATTGCAAATGAGTTTTGTAACTAATAGATTGAATTACAATAAAATGTTGTAACTAAACGCATTAAACCCAGTTAGTTACTTTCTTGTCTGCAATTTAATTAATTTATTAGTAAAAACCAAAACCAATTCACTTTGCCGTAATAAATTGGCAATTTATCAAAGAAATTTTTCAATTAAATTGAGCATTAAAAATTCATTTGGCTGCCGTGAATGTTCATTTGACAAGCTAATGGCTTAATTTTTAATTCAACTAAATTAAAGCGGTCAAAGGGGATTTATGGATGTAGTAAATAAATAATATTTCGAAGAGGAAGGGATATAACAACCCTTAAAGAGGACTCCTTGTGACAAAAAGGACTTCCTTCCCCCCTAATGGCCCTAAGTTAATTAGAAGAGTGTTAGCAGGATGAATGGAAATCCAACTCCTACTCCTACTCCTGTCAATAATCAAATCAGTGCAGTCAGTCGGGGTCGCGTGCCAGTCCAGGGATCTCCGGATTTCCAGAACTCCCGAACTCCACATCTCCAACTCCCAATTAGTTTGCCTCGTTGCCGGCGTTAATTTGCATGAGCTGACACCCGCGCAAGAGTCCTCATTATCCGCATCGACTCCCTGCGTCAACTTATTTTTTATAGTTTCCCTGGCAGAGGGCAAACTTTGGCTGGCTGGCTGTCTCTCTGTCCTCCCCCCTTCCTTCCCAGCCAGGCTCCAGGCTTAGGCCAATCCGGGAAAGTTGCTCCGGCAAAATGTCCTCGTCCTGCTCAGCAATTAGACAAGTCTAAGTCGCAGTAATTGCAAAGAGTAGCACTCGACTGTAGCTGTTGATTGTTCGAGGCAAGTGTTGCCTGTCAGTTTTCTTCAGGGGGTGAGAATCGGAATCGACATTCGAGCAGGAGCCGCGGGGGAAGGACTCTCTCTCGTTTCCCTCTGGCGCCAGGGTCTCGCCCCCAAGCCTCTTACAAATTAGAGCCTTAAAGGCTGCGGGACTGTCGTCTTTATTAAGGATGCCTGCTGCTCACAAAAAAACAAAAAAAAAAGGAGAAAACTTGACGACAACATTGTCAGCCCATCCTCCAGAGGCAGAGAGGGGAAGGAGGAGCCACAGTCAGACTGAGAATCCTGGCAGCAGCTTTCACTTCAATCGCTTGTATCTCCCGGCATCGACATCAATGTCAGTGCCCTGAATGGCCTGTGCGCGTGGTCGGAGGAGGAACTTTTTGGCAAGAATACAAAAAAAGAGGACTTGGCCATTACAGAGTGCTCCTCCTTCTCCTCCTCCTCTGCCTCCTCCTCCTACCTTTCAGCGAACAAAAAGTGCGTAAATTCATCCGATAAAATGGTGTAACAGGAATGCGATGTCCTTCAGCTCCATTGATAAGTTAACAATGCATTCTACTTAGCGGAACACTCGATTTGCTGGCAGTTGTATACCCTGGAATAAGGGTAGTATTCACTGGGAGGGGTTTTCAATAAAGGAAGAGTATCCTTGTATCCTTTAGGAAAATGTTGTATATATTTTTCAGGACTTTTGCCAAGTTAGATCTTAGTTTGATGTTGAATTTACAAGATTCTTGGCTTAGCTTTATTTCTAAATAAAAATCACAACAAGTAAAAGAGTCCTTTGTCCTTTAAGAAAATATATATATTTTCTAAAAACTCCTGCTAAATCAGATCTTATTTTGATCTTGACTTTACAGACTTTTTGTTTCAAGTAAATAAAAAACCCAAATAAGTATAAGAGTCTTTTGTCAACCACAGGACATACGCACACATCCTGCTGCTTTGATCTAGACCAGAAATTGAGAACTGTGTTCCGATTGGAAAGCCCAGAAGCTAAACTTAAAGTGAAACTGAAATTTGAGGCTCCAATGCAAACTATTCTCTCTTCTCTGACTGCAAAATGCCTGTCTGCCTGCCTGCCTGCGGTTGTTCCTGGCAAAGTTTAGGCATCTAGCCAAGGACTTCAAAGTCCATCACTCCATCATACGCCCACTATTGCCGCCCTGTCATCCTTAAGTCGCCTCCAGTTGGACCGCAATCAAGCCCAGAGCTGACTTTGATGGGAATATTTCGAACTGGAGAGAAGTCACTTTGGGCAACAATATGGGCAGATGACGGCGTAGGAATGCCTACAGCCAGACGCGAACACTGAAAGAAATCTTTGAGTACTCCTTCAAGATGATCTATTTGGTTACTTAGTGGGGTTTTGGAATACGTTAAAGAAGAGCCTTTGAATTTGTATTTTTAAATGAAATAAAGACTTGTATGTAAATCATATGTACATATATTGAACTGAACTGAACGTTACATACAACATATATTGCCTCTTCTGACGATGTTGTTGTTGTTGGCCTCCTCCTCCCTTTTGTTGTTGCTGTAATGCCTTTGTAGCGCATTCCACTGTCGACGTGAAATATGCAAACATTCAATTCCCATTCAAAGGCATCGCAGATGGGCGACGACGGGCAGGCAGAAGCCGGAGATGGTGCAGGGGGGCATTATTTTTATTGTATTTATTGAATATTTCAAGCATCAAACGATGTCTGATGAGTCAGCAAGCTTCTCCAGATGCTGCTGCTGGTGCTCCTCCTGCTGCTCCTCCTCCTGCTACTCCTCCTGTTACTCCTCCTCCTCCTCCTCCTCCTCCTCCTCCTCCTCCCATCTCGAGGCAAACTAATGCCCAGCGAGGACTCCGGACTCCGGTCTCTCTCCCCGTGCCATCAATTTGTGTAAATTTGAACTGTCACTTTGAAGGCGTTAATTGGATTCAGTGGCGTTGCCTCTCAAGGGTTGGAGATCCTTGTTGCTTCCCGCTGGTGCTTTGCTCCTGAAAAAAAAATATTTAAAAAAAAACTTAAGTAAACCCAGCTGAGGCTCTGATAAAGCCGGAGAAAATATTTGGCGATTGAACTTGGATTTAATCGAATAATGTCAGGCAGGGGCCAATGTCAAGTGCTCCAGGAGCAGTGCTAAGGGTCCTGGGTCTACACAGATAGCAGGGACATAACTTTGTGACTGTTGATGCAGAATAATCACCAGTACAAGGTCTTAAAGCAAAAATATATATCTATAATTACTAGAAGAATTGTGTTTTTTAAAGTCTTCAAATTAGATTTGGAATATTATAAAAATACAACTTAAACCTGTTTACTCGATTTAAGGCCTCAATTTAAAATAGAAACCCCTTTCAATTAGACTTCATTTGTGATTCCCTGTGAAGCCTTTCAGAGTATGTCCACTTCGGCAAGGTTCCTGTGTTTGTCATCGTTCTTGCTACTTTCTTTCTTTTTTTTTTTGGGACAAACAACATTTGGGCCATGGATTTTTGTGGCTTAGATTAAAGCATCCGCTTTGGCAAGGACGAGAACGAGACCGAGAACGATGACGATGGCAAGTGGGTGGTGCTGTAATGGTGAGGAGTGAAGAATGTTTTTTGGGGGTAAATCGCAGACGTAAAAGATATGCAAAACGACGACAAATTGAAACCAGACCAGGCCATAGAATAGGCCAAGTTAGACCAGATTAACCCCATGAGTGCTTAAGGGGGGGTAAGGTATTTAATTTTTTTTTTCGTAAATTTTTTTTTATTTTTTATTTTAAAAGTTCAATATCTTAAGAATATTGTGTCCAAGTTTTACATCAATCATAGTAAAATTGACGAAGTTATGCGGAGCTGAACGAAGGTCGGTTGGTGTTCAATGCATGAGAATCACAAAGTTTAAAGCGCTCTCCTGAAAAATGCCATTTTGAAAATCGGTGTACACGATAACTAAAAATATACTGAACCAATCGGTTTGAAATTTGGAACATAACTTCTTTAGATAATTCTACAGGTATTCTCGTCGAGCTTTTTTTAATTTTTAATTTTCTTATATTTTTTATTTAACAAATTAACTTAATTTTTTAGTCAAAAATCGGGGTTTTGACTTCAAATTTTGATAAAAAATAGGGAAAAAATTTTAAAAATAAAAACGCTTCGAGAATACCTCGGGACACTTATCCTTTAACGAATGAGGTATAATTTTTGTAGATCGGATGATTCTGTGGACAGTTAGGATGTACACCGCAAACCAACTTTTTTGGAGGCGACTCGGGAGATTCCCTATAACTCCTCTACCTCTAAATATTTTTCAATACAAAATTTATCACAATCTGTTCAAATGTTGTGTTATTATATGGTATTTAATTCGTTAAGCTAGCTTTAGCCGTTTCGCCACAACATTTTTTTGAAAAGTGGGCATTTTTGCACCGAATTAACCTTACCCCCCCCTTAAAGGATAATAAGAAACAAATAAAAGAAGCCTTTAAGAAAACCAGAAACTAAAAGAAATCAATTATTTATTGTTGTTTATTATATTTTTTTTTAAATAAAATTTAATTTGAATATATTTAAATTTAATGTTCTTTAAAAGTCTCTAGGGGTTAAGCAGGACTTTTGAGGCCGAAATTAAAAAGCCAAACGAATCGTGAACGAAGGGAAATGCAAATGGCGCGAACGGAATGCGCCCCAAAGCCGTTTGGCCTATGAAACCCCCCCACTCCCAATGGGCTTTCCCTCTCCCTGCTCATCCTTGTGCTCTTTCGCGTGGCGTCATCCCTCCCTCCCCCCTCTTTATCCTGTTTACCGCCTGCCTGTGTAGATAAGTGTTGCCTACTTTCGGCCGAAATTTCGAGGCCATGCAAATGAACCGGAGAGATGAGTTACGGAATTATGAGCTATAAGAGACTTCCTCTAGGATTCCCCTAACCCCCTCTAATCTCTCCCTCTCTCTCGGTTATTGTGATAAAATAAACATATAAATAAATAATCTTGGTCCTTTGCAAACTGATGATGGCATTCCTGTGGCTGACCGCAGCAATTAGGCAAATATGTTCGCAGTTCCGTTTTCCCGACTCCCCCGTCCCCCCTCGGGTGTTGACAGAGAGCGATTAACATTCATGCAACATTTGGCAAGGCCATTTCAAGGGGGGGAGGGTCCTTTGGCAACAGTGGGAGGAGGAGGGTCCAGTGGCAACAGTGGGAGGAGGAGGGTCCAGTGGCAACAGTGGGAGGAGGAGGGTAGTGCCATCAGCAAACTCCTGGCGGAAGGAAAAGGTTCATAAATTCCCGGGTTAAAGCATTCGCGATGGTTTAGTCTTAGATAAAGTCAGGTGTACTCCTCCAAAAAAAGGTTGTCCTTTACAAGGAGACTCAAATGTAGATATATGTCGGAGATAAGTTCTTGCTTTTTAACCTTTAAATTGTTCAAAGATAAAGACTACATCTCCCCAGTCGAGGGGGGTGTGCTCTCTTAAGTTAATTGTTGTAATTAAATAAGTTAACAAGGGTTACGTTGGCCTCGTAAAATATGAACTGGATAAGGACAATGAAGGGGAAAGGCAAAAACAGAGATGTAAGCTGGATTTTTTAGAGATTATTTCGAAATTTTGAGCTAGATAAAATATTTATTTAGTGAATAATACAAATAATAATATTCAAAATATTTATTTAGTGAGTAATACAAATAATAATAATAATATAAATTTTTTAAAATTTATAACTCAGACAAAAATGTATTAAATTTAAGTTTAACACCTTATTAAATTTTAAAAAAATTGTAAAAAGTTTGTATTATCATTTTTGGGAAATTTTTTAACATTTAAAAGTTAAAAAAAAATGCATTAAATACAATTTAAGGTTTCTTAGTTTAATTTTTTGCCAAGAATTTTAACGATTTTTAAACCCTTTTAAAATCTTGAAAAAAATTATGAAAAACTAAATTTTTAAAAATCTATAACTCAGCTAAAGATGCATTAAATTTAATTCGGAAAGTAGTTTTGTCTTAGTTTTTAATAGCTTAACAAATTTGCATACTACATTTTATGGTTTTTTAAATTTAATTTTTTACCCATTTTTGAGAATTTTAACGATGTTACCCCTTATAAAATTTTGAAAAAATTAAAAAAAAAATTTTTTCTTCAAAAAATGGCTAGAAAAACTCGCCTTTTAATGCTGATCAAGAATATATATGGTTTATGGGGTCGGAAATGGCTGCTTCACTGCTTTGCAAGCTTCTGATTAGAATTAAAATTATATATATAAAAATCGAAATTAAAAAAATATATATTATATATATATAATTGTAAATCCCATTAGGTATAGAAATATATAAACCTGCAAGGGCATAATTACAATGTAAGAATTTTTCAGGATTTTTCAAATAATTTCCAATAATTCATTCTAACTTTCCTTCTTCTCTCTCTCTCCCCTCTCTGTTACAGTTTCACCCGAATCGATCGTTATCCCGATCGTTTCCTGCATCTTTGGCTTCCCCATCCTGGCCCTGATCGTGATCTGCTGCCTACGCCGGCGGGCCAAGCTGGCCCGGGAGCGTGACAGGAGGCGGAACTATGACATGCAGGACCATGCCGTCAGCCTGGTCAGATTTAGTCCAATACATAGGCTTAGTGAGTTTGCGTGTTGTGTAATGTGTGTACGAACGTTTCTCTGCTCTTTCTCGTCTCGTTTCTTGCTGGTTTTTCGGTTTATGGATCGAGTGACTGATCCGGGTTTTCACCAACAGATTCCAGAGACTCTATATATAATATATATCGAGTGCATCAGTTCATCCGCATCCCAAAACCATAGAGCACAGCACCTGCACCCTTATCATCCATTTCCATTTCCTCACTTTTCCTCTCTCTCTTGATGTGTGCCGTATGCCGTAGTCATTAACTCACTTGTCCGGCCATTGTTCCACCTGCCTGCATGAGGGATATTTAAAATTCACAAAAACAAAAACAGAAAAAAAAATAACGAAAGAAACTCACAGAATTTCATACAAAATGATAACAAAAGAGCCCATGGCCGCCACCGTGTTGCCGCATCATCAACATCATAATCATTGTTTTTCAAGTGCCCGCATCTCCGAAATGGTTTCCCGCTTTTCCCCCGTCTCCCAAAGCCCAAATCCCGCATCCTTGCATCCTTCTCCTCCTGGATTGAATTGGCTGGCATTGTCAATGGCCATGTTGGCAACTCGGTTGCAGAATCAATTACAAAATCCCCACCAAGCCGAGACGAGCCGCCCAGATCCAGCAGGATATATAACATCTGCCCATTACGAGTTAGTGGCCACAAGGTGCACTGAAAGAAATGAGCTTGAGAAAATAAAATAGAAAATTAATAAGAAATCTTTATAAGATCGGTAGTATGTTAAAATATAAGGTTGTTTATTTTTATTTATTTATTTCATTTTTGTTTAATATATTATATTTTATTGTGTATTATTTTAATTATAATTTTTTTGTTTATTAATATTAAAAAAATGTATTTTGATTTTATTATTTATTATATTTATTTATTTTTTTTTTTAATTTATTTATTTATATATTTTTTAATTATATTTAATTTTATAATATTAATTTTTTAATTAAAAAAATATATATTTTCTATATTTTAACAAATATTGATCCTCTAAAGATTTTTTATAATTTTTTTTTTTATTGAATTATGTTTTATTGTATATTATTTTACAACAACAATATTATTTATTTATTTTATTTAAAAAAAACTTAATTTTTTTATTTTAACAAATTTTTAAAAATGTGGTATATATTTATTTTTGTATATTATAATTTTTTATGATATTATTTTAATTACAACTTCTTTTCAAATTTATTTAATATAAATATTTGTTCTTAACTTAACTATTTTCTCTCAGTGCCACCTTGCATTGTGGCTGCCCTGCTTTTACTCGCGAGGGGAGACCTGGCAAGGAAATGGGGGAAGTGCAAGAGTCCGAATAACGGCAACAGCCACTGTTGCCAGCCACTCAATAAAGCGGAGCACGCCTCGCGCCCCATGTGGGTGTGCCTTATGTGTGTGCGTGCATGCGTGTGTGTGCGCTGCTTTACATGTGTCAAACGCAGAGGGGGAGCAGGAGTGCCTGCATTTGCATTTGCATTGCATACCTTTGGGCACTCGCTGCCCTCGTTTGCATATCTCAAAAACGAATGCAAAAAGGCTGCTAGAAAGGGGCGTAAAAAACTGGGGGTGGAGGGGGGGAGTAAGGTCGGAGGGAACTGGCAGCGCCAGTTCGTCTGCTTGGCATTGCAACAAGCCAGGTCTCTGCTCCCCACTAAGACCTCGTTTTAGCCAAGACTACATTTTTGCCAAAATGTTGCAGTTTTCCCCTGGAAAAGGTGACAAAGAAAATGCATATGCAAAGCGGCACCCTTACCCCACACATGTGATATTTTTTTTAACCTTATAATAAGATGCGTAGCGTCCATACATTTACATTTTGAGAATAACTAAAGTTTAAAAAGAAAATATAAAAAAGACAAACAGTTTTCTTATTAAATTCAATACCATATAAATAACACAACATTTAAATTTTTTATTTAAATTTAGTAGTTTTTGAGTTTGACTTTTGAAGTTACATTGAACACAAAAGGACCTCCCTTCAACTAAGCATAACTTGCTCAATTTTGGTATAATCGAAGTGAAACATTCACACAATACTCTTAAGATATTGAAGATTTATAATAAAAAAATTTTAAATTTCAACAACAAAATAAAATACCCTAACCTTCTCCTTAAATAGGCTAGGATTTTTTTTTTTACTTATTTTTTTTTGGTTTAAAAACTTAAGATTTTATTAGGATTAGTGTACTTTTTCCATTTTTTCTAGAAACTTAATCTAATGAGAAATAATTCAAAGTCTTAGCCCAGTTACATTCAGGATACTAAACTGGCGGGTAACTATGTAGGTGACCAGCCCCCGCCCGCACCTTAACGTGACCCAGAGAGTTCCACAAAATTTCCCTCGGTTTGAATTGGCACTTACAGCCCGTCGTCAACCCGTTTTCTGCAACCGCAACAGCGGCAAAACAAAACCCCGGCATCCGCAAACTACACTCGTTTTCGGTTGCGTCACTTCTTGTGGGGCCTTCTCCCCCCACAAACAACAGGAAATTCGTCCTGTGGCCCTCTTGTCGTTCGCCCTGTTTGCATACATTTTCGCAAAACAATTACGCATCACCGCAGAAGCCCTGGCTTTTCCAACTCAATTTTCTTCAAGTCGAATTCGGAATGCACTACTCTTGGGTTAACAGGATCTGCTAAAAGGATGTTAATCAAAGAAGACATTATATTTCTAGGAATCCATGGAGGAACTTCCATCAAATCCTATCCTCTCCTTCCCCCGCATCCTTTCATATCCTTTTGGTTTCCGGCTCGCTCACCTCACGCACGTTTTCAATTTGTCACCTTCAGTATCGCCACCACCCACCCACCCACCACCACACACCACTCTCACCCAATCTCCGCCAGAAGCAGCCTAGTCCTAGCACTAAAATACTCTTTTCTTCTCTCTTTCCCAATGCCCCAAAAAATCCACATCCACAGATTACCGATCGTCGCGAGCTATCAGTCTACGTCCTGAACGAAGCCTAAGCCAGGGTTTCACCTCCCTGGAGCTGGACACCGTGCTGGAGGAGCGCTGCAGCGATGTAGAGCAGACGCAGACAGAGATCCTAAATCCTGAATCGCCCATGGACACCGCCTCCTACAAGATGTCGTTTTCCTCGAGCTAACAGTTAGCCAAACAGCAGCAGCAGCAGCAGCAGCTGGAGCAGGCAGCTCCTCCCCCGCTCGCTCAGTCAGAGTCCCAATTAAAGGAGCAGCAGCAGGAGCAGGATTTGATAAAGGTGAGGGTGAAGGCACCGCCGTTGGCCAAGTCACCGCAGCTGTTGCAGCCACCGCAGCTAAGGAAGGCGGCCAGCGTGAGAGATGATCCCAGTGCGCTGGCCAAGCGAAGGAGTCGCCTTCACGAGCTGAGGGCCGCCAGCAGCAGCAGCAGCAGCGGCGGAGGAGCAGGAGGAGGAGGAAACGAGGTAGCTTCGGCCTTCACCAAGCGAGAATCCAAACGGGAACGGCGAAGAGCTCTTGACCGAGGAGCGAGCAGCAGCAGCGGCAGTGGCGGCGGCACTGGTGAATCCCTGGCCATGCGCAAGTCACATTCACTGGACGCTGCCGAGAGCTACTCGCTGGCCAGCATCCAGGCACCGCTCTGGGTGACCCTAACGAATGCCCGAACCATCGAGGAGCTGGCCCAACAGAAGCTGTGAGGGGCAACCGCGTCTCTGTCTCTGCCCACCAGAAGCGTTTGTTAACTACTCATCCCGCCCCCCCCGCCCCCGAGTTCTCCCCCGGAGCGGAGTCCACGCTCCATCCACATAGAGAACCTGTAAATGTTTAGAACGAAATTCGAATTAGCAGCATTACACTAACATAAAAACCTCGTCTCTCGGCCGATAATTTCTGCAGCAAACAAGACTGAACTCGAGTCTGAGCTTGCAGCAGGAACCGGAAATCGTAGTTGAGCTATGGTCACACTGGAGTGGCAGCATTACCTAAAGCTAAAGAAATTTAAATGCAATTAAAGACCAAACGAAATAGTCAAAAAAAAAAAATCAAATAAAATTGTAAAAACTGTAATGAAACATTTCTTTTTTTTTTTTTTGGATGAAAAGTGATACATAGTAAGTACCAAAAGGGGTTTGTTTTTTAAGTAAATAAAAAGTATGACCAAAATTTCCTTTTCATATAAAAAGAAAATAACGTTATTTTGTATTATTTTTAGTATAATTGTTACGATTTTTGATGTAAATAAATAAGCTTCGAGTATTTTGAGTATGTTTTTTGTTTTTTTTTTTTGTCTTGTTTTTATTTAAATTATCATGTATACATAAGGAGAGCTTAAAATACAAGTTTAATTTCTTTATCAAAATACATTGTTATACAATTTCCTTAGTTGTTGTCGCTTGCATGCATGCTGGAGTTTTTATTTCTTTTGTTTCTCATTTTCGTTCAAGTTTAATCTGTTTGATTTTTTTTTTATATTTATTGGTACCGCTAATATTCATATATTAATTTACTTTCTCACTTTCGCCTTCACTGCTAATGTCTTCTCGCTGCCCGAACTTAGTGATTTATGGTTTTTAGTTTTTAGTTTTTAGCTTTGCACACCGCATTTAGTTATAGTTTTTCTTTTGTTTTTACTCATTTAGATATATATGTATATATATTTCTTGTTTTTCATTTGTAATATTAATTAATAGAAAAAAATACTAACAAAGAGAAGAGGTTTGTCTTGGATATTTCCCCACATGTCTGCGTGTATATAGTATATATATAAAGTGGTGGTGGGGGGCATATACACACACATACATAAAACTTGCATACAAATCGCGTATAATACAGTATGAAAAAAAACACTGCGCTCTCTCGCAGCTGTACATTTGTCCCATTAATTTGCCTGCCAAGCTACGCACAACACTTACAAAAAAAAAAAACAAACGAAGAAACGTACAAAATTATACAGAATTGGGGTTGGGGGGGAGTAGGAGAACACCAACACAAATATAAATATACAGCCCTCTATCTATCTGTCTCTCTCTCTCTCTCCAGCTCCCCTCTCGCTCTCCATCTTTCTCTAGCTTGTGGTTAAAGTGGGTTAAAAAACGGAGTAAAATAATTAAAAAAAGAAAACTAAACAAAATTGAACTATGAAACAATTGAAAAGCACTTTGCCCTGTGTACTAATTGAGCGTGTGTGTGTGTGTTGAGTGTGTGTGTGTGTGTGGCATATGCAGGATTTCTTTGAGAAAATTTCCCCCTGATAAAAGCACTTGGGAATTTTAAGAGGAAACCTAAAAAAATCCCTTTGCATAGGCCTCTGTGTTGTGTATTGTGTATGTGTGTGTGCAAGTGTCTCGTGTGTGTGCGTGGCCATTGGTCTGAGCATTGTCATCAGAGGGGCAACTTCTTCTTCGGATTCTTCAGATTTCTTTGCTTGGAATTTGGGGGCTTCGGTTAAAAAAAATAAACATTAAAAAGATAAATTTAAAAAGATCACTTCATGCTGTTGCCAGTCGTCTTTTTGAGCAATTGGGTTCTTCTTTTTTTTCGGAGGACTCTGGGGGGATATGTTATGGAAATTGGAACACATGGATCACAGTGCAGTTAGATATCCTTCTGGCATATATATCTTTTCTTTAATAGAATGAAACGGTCGCTTGCTTTGGGTTAAGTTGAATTATATATTTTGCCTTTGCTGTTTCCTGTTCCCTTTCCTTTCCTTTCCTTTCATTTCCTTTGCTCCACTTTCCACTTTGCTTTTGCCAATGACGCTGACTCTCTGCTGTATATCCAGGGGTTTTTTGATGGGTTAACATTGATTGGTTGGTTGGTTGGTTGTGGTTGTTCTTGTTGTCCTTGCTTGCCACGTTCTCTAGCGATCTCTCTACCCCTCAACATCTCCGGCTATCATCTCCGCCTACATGTGTATCGTGGCCGCCGTGTAGCGAGCCTCGCCACGTCGCCAAGACCACTGGCTGGGACGGAACTATGGGGAAAATCAAAGTATTAGCAAGATTCAGTTGATTTACTCAACTTTTGTGAATAAATAAATAATATAATTATACATTTTTATATAAAAATTAGGTAATAACTCTTAAAAATGTAAAAAGAACTCTGATTTTCGACTTGAAAAATACTTTTTCTCTTTAAATAAAAAAAAACTTAAACAATTTAATTTACCCAACTTTTGTGTATAAAAAAAATAATATAATTATTAATTTTTATATTAAAATTAAGAAAAAACTCTTATAAATGTAAAAAGAACTCTTATTTTCGACTTGAAAAATGTAATAATTCAACACTTTTTCTCTAGTAAAATAAATAATAACAAAAAACCTAAAAAAAATATCGTGCAATCCTAGTTAAAATCGGCTACAAACCTGATGCAAATGCTTGGACTGCATGTAATTGGAAAGAAACAACTATTGAGACTCGCCCAAGAAAACACTACACACCTTCCACTATACACACTCACCTGGATGAGCAGCTGGCCACTCTTCGTGTGCGGATTTCGGTACGCATAGAAGAGCCACAGCGTCACGGCGAACACCAAGCAAATGGGCACCATGAAGCCAAAGGCCACGCCTACGCTTTTGTTATCCGCTCCCGCCTGCGACAATTCGGCATTGCCGCCAACCTTGCCGTCCGTATGGCCACCATCACCAATGCCACCACCGGCGATGGCAGCATTCTCGGACTTAGACTGGCCAGCATTGGCCTGTGGCGCCCGCGTGCTAATCACTGTGGGCTCCGTTGCCATCGGACTGCCGGTAGCCGCCGTAGAGGGATTTGTTGCATTTCCAGCTCCATTTGTGCTGCTGCCACCCGGTGTTCCGGCCCCGTTCTTTTCCTGGGCAGCAGCATTGTTGCCCTTCTCCCCGAGCGCCGGACAGGTTGTGGCATTACGAAGGGCGGCAGTTTCGCAACCTGTGAAATTGAGAGTTAAGATTGAGAGTTAAGATCAGTGGTCGGTCAGAGGAAATCCAAAGCTCAGGAGGGAGGCTTACCCTTGGTCATCCACTCGTGCTTCTTGCGATCGGTGCCCGTGGAGCAGCGACTCAGCGCCGGACACCAGAGGCACTGAAATAAATTAATAATAATTAATTAATAATTATAAAAAAAAATATATATATATATAAAATATAATATTCCACTCACCGTAAATGTCGTATTGTGGTTCAAACACGACTGGCAGTCATTGTAGCCCAGACAGGTGGGCTGTGCAGTCAGCTTGATGATGGTGGAATTGGTGATCTCCTGCTGCTGGACGGAGACGCGGTGGTACTCATAAATGGTCTTTCGGCGGGCAACTAAAATGGGTTTTAACACAAAATGAATTCCATATAACAAATTCAGGGAAATACTATTTACTTACAATATAGATGCTTGTCGATTATATAGGCATCGGAGAGTCCCACCTTGACCGGATGCTGGTGATCCTGGATGGAATTGATAAGCGTGGGCACACGGAAGTAGCCAAAGACAATATCACCGCTTTGGTGCAGCGTCACGCTAAATGTAAACTTGCCAAACTCGGGCTTATCCTGCAGCGTAACATTCTCCCAAACGGCGGTAAAAGCGGTGCCTGGTTAGGAACAAGTTACTATGAGTCTTCACTCCAAACTCCCAAGTACAAACTCACCATTGTCCTGCACACGAACAAACGAATCATTAGAAATGCTTGTGTCAAAGTTGGCCATTAGCGGGGCAATATACTGAGTGGCCGCCAGCCAGGAGTGCACATATTCGCCAGTGTAGAGGAAGCCACCGGTGGCCACTGTGATATTCCTTACATAGTGACCGTAGAAGGGAAAATCAAAGTTCAGCTCAACGGTCATGGCACGACGATGCGAGGAGGAAAGCATTTGATTCTCGGGCGTGTTCTTCAGCTGCGACCACAAAGCCTTGGCCTCCTCAGCGCTCACATAGAGAACACTGTTGTAATAGTCGTGGAAATCCTCGCTGCGCACCAGCGACTCATTCTTAACATTGCTTTCGATATCGTCATCGGGTATATCCACCCCAGACACATCCACGTCGATGGGTGCTGCCGTGCTGCTGCTGGGTGTTTGCGGGATAGCAGCAGCTGCCGAGCTGGGTGCCACCTTTTTGGGATAGCCATTGGACTGGGCGGCCATTAGTTGAGTTGGCTTCTTGTAGTTAATGGCGGGACTAAGGCCAGGAGCAGCAGCTCCACCCTCGACATCCTTACGCTGTCCGGTGCCATTGACTCCAACATTGTGCACATTATAGGAGACACTACCGCCTGCCGCCGCCGTTGCCTTGCTATCCACCGTGGTCACCACAGCAGCTCCAGCTCCGGCTGCCACTGCAGCCACACTAGCATTTGAATTCACGCTCTGATATTGACTGTTACTGACTGGTGGCGGCTGAACATCCGCTGGAGCGGCTCGCCTTTGACGTTGATGCAACTGATCCGTGGCCAGAGGCACCACATGGGGTTCGGGTTTGAGGTAGGGAAGCGCTGTATCAAAGGTGTCGTAACTCTCTGCATTCACTGTAAAAGAGAAGAGAAGCCAAGAAGAGGTTTTAGAGCTTGGCTTAGCTTGTGGGGGAAGCATTTTGGCGGAAGGGTAAGCCATAAGTCCCAGGTGAAATTTACTTTTGATATGAATTCTCTGGAGATTAGCTAGGCGAGGCTGAACTAAGGCAAATCAGGGGATAAACCAGGCCAAAATTAAGCATTAAGCTGCTTTTTTTTTACTACTTTTAATCCTTGAAAATCTGTATTTTTTAACCAAAATTAAGTAAGAAATTTATGTATTTTTTGCTTAAAAGATTTCTTTGGCTTCTTCACAATCTAAAAATATAAAAGCATGTCACGAAAGCCAAAACGTTTGTATATATATAAAACCAATTATAACTGGATTATAATGGCCGTACAGTTCTATGGATTTCAGATAAAAATAAGCAGGTAATTACCTGAACTATAATAAGGAGATATATATACTTCTATACTATGTATACAAAACACTTATACCCCATATACAAAAACAATTAACATAGAAAATGAAATTAAAGAAAACAACATTGAACTTTAAGCCCTGACCCTTGACTTGAGAATTACACGTAACATTGAACATGGAACAACATTCAACAACATTCTGAATATAAATATAATTGAATTAGTGGAGAGATTAGGCAGTAACAAACATCCAGATATATATAGACCAAGGTACAATACTAATCCCAGGCTAGGTTCTTGGGTTCATTGGGGCTCTTTGCAATCACATTCCCACCTTTGTGTGTGTGTGTGTTTGTGTTGTAATTAACCCAACTGTTATTTGAGGCCGCTCTCGATATTGATTTTCTATTTCCATCGTCATCCTCCTCTCTCACATGTACTTATTAGTACTATACGTACAGTGTTTGTAGCTTGTCGCCTGTCGTTGTACAACCACCGCAATAATGGCACATCAAAGACCATTGTCGACAGTAATTACAACAATTACAACATGCGGTTGTGCTGCCTGGCACACACACGCACACCCATAAGCAAACAATATCTGTTACGATTGAACGCCCCAATAACAAGAATAACAGGCTAAAACTGTTTATATTTTTGGACTTTGTCTGATTTAAATTAAAAAAAAGCAATAGTTTTTATTTATAAAACTAAATTGTAGTTTTTGGGCAAAGGAAAGTTGAGGGAATACTTGATAAATGACAAAAACTAATTGGTTTTTGGGATATAAACAATGGATAAGCTCTAGAAGAAAACAGAGATTAATGACAAACAGTGAGCATTAATTAATTAATTCATTTATTTAATTAACTTAATTAATTATTCAATTTATAAAATATTTAATTTATTAAGTAATTAATTAATAAATTATTTAAAATTTATTAAGTAATTAATTAATAAATTAAATTAAATCAAGTAATTAATTAATAAATTAAATAAATTAATTAAATTAATAAATTATTTAATTTCTATTATGAATACAAATAATTTATAAATTCTAAAAGCAAACCTAGTTTTGCGCGAAATATTAGATTTAATTTATAGTAAAATAATTTTTTAAAAATAAATATAATTAAAATAATTATTTAAAAATAAATATTTTAAAAATAATTATTTAAAAATAAATAATTTAAAAACAAGAATGAGATTTCAAGCTTCTATTTTTTATATATCTTATATTTTTATATTTTTTTTCTTGTAATTTAAAATATTTTTTTTAAATTAATATTTTGCTATAAATTAAATTTAATCTCACAAAAAACATATTTTAATATTAGCTAAGGTTCCAAATTAGTGTCTTAAATAGTTTAAAGTTCTCTGCCCGGCCTCTGGTTATAATTAATTATATAAATTTAGTCACTTTTAAGAGGAAAAATACAGTCTTTACTACTCTTTTGATCTTGTTCAAATTGCAAATAATACAAAACAAATTTTTGCTGGTTAGACGGAGACACCTTGGCGGCACACACAACAGATAATCGCTCTCAAAAATCTCACCCGCCCCACTAGCGATCATCTTGCATAATAATCATTCACTGCGGTCGCGGTCAAAATGAGTCAACTGTAAGGGTGATGATGGAGACACCATCTCGGCCAGAAGCACTCAGTATCCAGCAGCCAGAGTACCCAACCCAAACGAACGATCGTCGATTCTCTCGCGTGACGAACGCCCGCCAGCCCGCCCGCCTGCCGCTCCAATTGAACCCGATGTTAATTGCTGTAAATGACGGAGCTTGGCTTGGGTTTCTGTTATGGCCCCACGGGAGAAACAATTGGCGTAAATTTATGCGGCACTTGATTGAAAAACGAATCGTTTTTCCCAATAGAAACACAGAGAGAAAGTAGGAAAACAATATAAATAGGGGAATTTTTAAGATAACCAACTTTTTAACCATACATTTTTACAAATTAAATGTAATATTTTAAAATTTAAATATTAAAATTAATAAAATAAGTTTCTAATAATCTATAATCTATACTTTCTTAGAAAATCTTGTTATAACTCTACAATTATTTCCTCAAGTGTTTCCTTTGATTTGCAAAAGCTAGCAACCGTTGACGTAGCCAAAATAGTAAAATTTTTGCACAGTGACCCAGTTTCGGGAGAAGAGAGCATCTTTAATTGCCGCTTTTCGGGGTGAAATTGGTCCCAATATAACAAGGTGTGAAGGACGAAAGACGAATCAATAAAAGATGAATCGTACCATATATATTTTCAAATGCAAAACTATTCTGACGCATAGAGAGAAATATATACATATATCATCGCAATTTGGTTAGATTAAATCAATTGCCTTGAATTGAACCGCAATTGCAAAGGCTCAAGCTGAACATATACAAAGTATCATCCATAAACAAAGTGATGATATAGAAATAATAAATGCTGACATTTATATATAATTTAACAAGTATTTAACATTATTCATCGTCTTATCAATTTCACTTAATAAAATTCCCAGAAGAGTCGCTTGCAAAAACAACTCGAAAATGCCCTGATTATAGTCCTAGGAATTTTAATTTTTAATTAGCCTTGAACTTGAACTTGAACTATTTAAAAGTTAATATTAAAAACAAACAAAAAACCCACTGATAAGAAATTGCAATGGAATGTCAAGAACTTATTTACGAATTTTATCTTATTTTTCGTTCCCTATTTGTTGCTCATATATACAAACATATACATTCCCATTCCCATTTGTTTTTTTTGTTTCAAATTCCTTATCGCAAAACGTCTCTTATTCAGTTAATGTTCCAGCTGATTGTCAGCAATAAAAACACATGTTCTTTATAAGGGGACATGGGTTAGTCAGCCATTAAAGCCAATTTATATATAATAATAATTCAAATATTTTTAAAGCGGTTTTAATTTCAGTTTTTACTAATTTTAGTATATATTTATATATAGCAAAAAACTAAAGTAAATCTCCTACGAAAACTGTAAATTTTGCTATTTTTTCATTGAAAGGTATGCAGTTATAGTTGCATCTATATATTTATATATATATATATATATATTTGTCATTAGCAAGATAACACAAGCAAAGGCAGAGTATACTTGACAAGCTCTTTATATTCATATCTATACAAACGTACTCTTTTCCGTTTCATTTAGAGTTTGGTAATAATTCTAGAAACTGGTTTATAAAAAATCAGCAAACTAAATAATTTATCTAGAGTCCAAAAAGTTAAACATTTTATTAAAAAAAAAAAAAAAAAAACTTGGAAACCAAAATCAAAACTAAACCCCTTTTAAGGCCATTATAAACTCTAATTATTGTTTGATTATTTTAAATCACTCTTTTATATATATATATATATATATATATATATATATATTTATATATATATTTAAGTAGTAGGCGTTTTTGTCTCACCCACAAATTAGCAATACCTGAGTTTATCAGTGCTGTTCTCTCCCCCTTTTGTCAACGCCACACAACAACTGGCAATTTGCGTCGCACGCTTTTTATCTAAACTTGTCCCGGGTAATTGACAAACACCCAGTGCACGCAGCTCCAGCTCCAGTCCCCCTCCTCCTGCTCATCCAATGTGCATTTGTATTGCAACGGACAAAACGTAGCCAAAGTGGCAACACATTAACAGTTCTTGGTTACCCGTTAGGCGGAAAAGCTTATCGCTAGATCGCAGGGCAGGTCTGTCTCCCAAGAAACCAGCAACACCAACCAAATGATCATGTTGATCATGATGATGATGATCTGGTGCTAATGATCTGCCCATGGCCAAGAGATACAGTGACAAACGATGCATTTGTCGAGATCACAGAAGCGCAGATGTAGCAAATCTTGCAGATTTTGTGGACACAATAGAGCATAGTTGTCTCTGCTCAAAAAAAAAAAATGGGAAAGAAAACAAAGCCACCATGAATAATAATGAGGTCATTCAATGGAAGATGAATGGGAGTTAAGACTTCTCCCACTTGAACTTCCGTATAATGTTGTCTAATCGGTGACATGAACTTTATACTATATAGAAAAGGTCTTGCTACTACAACTCCAATTTCACAGCTCCAATTTCTGTTGCAATTTAATTACGCCGGAGTTAAGTTCAAAAGAAGGAATGTAGTACAGATAAAGGAGGTTTATATAGCATTTTCTTTGAGTATATTTCTTTAAAATAGAGCTCTGAAAGAAGAGCCAGTCATCTGGGCTAAAATTCGACCACAGACAGAAAAAAATAAAACCTGTTATATATACATAATTTAAGTTCGTTTTTTGGTTGCCTTGGCTTGATTAAATAAAAATAGCAAAAACTGTTCTATAAAACATCAGACTTGATCACTTGACAGCCAGTTGGGAGTAAAAAACCCTGAAAGGAAGCCGAAGTTTGTATACCCTTTGCTGGTTGCTATTTAAAATTTTTTACATTTATTTTTTATAGAATTAAAGTTTAATAAAAAACCCATAACTAACTCAAAAATACATTAAATTCAATTTGGAAAGCTTTTCTGTGCTAGTTTTTACTAGGTTAAAAAATCAGCATACTGAATTTTAAATTGAAAAAAATTAAAATTTTCGACAAAAATTTTTGACAATTTTAACAATGTAACCCCTTATAAAATTTTTGCAAAAATTCTAAAAAATTGTTTTCCTCCCGACATGTCTTAAAAGACTAGCCTGTTGATGCTGATCAAGAATATATATGATTTATGGGGTCGGAAATGACTCCTTCACTCCGTTCCAAGCTTCTGACTGAAATTATAATACCCTGTAAGGGTATAAAAATACCTAGTAAAATGAAACGAAAATATATTACTTTTCTCTCAGAAAGATAGATATTTTTAAGCTAGACTTTTAAATTAACATGTCTGACTTAATAGATCGATAATATTTAATTCGTTTTAAGTTTTTAGTAATATTTTAGGATATGATATGATCACAGTTAAGAGCTCATGATGAGAGATACCACCATCTGCCACTCAATAAATACATATTTATTTAATTTTAAAATTTATATTCGAGCAACTGCTGTTGATCTGTTTTGACTTTTCAGCTGGTGAGTACGTGAATACTTGGAGAGAAATGAATATCAACTGACTGTGACCACAGTTATGACTCAGTATTTCATTTTATACCCTATTTTTAAAATATATCTATATAAATTGTAGATCTAATAATCAGAACGGTAATATCCAATCAATCATTGTGTCAAAGACTTGTTTGCAGTGAGTGTTTTAGAACTAATACACGGGATATTCCAATCAGAATGTTTTTGAATACCCTATTTAAATAAGACAATATTTTCCCAATAACATTTCCCAGTTGGCACAAACCGCAAGAAAGGGGGAGTACCGGAAAAGCCTCAAAACGGGACAAATGTGATTCAGACGGCCGGAATTTGACCCACAACACAACCCACTGATTGGAAACTGCGAAACGGGGAAAGCTGGAGAAGGGGGGGTGGGTGTTGTGCTGGTGATAATGGACAGTGGCCAGTAGCCAGCTGCTGCTGCAGCAGAAGCAGATTGAAACAATGAACGAACGCCCTTGATAAGCGATGCGGTACCAGTAGCGGGCTGCCGCCAAGCAGAGTCCAATGGGAATTGTTACAGACATACTCATTCATGTATGATTGCAAATAAGAATCTGAATGGGAAGGGGGCGGGGGCGGGCATATGAATGGCACTGCTTCTGGTAAGTTGGCCACGCAGATAACCAAATTCAATGCACTTTAACTGATGCCAAGCGGGAAGTAAAAATAAACCTGAGCGATAAGCAGACAAAGAGCACTAAAATAATATACTCGGCCAACTGAGTCAACACAATACACAAAAGAAATACAACAAATATTTAACAGAAAATTTGTTGTCTTTAAAAGCGACACGGGCAGGTTTTTCGTTTTGCTCTTGACGTTTTTCCAATGGGAAAAACCATCAGCAGAAGAAGGGAAGACAGAGAGAGTGAGAGAGAGGGTTGCATGTGCAGTTAGCCAGCAGCTGAGAGCCGGTGCGCAAGGTTGCCACCTGTCGGTAGCAAAACAAGAAAGACACACAACCCAGCAAGCAAAGTTATTAGTACAAAGTAAAAACCTTGCTTAAAACACCGGAATAACGGCTGAAGGCTTTTATTTCTGTGCCAAAAAAGAGTCATATCAGACTCAGAAATTGCCCTCTTAAAGTATGACCGTTTTCAAGGAAAAAATGCTCTTTCCGAAGTCTTTTTTGGACACTTTATGATATAAAAAAAGGCTCATAAAAAACTATTAGAAAACGCTCATATTGCTTGCTGGGACTACACCAACACACTAACACTAGCACTAACACGCGCGCCAAAAGAGTTGCCAGCTTTGGGTTTTTCTTGCGCTGCTTCTATTTCTTCTTTTTTGCCTTTTTTTTTCTTAAACCGCTGACCAATCCAGGGTTTAAATTGCAAATTGCGACAAAAACAATGAGCGTATTTTTGTGCCTTAATCAGAGTGCGCCACAAATTTCAATTGGAATATGCAGATTGTTGTTTGTTGTATTCTTTCATTCCTCTTGTTTTGTCTTTTTGTAGTTTTTGTAGCTTGGTGGCGACGTCGCGCAGATGGAAAATTGTTGCACGTTAAGTGGAGCATGGCGCAAATGATCGCGGCGCACAAAACAAAACTCAAAAAATAAATGCAGGGGCGGCGCGGGAGTTTGGTTTTTGGTCTTTTTTTTTGGGCAGGGGCCACAGGACGTTGCCTATTTTCACACTCTGCTGCACCCACACACACACACACACAATGCCGTTGTTGTTGTTGTCAATTAACGCATTTGATGTGCCAGCACACGAAAAAAAATCATAAAAAAATACAACATGGCAGCGGTAAATTTCACCATACGAAAAAGTACCAACCAAAAGCAGCCCCCCCCTCCAGCCAATACGCTGATGATGATGATTTGTCTTTTGTACACTTTGTGTACAAACAACAGCCCATAAATACACCTTCCGCTGATGACTGGGCCGTAAATAAGCGTGTGTGCCTGTTTTTTTTTGGATCCCTCTGCATATTGGAGTTTTAAGTTTAGGTTTTTCCTCATTTTTCTCATTTCTTCACTGCGTACAACGTAAAATAACAACCAGATTTACAGTCAACACACACACACACACACATATATATACACAACACGCACACCGAGGTGGATAAGACAGAGAGGGCAAGGGGAAGAGAAAAGGACAGCGGAATGGATGTGGGTTAGCGTTTCCCCAATTAGCTCCTGAAGGACACTTACACCTGGCCGTCGCGCCGTGTAGCGAACTGCATACGGCTAAAAGGACCGCAATCTGAGCGCACGCACTACCGACACTCTTCGCCATTTTTTGTAACCTTTCAGCAACCGTTTCCAATAAGAAGTAAAACACGATAGCAGTGTGGCCGTCCGAATGAGAAGTAAAATAGTTGTTGTGAAATCGTGACATTTTTTTTGCCCAAATACCTAAATCGCGATATTTTTATTTGATATTTTTTGATATTTTCTCCCCGGTCACTCTGAATTTCAAAGATAAATCGATGAATCGATTTTTTCAGCTTTTTTTTTTTTGTATTTTTTAGAGCACCAGAAATACCAACTTAATCGATTAGTTAATCGAAATTTTTCTTATCTAAAAATATATTTTAGTATTATCAGAGCGCGTTTTTTGAACTTCGCTTTTAAAAGATCTTCAGCCACGAATAAAGTTAGAAAATATGATGTATGTAAATAAGGTAAGCGCAACAATTTAATTTAGCATTTCAATTTAGATGAATGCAACTGGTGTAGCATATTTGTGTACAGAATATAGATTTTATATATACCTGTGTAAATATTGGGAAATTTGTATAAATTTGATTTTGCAACAGCAACTACTGGTGTTCCTCGTTCAAGTCCTCCCATTCCATGGGCACGTTTGGGGGACGAAAGTTGTCCTGAAATTGACAGTGAATAAGGATAAGACGATTGAAAAGGTTAAAGGAAATGACCTACAGATTGCTCATACAAGATATTCAAAAGCAGTCGTATTTTTGGCATTCGTTCAATATTTTGAGATTCATGGCAACTGGAAAGGTAATTAGGTGGATTAGATTAGCTCCAGGACTAGAGCAAGTCAACTTACATAACCTCAATGTCGCGACATTTGGAATAGAAGACGTCCCGCTCTCTCAATACTTTCTTGAAGAGCTTTTCCGCCATGGTTGCCAACGGCTGATCAGTGCCCATGAAGCTGGAATCGAAATCAGGCTTGTGGGACATCAAACTGGTGTTCGACATTGGTTTAGGGGTCTTGTTGGCATCTGCATCGATCTTGTTTTCAATAGACTGATCTATCGGTGTGCCCGCGAATCTGGAGTTGGAGATGTTCTTTTCGTTAATCACAATGGTAGACTCATCTATCGCTCGGCCTTTGAAGCTGGTGGAGGTTACAGTCTTCTGAGAAACCAGACTGGTATTTGAGATTGGCTCAGGCTCAGGATCAGGGTGGGTTTCCTCATCAGAAGACTGATCTGTAGCCGGACCTTCATACCTCATGAAGGTGAAGGTCTTGTGGGAAATTTTGCTGATATCCGACATCGACTCGGACATATTGCTTCCACCAGACAGGCTCATTTCATCACTAGACTCATCTGTCGCCGGATCCTCCGGTTCCTTGAAGCTGGCGTAGGCTACGATCTTCTGAGACACCAGATTGATATTCGACATTGGCTCAGGCTCAGTATTGTTGTCACCTGGATGGGTTTCGACTTCACAAGAGTGATCTGTGGCCTTACCCTCGAGGCTAGTGTCAGCGATGGTCTCGTCTGAAGTTGTAGTGGGTTCTGTAGATTAATGAAAAGAGTAATTCTAAATAGATAACATAGACATTAAGTTTGATTCTTACGTGGAGTTTGTTTAATTATAAAACTAAGAAAAGGTAATTGTTTAGATTATAGCGACTTACTGGAACTCTTTTCAGGTGTCTCTTCTGCCGAGCGCTTAGGTGACACAGAAACATGTCGTTGGGTGCTGGCTCCTCCGGAAGGAGAGACCTTAGGGCCATCCTGATCCTCATCCTTGTCCTTTTCATTGGCTTTATAGAATTTTCTGAACCACTGTAAAAATTCTAAATTGTCTGTGAAACGACCTTTGACCAGTCTCTCAATGGGTATAACCTAAAGGTGAAAGGTATAAAAAATATATAAAATAAAAAAAATATATAAAATGCAAATAAAAAGGGGGAAAGAAGAGAGTTAAAAATAAGAAGCTAACTTCTATAACTCCTATCTATAAAAATAAAGTATAATTACCTTTTCTACAGACATTTTCCTGAATCCCCCCTGCAATATCTTAAAGTTGTAGATGTATTCGTGTTCCTGGTTGGCTGTAAATTTGACACGAGTTAAGGGTACTGACTTGGGGAATAGTTTGTTTAAGAACTGGCAGTAAGCAGCCCCTAAAAAGAGTAGGTGGAGGTGTCTTTGTTCAAAATTAGAAGGATTTTCAGACGATATTTACCAGTGCACAACTGTTCGATTTTGGTATACTTTGACTTGAGGATATTATTAACCCAAGCCAGCATTTCGTGGCGTGAGAGATTCTCTGCCTTTGGGGAGTAAACGTTGACTGCCCTCATAATTACTGAAGATGTTTTGTATTTTATAAAATAGAAACTGAACAAATAAAACGAAAATTTTGTAGAGCCACAATCTCTCCGAAACGATAACAAATAAAATATAAAGGCTTTTTAACCAATAGAATTAATAGAATCGGCCTTTTTACATATACTATTTTGTACGAAATTTAAATTTTAAACTTGCTTGCTTCAGTTTTCAACTAAAACTGACTAGAAAGTTTCCAGCGAATTCCCATTTGACAGGCCAAGAGCTCAAGGCCTACTTTTTGGTTTCGTTTTTTTTATTTTTTGGGAAAAACCTTAAATATGTCTTGATTTTCAAAAAAAAACAAAACGGTTGTGAACAAAGTGTGACCCTCAGAAAATACCAAACAAATAGTTTCTAGAGCGGTATCTAGTGATGGTAGTTGGGCAAGCGGATATATCGATAAACATAAAATACCAAAAGAGTATTGTACAATCGTGAGTAACAGAAAAATGTACAAACTTTAATTTATGTTAAAAATTGATATTAGAAACTAGATACATTTAATTGATAATAAATAATTGGAAAATGCAACCACAACAAAAACGGGATTGAAATATACTCAGTAGGAGCAATATATCGATAGCCACACATCGATATTATCGATACTATCGCCCACACTGGCACAGCTCTAGCAGAAGTTAAACAATCCGCACAACCCATAAACACTCGCTCCTCCGCCAGCCCGTTCGCCCAGCCGCCATGTCCGTGTCACCGAGCAGCGCGTAATCAGCCACCGAGAGCAGTCCGCCCGTCGCCACCAGCAGCAGCAGCAGCATCACCAACAGTCCCGATCCCCCAGGAGCAACAGGTTGCTCATCCAGAGTTCGTCCATTCCACGCAGTGAGCAGCAACAGCAGCAGAGCAGCGTCGCCGGAGACGAGATCAGGCCGGGATGCAGCAGCGCCGCAAGCAGGCCAACGGCAATGGAGCCTGCCCCGATGTGGACGCTCCTGAGGAGCAGAAGGAGACCGTAAAGGTGGCATCGCCACCGCGACGCGGCTGTTACTTCTCGCTGGCCTTCTCCATTGGCTCGATGGGACTGGCCTGCGGCAGCCTGTGGCAAATACCCAACACCACCGATCGCATCTCGCTGCAGCGTGGCCTGTTCATCACCTCGCTGGGTTTCATCTACTTTGTGTCGCTGACGGATTTCTGTAACAAATATCTGCTGGAGACGAGCCGGGGCCAGGAGTTTCGCCGGAAGTATCGCCTAATGATGTCCGATGTGCTGGAGATCACCAACAAGTGAGTGTTTCTTTTGGATTTTTATAAAGAGGAGGTGGCTTCGCTGATGATGCACGCACCATATCTATTGATTTTCTCTCAGCGCCGCCCACACACACGCACTCAGTGCCCACTGCACTCAATTGCCATGTGCTGCTGGCTGTGGGGAGGAGGCAGTGATGATGAATGATGATGGTTTATAATCTGGGTTGGGTGGGGAGTTGGTGGCACCCAAGAGTACTGGGTACTGTCCACTGTTCTGTGCTGTCATTTCGCCTCTGTGTGTTTGCTTTTCCACAAAACTATGCGTTTCTTTAATACTTATATAATGCGATAAATATAGGTTTTAGTTCCGAGGAGAGATTCGAATTCAAAGAAATAATGTAAATTCTTTGAATAATTCAACCTTGCCTTGCATTTATGCCTGGCAAATAATTTCTCATTTTTAATTTAATCGGAAAAAATACTTATATATAAAGGGAAAATTATAGTAATCACTGAAGAAAAATGGGTTTATTATTATTATAATATTTATTTATTTTAGTTTATATTATATATTTATTATTATATTATATTATATTTTATTTTTGTATTTTATATATATATTTACAAGTGTTTGAATATTTAAATGACCTTTTCTTAAGTGTTATATTGGGTGAATATACTTAGATTTACTTGATTATAAATTCATTTTGGTGAATAGAAGGTAAAAAGGTTTGTTATTATAAAAATATAATATTTCTTATTCGATTTTAACACTCTTCAAGTGTTTGAATATTCAAAGTACCTTTTCTAGGGCAAAAGTTATAGGCTTTCTTAGATATTATATTAATTTTGTTGTATAGAAAGAAAATAGGTTCATTATTATTATAATAATATAATATTTGGTATTCATATTTACCACTTTTCAAGTCTTCAAATATTCAAAATACCTTTCCTTTCCCTAAAACATCCCAGCTGGGGAGACTGGATACTGGACAGTGTCCCTGACTTTGTGCATGTAATTGTTAAGCGGGAACGCTGCGATTTAAGTCATCGTCGCGAGCTAGGCCAAGCGGGTCAAGGTCTTGTAGCGGGCGTGAATCGCGGGCGAGGAGGAGGAGAAGGTGGGAAGGCTGGTAGGTAGGAATATATGGATAGAACTTGTTTGGCTCAAGGCGAGCCTCTGTTACAAAAAAATGAAATCATTCTCATTCCATAGGGAAACGCTGATCCATCCATCCAACGATTGTTAAGCGGAATAAGCCCTAAACTAAATATTCAAACATTTCTCTTTCTTTTTGCAACTGGACTCCCCTCTTCTATTTTGATTTGTCTTTGTTTGTTTTGATTTTTAAGTGTGCTGTTCGGGGTTTTGATTTTGGATACCTCTCGTGCCGCTTTGTGGGCCATAACTTGTGCTTTATTGTGACTTCTTTCTACAGCATTTTGAATAATTCGTTCATTAGCAATTGCCCAACTACTACTGCTGCCCTGCTAACTATTTTCTCCCCCCCTTGTGCCGCCGTCGAGTGTTAATTAAACTGTTTGTAGAATTGTTTAGCGCGCTTAAATTGAGTTCCCAGTTCCCTCCATGCCGTGCCTAGTTCTCTCGAGTTCCGCCAGAGAGAAAGAGAGAGAGAGTGAGAGCTTTATGGCAGGTGGCGTTACACAACCCGATCTCATTCAATCTACTTTATCGCTGCCATATATACACTGGGAAAGAGAGAGATAAACTTGGATAAGCCGGGCGGCATCACATGCTTAGTTACCCTTTTGCCAGAATATATATATCTATGCACATTGTGGGTAAAGAAAAAGGAGGCTTTCTTCTCTGGAAAGATTATAAAGAAAGTGTTTTTATAATTTTTTTATAATTTAAAAGGAATTCTAGCAATTGAAATGGATTTCAAAGGGATTATTTTGCTTGAAATATTTTTATTTTCTTATTTAAAAATTATTTCCTTACCCCACATACCTCAAATATCATAAATATATAATTTATTCTCTATGATATTTTACGGAAATTTAAATGTAAAATAAATCTTTTACCCAAATTCCCTTTAATACTCTCAATTAGAAAAGTAAGTGATCTCTTTACCCTCACAACCAATCAATCTTTACAAACAATTACACAACTTTGTTGATTGAATCCAAAAGCGAATTCGAATTCGAATCTCTATTATTCAATGCCAGTGAGCAGCTGTTATTCTAATGGTCTGACGTAATGTATCCAAAATAATTGGTTTATTATCATCGGTGACTTGATCAAAGCTTTTGCTGTTTATATTATTGTTTTTATACACGTAAAAAAGATGCTAAACTAATTGTATTCCTCGCTTAGCTGACCCAGTTTCCTGTCCCAAAGTTCGTTGTAAGTAAGTTCCAATAGAAGCGGCTTCACATCCGTGTTGGCGATAAGGCAATCATTGGGAGCTTTAATGACTGGCCTCGCCTATCTGTCCCTGCCCTGTCTGCTTTGTCTCCCCTATCGGCCCAGCGATCAATGGGTGTGTGTGTGTGTGTGTGCGTGTTTAGGGTATTGGGTGTGCGGTGTGCGGTGTGTGGTGTGCGGTGTGTGGCTGCTTATCGGAATCGATTGAGGTGAGCGAGTGCGTCTAACGGCGATAAGAGGGAAGCCTATGGGCTCTCCTGTCAATGGCTTGTAGGTGCATTCGAGTAGGAACCTCACATAACGCTCTGCATGTCCCTCCTTAGGGGCCCTTGACTTTCACAATAAATCTTAATTAGGCATAGTTGAGGCTATTTAGCTTTTATTTTTATTACCGGCATGTCGTTTAGGCTTTTAGGCGGCGTCCACCGACCCAGTAACTGATATCTAAATTATATTCGGCCTGGGCCAGATGTTCTGCAGGGTAACCCATCAAAAAAAAGCATTAACTTTGATATATCGGAATTTTAAATATCGAAAAATATCGTTTTTCTATTCTTATTTTTATTTTTTGGTTCAATTTCTGCAGGATAACCTCTCGAAAAAAGCATTAGCTTTGATATATCGGAATTTTAAATATCGAAAAATATCGTTTTTTATGTTAAAAAAAATCTTTTTCTATTATTATTATTTTTATTTATATTTTTTGGTTGAATATTTAAATAATAATATCAATTTATTGCACAAATATAGCAGTTCGGCAAAGGTAACTTATCGAAAAACGCATACACCTTAATATATCGAACTTGTAGGCATACAAAAATATCGCTTCTAATATAAAAATATCAAAAATGTAACTGATTCTATTTTTTGGTTCCATATTTCAAAAGAAATATGTACTAATTGCACACAAATAGCAACGTTTTCAATTTACATATCGAAATTCGCGTTAAATATCGATCTAGTATCGATACATCAATATTTTCTGTGATCCCTACTCCCCATCCAATTGAGTAAATATACTTTGCATGTGCCAAAGGTAGCACATTGACACCTCGGGGGCCATTCATTAGGCACTGAAATCGGTGGCGATTCTAATTGGAACTAATGCCGGCCATTCGATGTGGAGACTTTGCCTCGGTTCTACTGGGTTGAGCACGATACTGCCCCCGATGAGTACGGGGGCCTCGGTGGGGCGTCGAGGTTCAATGGGCACTTTGCACGGTATTTACTAGACGGAATCACGTCCCTCTAATTGATTGCATAGGTCTACAGGGCGCGACATAAATGTAGGTCATATATTTTCATATATATTTGGAATATTCCAGGTAAAGTTTATTATCTTTGATCGCTTAATTAACCGAATTGAATATGAATTAGTACACTTGTACTTGCTCATATTCTAATTCAAGTCATTGCAATTCAATCACGAAACGCACTGTACGGAGGGGGTACACTTGGGGGAAAAGGCCAATCTAGCGACTATGAAAGCTACTTGAAATTTGCACTCTAACAATGAGATGCATTTCTTGTTTATTATTTGGTCAAAGAACGAGTTACAAGTTATTGTTTTTAACAGTTAATCTCAATATCCCAAGGTTTACAAATAGAAAAACTTGAAAATTAAATGAATAAAGTTATGAAAAAATAGTTAAGCCATAAATTAAATTATTTCCTAGACAATTTAGAGGTAATTCGATTCCATTTCCAGCGATTGCGGTTTCTATTATCACTTCCCATTAGTCTCCCTGAGACCTGCGGGACGGGGGCTAGGTCCTGTGCTAATGACCAACATCCTGACATTGAGCTATCGTGTCCACAGCGGGGGGGTGGCTCTCTTCCCAGTCCCAGACACCCTTGAACTTTGCAGGTGCGGCGTTAGGTGATGATGTCACCGCCTTCGTCAAATGGGCACACACACTTCAGGAGGCCTCAATTAAATTATGACTTGCTCCCCCCCAGAGCTCTGGTTTTGATTTTGGCCTCAGATTTAAGGCGTTTCGATCCATTTCAGAATGATATGGGAAAGTGTAAATTAGTTAGAATTTTAATAATATTAATTGTTTATGGAATGATGTTTGGATTTATTAGCGACAAGGATCTAAAATGCCATCTTTTTCTGCCCTTCCAGGATTTTTTAATTTCAATCAAAAGCTTGCAAAATAGTAAAGTAGCGATTTCCGACCCCATAAATCATATATATTCTTGATCAGCATCAACAGGCGAGTCTTACTAGCCATGTTGGAAAGAAAGAAATTTTTTTTAAATTTTTTCCAAATTTTATAAGGGGTTACATCGTTAAAATTGTTAAAAATTAGCAAAATATGCAATTACAAAAAACCCTAAAATGTAGTATGCTGTTTTATTAATATTTTAAAAACTAAAACAAATCCGTTTTCCGTTTTGAATTTAATACATTTTTGGCTGAGTTATAGATTTTTAAAATTTTAATTTTTCCTCAAAAATTATTGCACAATTTAAAAAAATTTTTAAAATTCTTAAAAATGTACTAAAAAGTGTATCTCCCAAAATGTTAAATGTTAAATTAGTATGTAGATGTAATAACCTTATAAAAACGAACTGAGAACAGTTTTCCGATTAAAAATTTGAAACTTTTTTGACTTTGTTTTAATATTTTTAAAGGTTTACTTATTTTTTAAAAAATTATTACATAAAATTATGGATAAATATTTACGTTTTTATAAACCTTTAAGGTTTTGATTTGATTTTTAGCTTAGTTATTTTATTTTGATACAATTCTTAATAAATCAATTGCAAGCTGCTAGAGTATAGCTTCCTTTTTTTCTTTAAAATTTTGTTTGGTTTTCTTTGTTTATATTTGTTTTTTTTAAATATATATATAGAATCCTACCGTTTTTTTTTTATTTATTGTTCCCCCTTAACAATAAACTCCAGTATCTTTTTTATTTTCATTATATTATGTAAAGCCCAAACATAAAAAAAAAACCAAAGAGTATGCTCGGTACAGGACTCATGCCGGGAACAACCTTCATTTGCGACCCTTGACCTTGCCCTTGCCACGGTTCTTGCCTTTGCCCTTGTTGGAACCCTTCCTACCCTTGCCCTTCTTGGACTGGCTTCTGGTTCCCTCGATGCTGCTGGAGCTGATGGAGCTGCAGCTGCTGCTGCTGGAAATGCTCTGAAAGGCAGACGTGGATCCTCGGCTTAGAATAACAGGCTCGGGATGGAAGCTTACAGACTTGGGCATGGAAATGGTTTCCTGATTTTCCTGCCCCTGCTGCCCCTGCTGCCCCTTCTCCAATCTAAGTTGCATTCCCTGCCACATCTCCTCCTCTCCATCATCCTCCTCCTCAATGCTCTCGTAAGTTATTGTCCGTATCATGGGCTTGCAGTCCACTTCTTTGAGGGTTAGAAGCAGTGGCTGATGGTACAAGATGGGAGCACCGGTGGCCGTGCAGAGACGTGTGGGCTTTGCCTGATAGTTGACCACCGAGGTGCGTGGCACTGGCTGTGCTGTTCGTCCGCTCCAGACTATAACCGGCGTGTGATGTCCTTCGTCTTCAGCCATGACGTCTCCGCCGCCTCCTCCGATGCTTTGAAGTGGCTGGTGATGATCTTGGTACTCCGTTGGCGGTGGTGGCAATTGTTCAGAGCCTCCAACAGCTCGTGCTCGGCGTTGAGGGCTGCGACGTCTACGATTTAGATGCTCGTCGGGAAAGGGCATCTGCTCCAGCTGCTCTAGCATGGGCATGTAGCGGGACTTGAGCTTGAGAGGGGGCACCTTGTAAGGAGAATTTAGAGCAGCTTCCGGGTCATAAATGAATGTTGGTTTCTTCTTAGGTTGATCTTTCTTTGCTTCGACTTTTGGGGCATCCTCCAGTCGCAAAGGGGCTCCTCCAAGAGCTGCCAGATCAGGATCTAACTTTTGCTGTGCCTCCTCGAGCTTTAGGCTGCCAGTGGCAGCTCTCCTTCGCTTGGCCCGCCTCGAGAAGCGGCGATTGGCCGGTGGCACTCCATTGAGATGCCGCACCATCGGACGGTAGAGGTAGCGCACCACCTGGGGCTTGCGACCGCGCTTTAGGGGAATGGAAACAAAGTACTGGTAGCTCATGTCGATGCCATCCTCCATGGTCCTAGGCACTTTGTGCTGGGCCTTACGCACAATCTTGCCACCGGCGGCAGCGGTAACCAAATCTACCTGCTGCTGCACCTGTCTGGGCTGCTGTTGCGGTTCAGGAACTGGGACAGCTGGAAGACGTGGTCGTGGGATTCGGTTCAGCGACACTGGTTGGGCTATTAAGGAAGATCGTTGAGTGCGAGGACGACACCAAAGAGAGCCTTGAGAGAGTGGGAGGTGGGTTTGATTGTGGAAGGTATTTCTGGAGGGAATGGAAGAGGGCAAAGGGTGCTTCCTGGAATGCTCTCCTCGAGGAGTTTTGGGTTCACGATCTCCTCGATCGCCTGGTGTATTTAAATATATATCGTAGTTGTGGCCAATGGCTTCCTTGGAGTCGCTCATATAGGGATTCAAGCGCTCACTCCCATCCTTCTTAGCCTGATCCTGGGCTGCGCTGATCATCTGCTGCTTCATGGGCTGAATTACCCAGTCACTCTTGGTGGTTAAAGGCTCACCTCTGATCTGATCCGACTTGGCTTGATCCATTAATAAATAAATTGAAGTCTTCCTGTCCAGTTTCAGTGATTCTTTCTCCTCCTTTGGTGTTGCTAGATCCTTCTTTTTGGCTGGCAAAGTTAACAAATCTTCTCCCACTGCCTTCCTTAGCTGAGCCGTGAGTTGATTCACCATTTGGTTTACCGACTGTCCAACACTGAGCTTGGACATCTTCAACTTGGGCATATTCAAGGGCGGAGCTATGGGCTGACTCAGAGGTGCATTCATGGCCGGATCCTTGGCTCCCTTCGTCTGGCACAGGGAGTTTGTTTTGGATCGTAGCTTGCTTTTGCTTAAATGCTTTCGTCTTTTGGCCTTGTTGGGCATAATCTTAATCACCGTTGATGTCAGCTTGATGGCCTTAGAGCCGGTTCCGCGATATCTAGGAGTCATGCGCTCCACACTGCACTCGGTTCCGCTGGTGCTGAGGCTGCTGTTATTGCTGCTTATGCTGCAGTTGCTCCTTGTGGCTGGCTTGGCCAGGGTTATTTGGCTGGGACATGAACTGGAGCTTAGACTGCTTATGGTACTGGAACTTAGAGGCTTCTCAATGGAACACAAGCTGTGGCTTCTGATCGGTGGCTGGTCTCCGGCTTGACTGTGGCTCCTGGTCAGTGGGTGGTCTCCTTCTCCGCTTTGACTGGGCTTGGGAGAGGCTGGAAGGGAGGCTAAGTAAGGGTTTTCGGTTTCGTTGGACTGTACCAGGGTCTTCTGCAAAGCCTGGTGAATAAGAGAAGCGTCTTTCGGAGAAGCGTTCCTAGGAGAAGTGCGTTTGGGAGAAGCATTCCTCGGAGAAGAGTTCCTAGAAGAAGCTTCCTTGGGAGCAGTTTCCTTGAAGGATTTACTAGTGAGAATACGAGAAGTGGGATTGTGGCCATAACGCTGCATTAACTTGTTCCTCCGCGGACGCATTTGCAGCAACTGGGCCTGCAACAGCTCCTCGGAGTGCATAATCCTCTGGGTGGGCACACAAAACACACGCGAACTACGCTTTTTGGGACGAACCAGTGGCTCCTCCGGCCGACAGGAGGATTTAAGCAAATTTACCAGTTTCTGTGAGAGATTAGTGGACTCCAGTCTCGCTTTGCTTACGCTTTCGCTGGCACCGCTGCAACCTCTGCTGCTGCTGCTGCTGCTGCTGCTGCTGTTGCTACTGCTACTGCTGCTGCTCCTGGTTCTGCCCTTCCGCCACCTTCCTTCCTGCAACTCCAAGACCCCATCTGGGCGACAGTCCTCCGAGGAAGACTCGCTGCACTGTACAAAGTTTTTCGAGGGTTTCATGATCCACTCGATCTGTCGGAAGCAGCGACGTGGGGCACCCATAGAGACCATCGTAGGTGGTCTGGGTCCTGGGGCAGTGGTTTGAAAAATTCCAGTGGGAATGGGACCACCACCACCACCAGTTAAACGCTTCATGGTGACAGGTCGGCGGCGATCAAAGGCAGCCACAACACCAGCTCCTGTTCCCTGGCCTGCTCTAGCTCGTGCTCCAACTCCTGCTCCTTCGCCTGCCCCAATCTGTGGCCTTCGTTTGCGATTGGCTTGAACGCCTTGTGGCTTTGCTGCTGTCCTGGTTTTTGGCACACGATCTTGGTAATGGTGGCGCACTCCTGTAAAGAAGGTCGACATATCCTGGGACATGGCGCTTACATGAAAATTTGTTTTGGCAAAAAGAAAAGAAGGTCGAACACTAGGTCGAAATTGGAATTTGTACTGAGTGAAGTTTTTTTTTTGCTAAATTTAAAAACGATTTTGATATATTTTTTTTAGAGAATTTAACATGCTGATTGTTGAAAGGATTAAAGAGCAATGAAAGAGGGAAAAAAGCCTACTGCTTTGGGGGTTTTTTAAATCCGAGAAAAAAGAGAATAAACCCACAGCTAGCCTTGACTTTTATGTGTACAATTCTATGATCCATCAAAACCCCATCAAAAATTCCTAGTTAACCCCACCAGAAGACTTGAGACTGAGACGAGGACCATGTGTGATCCTGGCAAAGCCCGCAACCGGATGGAGAGTATTCACATCTTGGAGGCTCTGAGCTGTTTGCTCGGTGTCACCCAATACCAGGTGCTCTCCACCCTGTTTCAACTGGCCTACCACGAGCACCATCCACTCAAGCGTTTTAATCGCTGCCCCGCCTGGTCGGTGATGGAGCGCATGGAGGTTCCCTTCACCTGTCTGCCTGATCAGAGGATCTACGACAGCCTGTACGATCGCTGGGGTCGTCCAATCGATCCGCTAGACAAGAGCAATGCCTACAAGCTAATGCGCTTGCTCTTCCTGACCCCCTTGCTGGTGCCCCAGCAGCGGAACCAGCTCCAGATCATGCTCAACAAGCTTAACAGGCGAGCCAAGAGACCCGTGAATCTGGAGGAACTGCTGCCGGTTCTGGCGAGGCTGAAAATAGGGGAGGTGGTGTGTAATGTCTTGGAGCGAGATCTACGGCCGCTTTGGCGAAAGGCTCCTCGTGGGAAATGTAATCCAGAGCCACGCTCTCGGTATCTGCCTTGGTGAACAATAGTCATGGTCTTGGTTTCAAATCTTCTGTAAATTGTGGAGTTTATTTATCTGGGCTTTTGGTTATTGGGTGGGTCCTATGTCCTGCGCTTGTGACGCGGCCTGGGCAGGTACTCATTGATGATCTGCTCCTCGAGCAGACCCGTGTAGGTGGTTGGAATGGCCATCCTTTTCGAGGGATCTGCACAGTTCTCGCTGGAAGAGCTCTCTCGGCCGGTTCGTTCTGTGATTTCTGGGGGGGATCTGCCTTGACTCAGGATCTGTGTGGCATCATGCTTGGCTTTGAGTTCGTCTAGGAAAATGGCCAAGGCCGTGGGCTTCTCCTCCTGCTCATGCTCAACTTTTTTAACACGGGAGGAACCACCAGTTCGTCTTCGCCTGGAGCGGGAACACATAGTTCTCGGACTCGCGAAGGGTTCACCGCGAAAATCCATGCCAGAGCCAAGGGAAATGAAGGCTCCCGAGTCGGGCCCTCTTCTCCCTTCTCTGGCTGATCTTTTCGCTGTGCTCCCTCTAATAAATCTCGCCGCTGATGCCTCCCTGCTGCTCCATGTCCTCTCGCCGGCCCCGCTTCCTCGCGAGTAATAACTGCCGCTGGTCAGACTTTCTCTTTGCGGTTGGTGGCCAAGCCAGTCGGAGTAGAGGCAGGAGCTGTCTCTTCCAGTCTGTGGCTGATAGCAAGAGTCCAAACTGCATCTACTGTGTCTCGATCTGTGCCGAGGTCCACCCATGGCCTGAACCAGACCCCGAAGGCCTTGGGCAGCGGCTGCAATGGCCCCTTCCCGATCTGAATTGAAATCCGGCTGAACCTGGTGGCCAAGGGCATAAGTATATGGCTGGTGCCATGGCCTGGCATCCGGAAAGGATTCCTGCCCTGGCTGGCAGTAGAAATCATTGTCCCAACGCTGGTAGCTAGGTGGCTCTGGACGATAGAAGGAGTTGTTCCCACTGGAATAATATTCATCTGGCGGTGGCCGTTTCGTTCGTAGCCTGGTGTGTGTATAGCGATGCTCTTGCTCTTCCCAGCGCATAGTATTCTTCAGAAAGGAAGTCTTATTGCTGCAAATCTTGAACCCGGAATCTGGAGGCGATGGGGGACAGGGTTCCTGGTATCGGTAGTACTGCTCTTGCTCCTGCTGCTGCTCCTCCTCCTCCTCCTCCGGTGGTGGCTCTACACTGGCCACCGATGGCGCCGGGGCACAGGGACACCGCATGCTGTCAGTGTTGGAACTGAGGGCCCTTATGGAGCAGGTGGTGTGCATGGAACGACAACTGAACTTGTTTCCAGTTGCCCTGCCTGGCTGGGTCTCGGTGTAGTAGCGACGACCTCGTGTTATGTGCTCGGATGGTTCAACAGACGAAGCAACTGGTTGAGCTGCCTCAAAGGAAGTCTCCGGCTGCATGGGGGCAAAGGACAGCATTGGTTGGATGGGCGCATAGTTGTATACTTGTCCTGGTGTCTCAAAGGATGAACGTTGCGAGGCATGTCCACTGCTTAAGCAGGCCATGGCTGGCGGAAGCCACTGATTCGGGAGGCATCTTCTCCGAAAGCTTGGCCTCGAAGAGGGGACATCTTGGCTGGGATTCTGTCGAGACTCCTGCGGAGGCCAGCAGGAGCAGCCTGAAGAAGCCTTTGAGTGTAAGCTCTGATGGCTTCTTTCGTAATCCGCCCAAGGCGAACAGAAGGGTCGGCGTCGCCGCTGTGACCAAAAAGAGGCCATCGATACCTCCTTGGTTTTGGTTGTGGCATTTCTCCTAGACGGACGGTCGTTGTCCTGGCACCGCTTGGGCCTATGACAGGCAGAAGCCTCGGATTGACGGTAGTTACTGGAGGACCGCTCTCGCTGCATCCTTCCCCCCGAGGAACTGGAGCCGCAGGAGGTGGTCCGCCCTTGACTGGGCTGCTCCAGACTCTTTAGTCTCTGGTAACTGTTTTGTTTTCGTTCTCGTCTCCTAGGAATTGGACTCCTGCAAGTGATCTTTCGTTTGGGGGGACTTGGCTCCTCTGACAAGGTACTGGTACATTTTCTGGGATTCTCCTGCGAGATCTCTTCCTGGTGGGTACACTTGCAGACCATGGAAACGAAGGAGCTCTGCTCTGTGACCGTTTGGCTCTCCGTATTGCTGTGGCTTTCGGTTGAGGGAATGCCACGCTGGTCCTGGCTCTTACTGGTGGTCACACAGCTAACGAAATCCATGGAGCTTTGCTCGGAACTCATTGGACTCTCTGCTTGGTTTTGGCAGGCGCAATCGCTGGGCTCTGGCTGAGCAGGTGAGGGATACTCAAGCAAGGTCTTGGTGCTCTGCCGCCGACATATCTGGATGGGATTCATACTTGACTGCTGGCTACACAGTCTAGGTGGGTCGTCGTTGGTGGGCTGAGGATCTTGGGTATTCTGTGCTGGCGCTGTGGTTGCAGATGCCACCTTTGGCTTGGGTTTCAACTTCGTCTTGGGCTTGGAAGTAGGCTTTGGCTTGGGTTGGTTTGGAACCCTAGGCTTTGGTTTGGTTTTGGGAGCCACCTGATCTGATATCTTCTTGCGCTTTATACGCCGATTGTTGAGCCTTGGCCTGGCCACGCGTTGCATCAACTGCTGGTAGTCGTTGCCCCAGTGAAGACCCCGTGGACGAAAGCCACTAAAAGGGTGGAGGGTATAGAGGGATTGCCTTCTTGGCATGGTTAGCTTAGGGGCTCTAGGTGGAAGCTCCTCGTTAGCTGATTCCTGGGTTTCGTTGGGAAGGTAGGCTGCGGCTTGACTGGGTTTAGATTTCCTGGATCTTGATGGTTGTCCTTGGTGATTGTAACCCGATGCATCTGCCTGCTGTAACTCAGTTGCCTCGATAGGGATGTCCTGTGTATCCCGGGAGCTCCAATCGCATTCACACTGGTGGGTTATGGATAAAGTCCTGGCTGGCTCTTGCTCAAAGGATACACTGGACCTTGAGTCACCAGGAACCTGAGGAAATCCCGCCAAGGTGCATTCGCTGGGCGGCGTATTAAAATTTAAGCTCTGATCGCTGGTTAGCTTTGATAGCTCCTCCTGCTGCTGCTGCTGCTGCTGCTGCTCCTCCTCCTTCTCGTAAACTGAAGGCTTCAATGTGGTGGTGCTATCCTCCGCCTGAATTTCCTTCACCTTATCCGTCTCCGGCAACTTTCTTTTCACCTTTTTCCAAGTGCAGGGCGCAGGAGTTGAGATAAAGAGTTGTGGTACCCCTGCCTGGTCCAACCCCTCCTGCGGGGTTAGATGCCTCTTTGGCTGAATCTGTTGCTGTTTGGCATACTTGGCTCGGTTGTGGTGCAGGTTATACAGGAGATGGCGACCCGGATTGGTAACGCGCTTGCAGAGGCCAGTCAAACCGCCCAGGATGTGCTTCTTTCGGTTCGAGGCACTGCACAGGGTGCAGCCGGAGGAAAGAGGCGTGTACAGGGAAGATGCCGTAGGAGGAAGACGCTGATGGGGCATAAGATAAAGATTGGATGATAGAGGAGCCGGCGGAAGAGAAGGAGTACGCAAAAGGCGAGGCTTAGGAGGAGCTTGGGCATAGAGCCCTGGCAAATAGGCGTTACTGTAGGCATTCCTAAACTGCATCGTCGTCGATGGACGAAAGCAGCTACACCAGTTACACCGACGCTTCTTCGGAGTCTTGGCCGGACGTTTCGGGGCCGCGGCAGTGCCCTCCAGTTGCTCTTGCAGTTGCTGCTGCTGTTGCACCAACTGCTCCTGCTGTTGCTTCAGCTGCTCTTGCTGTTCCTTTAACTGCTCCTGCTTTTCCTGCAGCTCCATCTGTAGTTGCTCTTGCTGTTGCTTTAATTTCTCCTGCTTTTCCTGCTGTTCCAGCTGGATTTGCTCTTGCTGCTGCTTTAACTGCTCCTGCTTTTGCTGCAGCTCGAGCTGTCGCTCCTCTTCGTAACCACTTCTTACGGAGGAATAGTTTGACAGGGAATTTTGGGTTTTATAACGTCGTCGCGGACGCTCTTGGTAGGAGCAGAAGGAGACCATCTCTCCCCTGGCTGAGCAGGTCTCACTGTTGCAGGGCTGTATATCCTTCCATTCCTGCTCCTGCTGGGGTTCCTGGGAGACTAGGGAAACCCTCCGCTTCTTGGAATTTCTTCTCTCGTTTTCCATTTCTTGCTTCATCAATTTTTCTTCCCCATCTTCCCTATCTTCCTGATCTTCCCTCCACTTGCTGCTTGCCTTCTCCAGCTGCATCTCCTCATCCTCCACCTCCTCCTCTGGTGGCCTACTATTCTGACCCGCCAACCGGTAGGGAGACACCACTGCAGTGGCCACCGCCTCGTCGCCCAGACAATGCTGCTTCTGCCAGGCCTCCTCCTCCACAGAGCTGACCTTCCTCTCGTCCCAGCTATCCATCGGAATCCCATACAGCGGGCAGCTCTCGCTCATGGCCGTCTCGTAGGCATCCAAAAGGCAAAAGAACTCTGGAGATATGCGGCGAAAGGCGGCCGGATCAAGACGTCGATGAGGTGCCTTACGGAGATCGTTCTTACGGCGATTCAGCATGGGCTCTGTTCGTCTGGGCGAAAGGCAGTCCCTGCTGCCTTCCTTAGTGGTGTCCTTGGAACCGAGTAAACAATTGGTTTGCCTCTCCTCCAGCGTGGCCCCGCTGTCCATGAGAAAGGGATTCCGTGATTTGGGCCCTGTGATGGGCAGACACTCGGCAGACACCAAGCCTCCTCCATCCGGGCATCTTCTTGGCTGCTCTGGACACTTTCTGTCTTCAAGGCAGTGACTTTCATCCCGACTGGCCAGGCCACTGCTGAGGGCGGCCAGCTCCTCTGCGGAGAGTTTGTCCACGTAGATCTTTTGCTTGCGAAACCAATTGGTGGCCAGGTCTGGGACCAGCAGGCGCTCCTGTTTCCGCCTACAGCCGCTGAGTAGCTGCTCGAAAAGCAGGCAGCGCGAGGGTTTTGCCTTTAGCGGTGGCGACGGTGGGAAGTTGTCCAATCCCTTGGCCAGAAAGCGATCCAGGCAGCCGGCGGAACGAGTGCAGTTGGGTTGTGGTTGCTCCAAGGCATGGGCCAGGTACTGCCTCAGGGCACGCTCTGGTGCCCGGGCTTTGGTTTCCGGTTCCATAAATGTTTCTTATTTTTATTTTATTTTATTTTACGCTTTTTTTTCCTTTTTTGGGGGGTTTTTCCCCCTGGGAGGAGGGTTCAGAGAGTTCCTCGAGTTTTGACTACCGAAAAATTTAGAGTTATTTCCAGGGAATAACTGTATAATGTCAAGATCGAGTGGGTTTAACAAGAAACTCAAGAACAGAGTGAGCAAACAAAGGCAAAAATCTATACTTTACAGTTTTTATGTTGTTAATAATTTATTTTTATTTGTTATTTGCAGAATTGTTTCGGCTATTCAGGCTTCGTTTTCCTTCCTCGTCGGCCTTATTGTGTGTAAATCCACCTGCACCAAATCGTTTGTGTATGCCTCGCATTTCCTAATGGAGGCCTACGGCTGGTTTGGCACCGCCTACTTTATGTACGACATCTGGTCTATGTACAAGGTGCACACCCAGAAGATAGCCGACAAACTGCATTTGCTGCGCATCACCAAGAATCAGGGTTCAAGTTCGTTGGTAAGCAATGGCCATGCCAATGGCAAGTCTTCTTCGGGTGGCAATAACAACGGCAGCACTCCGTCAACACCCCACGAGATCTGTGACTATGATGGTGCCTGTGTCCAGATACCCAAGGATGGTCGCTGGGATTTTCTCAAATATGTGCTTACCCACCCGGTGATGATGATCCACCATGTCTTTATAGGCACCTTTGGCCTGCTGGTGGTCACGGTAAGTTAAACTTTAAAAACTTTAAGACTTGGGAAACTGATTTATTTCTCTGTGTCTTTCTAGTACATACGCGGTGGCGGACACTGTATCTACAGCTACATGTTCATGATGGAGTTCTCCACGCCCTTCGTCTCGCTGCGCAGCATCCTGAGCACCATGAGGCTGAAGGAGTCCCGCGTCTACATTGCCAACGGGCTGCTTATGCTGGCCACCTTCTTTGTGTGCCGCGTCTGTATGTGGCCGTATGTTATGTGGCGCTATAGCCTGGCCATTGAGGCGGCCTCCCTGTGGACGGCCATGTGTGGCTTGCCACGCGGCTGCCTGGTCAGCATTGCCATTTTGTTCTTGCCGCAGCTTTACTGGTTCTATCTAATGGTTTTGGGGGCCCTCAAGGTGAGTGATCATCATACCTCCTGCTCTCTGTCTCGCTCTGTTTCGTGTTAATATTTATAATATTCTGTTTTTTAAGGTCTTCCTGCCTCAGAAACCGAGGCCACCCAATGCCGCCTCTCCTCTTCCAGCCACGCCCACCGCCCTTATAAATGGCAAAAACTAAGTGCAAAGATATTGGGAAAATCTTTTTTGTTTATTTTTTGTATATCCAAATGTATTTATTTCGAGTTCCAAAACGCCGCCGTTGCTCCATTTTTGCGGAGCTCTTGCTTATTGTTTATAAATTTTTTAACAAATAATGGATATACCATATATAGTCGGACAAGGACGGACTTTGGACAGATGTTTAGTTTGTAAAAGACATTATTTACTACTAAAAAAAAAAAAAAAAAAAGAAAAGAAAACAAATATTAAGAACTAAAAGATCAAAGCCTAACTATAGAATCAACTAAACCAAAAGCAAAGATGAAGCAAATAAACTGTGTTTACTTTTTGCAAGCACAAGCTCTAAAGCCACGCATTAAATTCTATCCGCTAATCCCGGAAGCTTGTGTTATAAATCTGTTATAAAACTGTTATATAACGGCAGTTGAGGAGCAAGCAAAAGCCTCGATTTAGTGTATATTTTGCAAGCACAAGCTCTAAAGCCACGCATTAAATTCTATCCGCTAATCTCGCCCAGCAAATGAAGCGGAAGCTTGTGTTATAAATCTGTTATATAACGGCAGTTGAGAAGCAAGCAAAAGCCTCGATCTAGTGTACCTATTAACTCTTATTGTTGAGATTGTGAAGCTAAGGAAGACACGGCTTATGTATAGTGATTAGAAGGATTATTAGATAATATTATAAATGTGAGCGGGGACCGTCAAAGGCAGATGTATTTGATGCTGTTTTTAAAAGAGGCGGTTTCTTTTTTAATTTTTTTAAATATTTTTTATAAAGTCACAATATCTTACAAACATTTTGTCAAAGTTTCACATCCATCATAGCAAAATTGATAAAGTTATGCGAGGTTGTTTGGTTTTCAATTTAAAAACTCTAGAAAAATCTCCTTAAAACTCTTTCAAAATAAAACCAGAGCTATACAAAAATCCGAAAAAAATTATTTTAATTTTAACTAAAAGCAAAAAATATAAAATTGATAATGATCATGGCTTCCCTTTGAGAAAACTCTTCCAAAATAGAAAAAAAATCCAAAAATATTATTTTTATTTTAACTAAAAGCAAATAATACAAAATAATCATGTTTTTTGTGGGAAAACAAGGGGTTTTCAAAGACCCAAACACTCGTTCCAACTCTTCCAAGTTAGAAAACTAAACAAAAATCTGGCTTTATGGTCCCCTCGATGGTATATGGAATGTCTCTGTAGGTGGCTTTTAAAAACGAACTAAACGTGGTTTATTTGTGAAACTGTCATGTGAAACTAGCACAAAAATCAAATTTGAATTGAGCTTACAAGATTGTGTAATTATATATGTAGTTAACTATTTATATGTAATAATAACAAAGGGGCAACACAATGTTTGTTGAAGGGAACTCGACAATGCTTAGTTATGTGTATTTACAACTTAACCACACACACACAAAATATTGTATTTAGACGCATGTATGTATGTATTTTGAACTATATATGTATGTAGCCGTGGAGGATGCATAGGATGAGTGTATTTTGAGTGGTGCCGCCCAGAATGGTTGAAATAAAGTTGCTATAGAGAGTTCCACAAAGAAAAAACACTTCTAGTGATCATCACAGGGTGGCTCGTTTGCTGCTGGGCAAGCCCTCGCCCTCGTCATCGCTGCGATCCGCACGCCGACGCTTCTTCTGATGCTCCTCCACCAGCTCCGAGGTGCGAATCTTGTTGCCGGTCATTTGCAGCCAGTCGATGTACTGAAACATGACAAAATCTCCGTTAATTTAAGCTCTAGGATATGCATATGCAGCAGCAGTACCTGGCTGTTGGTGCGCACTCCCGCCTCATGCAGCTTGGCCTCGATGTTGTCCAGCTTTAGGTCCGACTTGGCGCTCTGGCCATCGCTTTTGGATATGTCAAGCAGGTGGCGGACACGCTGGCGCATTGTCTCGAAAATGATGCGACCAATGACATGGTTACGATCGTAGGGCGTCAGGTAGCGACCAAACTCGTAAAAGTACGGATGAAGCCGGCCCAGCTCAATGTGGGTGGTCTCCGCCTCGCAGACGGCCTTGTGCACATTGCGGTAGATCTCCGGCACGGATATGGTGAAGTAGGCATTGTTCACCTTCAGCTCCTTGATGTACCACAGCGGCAGGTTGACAGTGCGTCCTGGCTCCAAATCATCTGAATCGGCGCCGGCGTCCAGGAAGCCTGCAATGCAAGGGATAAGCCACAAGCCGCTTGGCTGGCCGGAGCACTCGCTCACCCATCCGCTGCAACTTGGTGTTGACCCGGCACTCGACCTTCTCCTGGGTCACGAATATGTCCTCGATGCAGTAATAGTTGGGAAAGTAGTTCATGCCGGCGGGCTCTTTAGTTTTCGGATGTAAACAAATTGTTTGCGCGGCTGCCAGGGCTGCACACTCGCAAAAATACCAGAGGCCAAGCCAAAAAAGGTGTATTTATTTGGTATATACCAAAGTGTGCCCTCAAGGCAGTAGTATTTCTAGTATTTCCAAAATAAAACTGGTATATTTTCGCCGAACGTGCTCGGTCACACTGCTCGGCAGCGCCTATAAATACCAGTGCCGCACGCCATTCGAGAAAAAAAATAAAAATAAAAATTAACGAAAAGCTGCGTTGCCGGAAAATTCGTGTTGGTTTCCGATAGAAAAACCCGAAAGTCGCGGCGTGCGGACCATTTTTTTCTGTTTCAATGCAACACCAGTGAAGAGCAACAACAAGCACTGTTCGATTAGCGGCGGCCCGGGCGCATAAAAAAGTGAAATTGCCTTTTGCGGCAGAGTTGGCCAAAAATCGAAAGAAATCAACAAAAGTACAAAAAAAAAAGAGTAGAAAACAACAACAAATTAAGTACACACGGCAACGGCGAACAGGCGTCGCTGTGTTTGTGTGTGTGCGTCCGCGGTGGTTTGCCAGTGTGCGTCCGTGTGTAGTTGTTGCGCCAAAAAGTTCCAATCGGAATTCTGGCCAGCGAAAGAGGAACAGCTGCTGGCCGCAACGACGACATCGACAACAACAACAACAACGAGAAGCTAAAAGCGACAGCAACCAGTGACAACAACAAAACGCGGCCAAGAACTTTTGTAGCTGCCGAAAAATGGGCGACTTCGATCTGAACGTGGACAGTTTGATACAGCGGCTGCTGGAAAGTAAGTAGAGACCGACTTCTGTCCCCCTTGAATGACCCACCTCCCTCCCCCCAGCGCCCAGCCCTATTCCCCCCACCTTCCTTTTTGATTTATAACCTAGTTTATCAGTGTGTACGTCTGTGTGTGTGAGTGTGTGTCAGTGAGCGGGAGAGAGCTTCTCTTCTTTTGGGGGAAAAAAAAAAGAAAAATAACAGCGATTGCATTTTCTAATTATTGCACATTTGTCCGCTTAAATGGCACCCTACTGCCAGCCTCTGCCTCTGCCTGTACTCGCCAGCGATGCCCTGACCATTTGAATTCGACTCTTGAATCAATTAATTTTAATTGATTTTCATTGCTCGCTCCTCTTGATGCAAAAACAACAACAAAAACAACATCAGCAGCAGCAGCAGTAGCATCAACATCTGCGCTTTACATTCCCTTTACATAACGGTAACAGGCGCTGTTAGCAGTGCCGATCTCCGATCTCAATGTTATTTTGGTTTATTACAAATAAAGCGTTCAGTTCGGTTTTATTCTAATGACGTCATCAACTTTGGCCTGATAATGCCAACTGGCGTAGCAAGAATGTGATTCAAGTTGCAGGAGTGCGACAAGGAGAAACCGAGAATTGAGTCACATGAGTGCGATAAGGAGCGCAGAAGACGCGAGAGCTGGCATAAGCTAAAGAGAGCAATAGACCGGGTGACACGTGACTATAGCTTGGGGAGAGAAAATCAGAAAGAGGAGAGGAAAGTGCAGTTAGTTGAAATAGTTCTCATAAATACGTAAATCTATTGTTTATCGTAACTTATCACCTCCACAACAGTTGCATAAGAATATAATAATAAAACACACAAAAAATCCGTACAATATTTTAAAAACTAATTCAAAACCGATTACCTACAGTGAGTCGATTTAGCAGGGTATCAGGGGTAGGGGTTGTGTCACTCGTCGTCGTCGTCATCAACATGCAACCTTTCTGGAAAGCGTAAAAGCGCTAAATAGTTTACATTTTTCGCCCCCCTCCCTCTTTCTCCATCCATCATCTCCGAGGGTTGCTTAAGCCGCTTAGCGCTTGTCTCGTTTTGCAAGTGTCAGCCAATGTCGAAGATGGAGGCGAGAATTGAGCTTGGCTTGGGCTTGGACGGGGAAATTGCATTTGAACATTGCGCTTTTTTCGGTTTTTGTTCATTTCCGCAATGAGTTTCTTTTTATACACCCCCTCCTCCTCCTCGCCGCCATCATCCTCAATCGACCCAACTACAGTGGGCATTAGGAAAAGCTGGAAAAGTTATCAGAAATCATAGCCTTAAAGGACACGTTAAGAAAGATGAGGAAATAATTTTTTTTAGAAAATTATTAAAGTGCTATCAATTTGTTTTAAAATCAAGCGATAATTATTTGTTAGAAATACATCTTAAAAAAAATAAATATTCTTCAATAAGATAATTTTGTTAGAAAAAAAAAAAAAATATTTTTAATAATAATTATTTTATTTTCGCTTAGTTTTGAAACAAATTGATATTATTTCGGAAAAAAATGTTTATTTTGGTTTAAATAGGAAAAATATTTTAAAAGTCTAATTTTTTACTATGACAATTACTCTTTAATGACTTAAATCTTAGAAAAATAATTTTAAAAATTAGATTCGTTTAGATACTGGATTTGTAAAAATCATTTTAGCGAGTGTCCACTGTGACCCTACTCGCAGGATGACAAATGGGATGAGAGCAATCGCAAAATAGACAGATTGGGCGAGCCAGCGAGCTGGTTGTGGTGGACCCAACCATTTTTCAAGGTCATCGAGTGGGCTAGGTCGTGGCACTGTAGCCCTCCGCCGGTCCCATCTCATCTCTGGCCATTAATTTTGATCTACGTGGCGTCATCAGCAGCAGCAGCAAAAATTTCATTTGTCAAATTGCAAATTGAAATTGAATTTTTAGGACACTTTTTTTGCCGGCTGTGACGTCCCCAAGTTTTCTCGATTTTCCCTTGAATTTTCCGGCACGAAAATGGGTACACTGGAAGTTTGCAAGTGCCGCCGCTCTCTCTCTCTCGTTTATCCCGTGGTGTGTGCGTTTTTGTGTCCCTTTTTTATGAGTTCAAACCAAAACACCCAACTCACTTCCCAGAATTCCACCCCCGACCCGTTATGAATCTATCTATATATGTATGTATATATATGCCTATGTTATCCACCGAAAGACTTCAAAAAACAAAAAGAGGCCGAAGAGCACGCCCAGAAGCTGCTCATTGCTCAACAATTGGCCGCTGCCGGCGGAGCAGCCGCTGCTGTGGCCGCCGCATCAGCTGCTGCTGCCGCGGCCGCTGTAACCGCCTCGTCACCCACAACCTCCGGCAGTTGCTCGGTGGCAGCGGCAACGGCGGCGGGCTCCATTTCGGGGCCTGGCTCCGGTTCCGCCTCTGGATCGGGTTATGGTTACGATCCGCTGGATGAGCTCACCGAACAGCAGCGTCGTCTGTTGCAACAATACTCGATATCGCCGCCCAGCGAGACTATGATATCGGCCGACGGCGACCAGATAACGGTCCATCATCCGCGCGAGGAGCCCAAGAAATCGCGATTGAAATTGCGTGACTTTTTCGTCGCCGAATTTGGTATTAACCTTGATTACTGTTGATGTTGATGATCACCAATCGTCAGTCGTCATCATTATAATCATCATTATGGTCATCCAGCCACTCTCAGCCAGGCCACACTTCCATTCCAAAAGCAAAGTAGTAGTAGGCCACCCCCCTGAAACCAGAGACCAGAAACCACCAACCACTAGCACCCTTCTCCTTCATGTTACACACACGCCTTGACTAGGACCATCACTCATATCCTAAGTAGCGTGCCGACATCGTCTCTTACCCCCGTTGCCTCCTACTTTTACGACAGTAAAAGGACCTCAATCGCAGCACTTTAGCTTTGTCGCACGGCTAGAAAGAGCTTGGAGATCACATGGCCAATAAGCGATTCATATCCCACTCAATCAGTCCAATCAGCAATGTCCTTGAAAGCCCTGCAGGCCACCAAGATGGCACCCAAGTTTAGCTTTCACTCGTACCCCTACCAGAGTTACAAGTATTCCAGATATCCCGTTACTCAAGGTATAGTTATGAGTTTACAAGTTGAGTTATAATTCCCAAGTGTTTGGTTAGCTTCAAATATCTGAAATATATTTGTAGATCCAGAGAAAGATATACCTCTATATATCTCTATATGTCTTGTTTTGAATCTGAAATTATATTTCAAGAATTCAAAGCTTACTAAACACTTGAGAATTATAATGTCTACTTGTGAAACTTGGCAAATGTAAAGTTTGTAAGGAGATAAGATTTACAAATAAATAGATAAAAATACCAGAGTGAGGCAACAACTAACTGAATTTCAACATAATTTTCTGATACCAAGTTAAACCTTAGAAATTGCTTGAATTTGGTTCGTGATAAGGCAGAAGGCACCAACCAACACTGGCACCGGGGCACCTCTCCACACCAATTTCACTTGACACCCTCTTCACCCAAAAACAATTATTAATAATAAACAAATAGCTGAGCTGGGGAAACAAGAATTTTGATATTATTTATATGATTTCGGTGTGCGGTTACTGTTTACGTTTGTTTTTTTTTTTTTTTTTTTTGTTGCCGGAACTGCAATTTGCAATGTCAGTGCCGACGCTTGACCAGCACCGTCTGCCCCGTTTAGGTATCTATACCACATATATACGTGTTTATATATATATCTGAGTGTTGTGCAATCACTTTTCCCCGTAAAAAAGCCACAGCCGCCTGAATTGCTTTCATCTAATTGTTTTCACACGAAGCCAAATCCGCAATCGTCAAATGTAATGCGAAACAAATTATATAAATCAAACGAAAGAGGAGATGGATGGGATGGTGGTGCTGTCCAAAAAAAAAAAAAAAGTAATAAAAAAGAAATAAATAAGAGGGAATCTCTCCTCGCGACACGCGACATCACGAACGACTGCAGCTCTTCTGGGGTGATAAACAATAATCATAAAGTATACAAAAATTGATTGGCGTTGAGTGCGCAAATAGTAAAAATAAAACAATGGCAAGAGGCGATACGAACCGAGTCGAATGAAATATTTACCGCTGACATGAAAAGCGGAAACATAGCGGGATGTGTGTTTGCTTAAATAAGTTCATTCACGTGACCCGATGCCTAATCAGCTGCAGTGCCAAGCCAAAGCCGAAGGTTACCACCGTCACCATCACCATCGCCATCGCCATTCAGCATTACCATTACCATAACCATAACCATTGCGATGTTATTTGCCTAAAAAGAATTCCGATTCAGGCTTACACTATCAAGTTAGGGATTGGGTTTAATATTTATGCTAGAAATCTAGCTTCAAATAAGTTTGGAATTTAAAGTACTTAAAAGATATTACTATTAATATTTTTATATAATTTTTAAAATGACTTTTCTCACATATATCTTCTACTAAACTAGCTCAAACTGTCCCAATATTGAACCTTAAACCCTTAAAAATACAAACGAGCAACAAGTTTACCTCAAGACATGGCAATTATTAAGCCAAAAGCCCTAACCCCCAGGAAAACCTTAACCCCAGCGGGGTTACTTCTCTCTTACTTTTAACATGCTGCCCAGTGTTATTGATTGGCCCCCATTTTCCACGTGTGTGTTTGGAGGAGAGTGTGCCAAGGCTCAGTTTACTCTGCTTTTGCCAACACTACACTTTTCACCTACCCATCCCCCCCCCATCCTCAGAAAAGTCAGAGTCAAGCAATCCTTGTCCCAGTGAGACTCAACTCAACTCCAAGGGTTCCGTTCCGTGCCTTGACAAATATCCTTCGTTATTTTGATGCATTTCTAATGTTTGTATAATATTTGTATAATTGAGTTGGCTGACTGACTCTCTTCTTCTCGACTCCACCCCTCGTCCGTGTGTCATCGATGTCGCCAAAAAGTCCTTCCAAATGTTGTCGCATGTCGGGTGCTGTCATCGCTCTTGACGTTGTGTATGATTACACATCCTGGAGTATTGGGTTTTGCAAATTGTATGTTGAGTTTTTCTGTTAGCTTGGTTATATCTTGCTTGAAAGTGGGTGAAATTTGGTTTCTCAGATTTATTTAAAATATTGATTTTCATGTAATTATTACGCATACGACGGGGTGGCAGGTTTTATTTATTTCAGTTATAAATTATATTTACAAAAATCATGTGTTTCACATTGATTTGCATTTTTTGATCTTTAAAAATTATTCAAAATTGAGTAATTCTCAATAAAAAACATGGAAATGTATTATTTTTAATAAAAATAATTATTTTTTCCATTATCTAAGCCTTCTTTAACTTTTTATGCATTCTACAATGTAAGATATACCCTCCTTAATCCTGGAACCCTTAATTTCCTTGACTAAATCCTGGGTATTCAATTATAGCCGGTAGCCTTCTGTTTCATCACCGATTGGAGAGCATCTCTCTTCAAGTTTGTTTTCTTAGCGCGCGACGCTGATTGAAAATAGAATTTGAATGTCATAACCTTCACTTGAGTCAATCAGCGAGGCATAATAATAATAACAAGAAAGAAGCCGCCGCTGCCGTTGAAGAAATGCCAGAAGAGAGGAGGCAGGGGCAGGGGCAGGGACAGGGACAGTAGAACCTCTAGCTACTACTGAGTATAATGGGATAGCGATAACTGGCATTGCGTGCTCAAGTCGCCGAGGATTCTGTTGGCAAAGGTAGGCACTGTGATTGCAGGGGATTGGCTGGAGCTTGGGTTTGGATTGGATTGGATTGGATTAGGTACTTCGTGATCCGCTCGGGGGAGGTTACTCCTTGCTAATGCCTCCGTTTCAATTTAAGTGCTTTTTGATTAGCTTTCGGTGGCGGGGAGGAGGTTTCTTAGGCAGGTTGAGTAATGAGAGTAGCTTAAATTGCAATCCAACAGATACATAGTTGCATAAGGCCGCCGCCCTTCTTCCAATTATAATAAATACGGTTTCGAGTTTTTTAAGGCATTTCATTGTTTTTGAAATCCTGTTTAGAATGTAACAACAAGATAAGATAACTTATTGACAATGTTTTCACACTTTCAAGTGCTCGCCTCATTAGGTTAGTTAATTAGCTGTGTACATTTACATGTAATTTACTGAAAAAGTTACTATAAATACAGCTTTGTCTATAAACAGAGAGATATATAATTCATATAAGCTTTGCTAAAGTATCTTTTAACGAATTCTATGAACTTGATTTTCTGACAATTGCGGGATTCCCCCGTCTGCCGCCTAATTATGTTTAACCGCTAGGTCCAGTCGAGGGCCATAAAACCCTGGTAGTAAACCAAGAAAAAGAAAAAAATAATAACCACCGAAACAGAAATCCACAAACAAACAAACAAATAAACAAAAACAAGTACGCTTGCATCCATAATTGCACATAACTAGAATGAGTTGGCGAGGGGAGGTGATGACATCAAAAGTTTGTTCATTAAATACAAAAAAAAAAAAGAGTATAAAAAACAAGAACAGAACGCTCTCTTCATGCATGCTTAAGCACAGTGAACCCAAAGCCCAAAGCCGAAGCGGACGTGAGCTGAGTTAAGACACTGAGCGAAAAGTTTTAAATTCAACTTTGATATTTATTTGTTTAAAAAAAAATGAAATAAATAATAGAAAACATGACGCTCTAAGGCTTAAAAGAGAGTTTACTGGAGATAATAATATATTAATGAATAAAAACCTTTAATTTTCAGAGATTTTAAATCTCTTAAATTGGTTTTTATTATAAAAATGGATTTTTGTTTAAGAATTAAATATAGGGAAATGTTTTATTAAACAAAAAAGAACAAAAAGAAAGCTCTCTGCTACAAAGATTAAATAATATTTTGTAAAACCCGAAAATATCAAGAGATTTCAAATCTCTTCAACTGGTTTTAACATAAAAATAGATATTTGTTTTGGAATTAAATCCAGAAAAATGTGTAATTAACAAACAAAAACAAAAAGAAAGCTCTCCTGCTACTAAGATTAAATAATATTTTGTAAAACCCGGAGAATATCGAGAGATTTTAAATCTGTGAAACTTTCTTTTCAAGAGATTTCAATTCTCTTAAACGTTTTCTACCGATCATTTCTACATTTATTTCCAAATTAAATATAGAAAAATATAATTTTTAATATAACTTAAATTTCCTTGTAAAATAAAATTACAAAAATAGCTAGGAAAATCTTTAGACATTTAAAAAAGAGTTTTCCCAGTGTCAAGTGCAGACCGACGGCAGTTACTTACTGGTTACAGTTAATACAACAACTGCAAGTGTTTTAATTATGGTTTCTCCGCGCTCTCTCTCTCTCTCCCGCTGGCTATCTCTGCGCTTCGCTATCTCCTTTTCTATTTTTATTTTTCTATACGAGCAAACATGTATGACGAGCGTTATATGATATGGCACTATAATTCTCAACCAGGGTCCAAAGCCACTCACGCCCACCGCCCACCTGGCAGCGCCCACGTTTTGTCACATTGCGTGCACTTGGCAAATAAAAAGCCGGGCAACAAAAGAGCGGAAAGAGGGGGAAAAGGTAGGACCAGGACCTGGCCAAAACTTGAGCCGAGAAGGAGCGG